CCCACTGTACCACCGCTCCACCAAGCAAATATCGTGAGCTTTTGAAGTGACCTTAATTATATGCATCGTTAAACTTCTAATCCCTCCCCCATGCGAGTTACAAATTCTAGAAAGTTAAATTACGAGAGGACGGCTCAAGGGCACTGTAAACTGCGGAATAAGCGCTCCGTGCATCTCAACACAGATGCGAGATCACAGCCGAAGAGATGTGCAAAGTACAAACGAGGATGCTACATGCCAGCTCAATGCAGGAACTGGACTATCAGATATGTCTGGGTAAAATCGATTATTACTCCATCGATTGCTATCCGTGCGATTGCTCGACCAAATTGGGCAACGCGTTGGCACCGGATGGGGAGGTGACGGACAGATGGGGGGGAGCGGGGGGCGCTTCATGATGCCTTCAGCATCATCGAGCCCACGTCACGCTGGGTGTGGCTTGCGGGGTTTCCTGCATTCGGAAGGCGGTGGTATGTAGGCGGAGGGGGGGGGGTCAGAATCTTTAAAAGCACTCCGAGTAACGGGAGCACACAAGCCGGTGAATAGACCGAAATCGTCCTGGCTTTACCCATCTTCGCGATCTATAAACTGGGGCTTTGAGGACACCTTCATAAATACTGCTAGAAAAAAAACACACACAAGGTCGCAAAATAAACCGCCTGTAAAAGTGAACGCCAGAGACGCTTGAAGCCCACAAATTCCTTAATTAAATAAAATCCAGTGTGAGGATTAACTGGTCAAATGTCCAAGACGCCAGCTCTTCCAGCGCAAACTGTATTCCCTAACCTAAAGTGTGTGTAGCGACGCACTTGGATTAATCCAGGCTATATGAAAACGAAATACAATCCCCCAACATAAACCTCGTGATTTTTCCACAAGCAGATACATTTTTACACATGTGTAACGTACGTGGTAGCAAAGATGATATTGGCAATAGCCCAGCACGTTCGCCATTTGTTGCAAAATTTCACGGTTCAAATCTGGTACTCCGCCCTGGTTAATACTGCAGTTGTGTGTTTAAACCATAAATACGTGGCACCTGATTCACAGTGGGGAAGTTAAAGATCCCGTGACATCATTCGAAAACGAGTAGAGCATTGTGTGCCAGCATCAAAGTTTGCCAAAAATGTACATGAAAAATAATAAACTGGGATTACACAAAGCAACGTCGCCCCCGAACACAAAACTTAAGCGGCCAAACATCTCTAAAACGTGCAAATACCACATGCGCAAACGATTTGATATTGGGTGGCGCACTCCGTGTGAAACTTTACAGGTTTTACCAAATGCAAAAAAGCTGTACGGGGAGCACAGAAAACGAAAGGTTGGTTTACTTTAAAAGCCGTTCAGCTTTCTTTCTTTAGAACTGCTTATTGTGTTTAAGTTTTTTTGTCTGATTGGCACGGTTGGCTACGTGCGGCACGAAAGAAGTTCAACAAATACATACAGCTTTCCAGTGGCGCTAAAACGTACGTTAACTTGAAATTGGGACCAAGTGATCATTGGTTCCATGCGAGGTCAAGCTAGAACAACGACATCATTATGGATGGTCTCAGCCCGGTCACCAACGACCGCACCAAAAAAGACCCATCACATGTAAGTTTAGTTCTGCATTTAACCTTTGCAAAATTTCAGCTCCAAGAATTAAAATAAAAACTGTATCATATCGGGTTGACACTCCGTGTGGCTGGGAGGGTGGGAAAGTGCTGCCATCTACTGTGCAAAGGGATCTCAAGATGTAGTTCTGTGAAATCTGCTTCTGTGGAATGGTTGCTATGCTCTGCGAGAGATCCGAATTTATACTTTGTCCCGTGACTAGCCACCGATAGCACAATCGGGATAAGTTGGGGGGGGGGGGGGGAATTTACCCAACAAGTTAACTTAGAAATACTCTAACCATCTCAAAAGGGTAGCCGCAGGACAGGGCTCAGTAAAGAATTGCCGTGGACGGCACAGCTTGAGCTTTGAGTGACATTTCACTTCCTCAATGAGAGGCTGCCCCACTCCATAGGTTACAAAGAGGCCGTTGTGGAAATGACTCCTATATTTTAAAACTTATTTAACGTTTCACATTTTTTTAAGATTACGGTCATGACTAACATTTAACTCAAATTCATGCGTTAAACTACTCAACTGATTTAAACCACACTTGGACGAAGTGTTTTTTTTTTTAAGTTTACATCTCTAAAACGAGACAACTAGATTACTGCAATCTGCCGTGTACACTTCCTTAGAATGTGTGAAAATGAGCCTCGAGTATTTATAAAGGAAGTCTGACGTGCCCACGTGTGCACAAAACAAAAACACGGCCTACCGTAACCGCGTGGACGACACACTGCTGGCACTGCACGACTGCGGATTCAACACCCAAGTGGGTTTCACCGGCGGTCAAGTGAATCATAGTTCGCAAACGAGAGCCCATATGGGTATTCAAAATATTTTTTTTGTTTCACCAGAGGCACCCCCCCCCCACCCCAGCTCCCCATAATTGCTGTTGTTGTTTTTCTTTGGAGGTGAAAAATGTCCACATGATGATAAGCCACTTCGTTGAGCAATTAATTGTGGCCAGGTCGCTTCTGAAGAACAAGCTAATATAGCTCAGTGGGCTTACCTGGTAAAATTTAAAAAAAGTTTAGTTTGATTTGTATTTTTTTCGAAGATTTTTTTTTTACCTTTCCTATACTGTCGTGTTTTTGTATTGTTTGTTGTCATAACATTCTGACCTGCCCCTACTGGACATCTGTGTGAAAAAGAGATTTATAGCTCATCGGATTGCTCCAGTCTCAATAAATATTCGGATTATAAGTCACATAGGCATGCACCTACAATTCCCCCCAACACAGCCCCAACCCCTGCACACTGTGATGAACTTTGAACCCCCAGACAGAGATTAATTGAAGGGGAAGAAAAATAATAACAAGGCAGCGGCCGAGGTGACAGCTAAATCCAAACTCGGTGTCATCTCAAACAAGAGTGTAGGTTTGCGAATGACAAAAGTTCACTTTGTCTATTGACTACTCTTCTCTGCGATTGGTAAAAACAAAAAAATGAATATACGCAATTAAATAAAACTACACTGCGAGCCACAATTACACCAATGCACACTCTTGTTAAAGGCAAGCGTACTTGGGGGAGCTTTGATTCCAGTAAAAAACGCAAGTTCGTAAGAAATCTTGCTCAATCCACAGCAGAACTATCGTACACAACATCTGAGAGTTGGGCCAACATTCATCATTACACAACCAGTGGGGGAAGCGGGGGGGGGGGGGGGTGGGAAGCCAGGAGGCCACGCAGAGATAAGGTGCTTTGTGTTAGGCAACTTTTGATTCGTTGTTGAAGCGACCGCGGGGAATCGCATCAAGCGAACGCGCGCGTGCATCTAAGAAATTAAAACATTGCATTGCAAAGCGCGCCTCGTAGGCAAGTTGCTCGTCAGCCCGATAGAGGGCAGCTGCAGAGCACCGAACCCGGCTGCAGAAACTAAGAGACGGCCCCCCTTTGTTTTGAGATGTGGGAGGCCAATGTAAGAAAGTTGAGAGTTTTGGGGCAAAAAAATCCGCGAAATGTCCTGCAGGCTCAACCCATTTTCAACTGCCGAGGCTGCACCTTTTCCTCCGATAGTCAAGTGAAGCTTCACTTCTTCTGTCGTTACCCGAGCTGTGGTATTGCGTGGGAATTAATTTATATTGGAATTTCCACCGAGTCAGCACGACTTATTGTTAGCTCTTTCGGTGAAGTCACGTAGAAGGGAAACAATAAAAGAATAAAATATATATATATATAAAACAATAAAAAAAATTCTCACGACGTTTCGACCGTAACGCAAACGGTCGTCATCAGGTGTTCAACGTGACTTTACCGAAAGAGCTAAGAATATGAATTACTGCAGTCACGAAAGCTTTAAATAAAAATTCAGCACGACTTGTTTGAACAATGAGGCACTGGTGCTCATCTCCTGTTTACAGCCGTTAGCCGGTGGTGGAAATTCCACATTCCTATGGAGGGGGCGAGTCTCTCTATACATTACGTTAACACAGTGCTGTTGTGTAAAGCATGAGCATCAATTGGATTGCGTCTCCATTTGTTTGCTATGATGTTTAGCTTGTTACAGAAATTAAACACGAATTGCTTTAGTTTTCTAGAGTTTAACACTTAGGCTTACGCGACCAAAATCCATAAGAGTTTTTTTTTAGGGCAGATCGTGTAAATATATAAATGTGTCGTTAAACCCGCCACCAACCAACAGATCTCGCTAGTAAGGGTAGTCACGTAAACAGAACATGTAAATGTTGTGGCTTGGCTCTCCAACACACCGGTGTGCTGTACTAGTGACGAATTGGCATGTTTTGTTTACGTGGCAACCCTTACTAGTCGGCTGTGTCGGGTGGTGACGGGTTTAACACCACATTTACATATCGACGCGATCTAACCCCCCCCAAAAAAACCTCTATTATGGATAGTTTTCTCGAGTTGAACAGGGCAACGGTCTGTAGTTACTGGCTGCACTAATATAATCTGACTTCAACACGAGTGACACAGTGAAACACGAGAGCTATTCTTGATCCGACGCTTTTAAAGGCGTAACAGGTAACGTTACGCTAGGCGCCAGAATATAGAAACAAATACATGCTGCGTACAAGAAAATTAGATTGAAGAAATGAAGACAGCTGAAAGTTCAGACTTAAAAGGCATTTTCAGATCCATTCATGATTCGTCGTAAGTCATCATTCTCATCATCCGTGTCACCAGCCAATGGTTAATGGCTGGTAGACATTGTTAAAAGAATTACATATTAAACATAATTATTGGCTGGAAATGTGTAATTCTATATTACCAGCGAAGCAAATAAAATATCAAAAAGGGTTAACATAAACCAAGACACAAAAGTGCCCCCCCCACGCCCCCCCCCCCCCCACACTACTGATAATGAATCAAAATGCACTCTTAAAATAAAAGCAGTCTGGAACAACGGTTGCCGCCTCAGTTTTTCCCCCCCAAACCTTTTACGAAACTTGGGTGCTTCCGAGATGAAGAAGCCTTGGTGATCCAGATGACCGGGGGGCGCAAGAAGGGACAGCTGTCTGCCGCCATGTGGTCAGAAGCACGGAGGGGCGGCTGTCTGCTGCCGTGTGGTTAGCAGCACGGAGAGGCGGCTGTCTGCCGCCATGTGGTCAGAAACACGGAGGGGCGCCTGTCTGCTGCTGTGTGGTTAGCAGCACGGAGAGGCGGCTGTCTGCTGCCGTGTGGTCAGAAGCACGGAGGGGCGGCTGTCTGCTGCTTGTGTGGTTAGCAGCACGGAGAGGCGGCTGTCTGCCGTCGTGTGGTCAGAAGCACGGAGGGGGCGTGCTTTTGTTTCCTTACGTTCCCGGGAGTTGCCGCGAATGTTGCTCTGGAGTCAGGGTGCGGGAGGACTGCGGTGCCGTTGCTCTCTGACGCCCACACACCGGATGTCCCGACTACAGGAAGGGGTTGGTGGATGCGGCGCTGCCGGGAAACTGCCCGCCGTTTGTTCCGCCCTGGTTCGAGAAACAAACAGAAAATAAAAACACGTGTTAATATAACTCAACGTGCCGTAAGTCTACCGCTGTATAACAGCACTTATATATGTAAATAATAAAAAATAGACTAAAGGTGCTGGACTGCGATTTATTTGCTTCGTGCCACTGCCCGTGGAATGGCTTCCACTCGAGTGAGCTCAAGAGGCTCCTATAGTGGGTATTCATGGCCTCCTCATCCACGCCGGTCAAACGCCTTGGAAGAGGTGGCACTACCCATACTTTACCCCAACTACACGTGACCTGCTGTAGTGGGGTAAAGTTTTACTAGGTGAATTAGAGGGGGCCAGTGGCGGGGGGAGCATTAAGAGACGTGCTAATTGTTTCAACTGCAAAGCCAGGAGAACAAATCAAACCGACGAAGTCGGTACTGTTGCAGGTCCAGTGAGCGCTCATCCTTCATTGCACGATCCATCTTCATGCAATAAATAATAAATGCCCCTTTAATTACCCGGGAAAGGCCTCACCGAGCATCAAGGCTTATGTTTCGGGATAGTCCTGCATTGAGATATTTGGTCAATTACATTTTCAGGAGCATTTGATGTGTGGAGGAAGACTGGAGTACCTGGGGAAATGCAATGTATAGGAGTGAATTCCATTTAAAACTCTGCATAGGTAGATTGAATCCACAGCTGTTCTGCCTTCTCTTAGCCATCTCCTTTAGGTATTTGGTATTAAGCCAGAAATCAGCATCTTAATTTAGTCAGGAGGAATATGATGAGCTATATAAAGCTATTTATCACGGATGTCCAGTAGGGGCGGGTCAGCAAGCCGAGCTATATAACCCTGCCCCAGGTTACTCTTTCTCAGATGTGTGCACTCCAAAAACAACTAATATGGTCTTTTTATATACAAAACAAAGATACAGATTCCCCGTGTAGCCTGAACAGACTGTTGGGGCAAGTACTGTTAGCATGCGCCTATGGAGGCCGGAACGGTACGCGAGGGGGTGGGTGGCAAGCACTATGCCCTACCGCCTTTTTAAAAACACACACAAACACATGTCAACAAATGGGCATTGATTTGAAGGAGAAACTATGAATGGAAGTAAAGCGTTTTGCAGCTGGCAAAAAAGGCGTTTAGTGATGAGGTTACTTTTCGTTCCACAATTAAACAAATTATTTGGTCAGACTCCATTGTGGTAATGGTGCACAAGCACCACACTCACATTCATGAACAACATTGTGGCCTTAAAAGGAAAAGTATATAATAGGCAAGCGTTGCCCGTGACATACTTAAAAGTCATATCGACGCGACCTCTCTGGCCTCTATATTTACATGTTATGAAGAGGGCCCACTTGCCTGGGACGTTGCATATTACCTTTCCTTTCACGGCCACAGTGTTATTGACAAATGCTTTGTCCCATAGTAAACACGAATTGGATCTATGAACCCTCTGCAATTGTGCAAATTATATGCAAACGTGATAAAAAGTGAGTCTCTCCAGACGAATAAACAAGCCAGACGGTAAACACAACAGATCATAATAATGATAAAAGACAATGCATATATTATAAGAGCATTTTTTCATAATAAAGGTTTTTGGGTTAGATCGCGTTATTTATAAATGTGTCGTAACCCTCCACTACCCAACACGGCCAATCAGCAAAAAAGTGTCACGTTGACAAAAGACAAATAGTTCACTACTTTAGCCCACCGGTGTGTTGAAGAGTGAATCCACGTGACACTTTTTTGCTGATTGGCCGTGTCGGGTGATGGAGGGTTACGACACATTTATAAATAACGCGATCTAACCCAAAAACCTTTATTATGAATAATATTGGTCGCGAAAGCCTGCGTGTTAAAGAGCATGTTTGTTTGCATGTTTTACCACAAGTATGTGTGGTTAATACAGACTTGATGCCTTGGCAAAAGGCTCTTTATTCGGTGATTGAACATCTTAACACCTGTTTTATTGCCGTAAATGGTAAAACTATTCTTATTTTTCATCATATTGGATACTGGCAAAAAAAGGTCCCATATATAATGATAATGGATTCCTAAATTTAACCGTGAATCTGAATTGTAACAATTCCTCGAATCATGGGGGAGATGGCGTGGTGGACTGTGGATTGCCAGCTAGATGGAAGCTGAAAGTGCCGAAGCCGCTCATCTTTCACGGGCACGGCAACAGGTGAGATGTACAGTAAAACCTCGGAGATCGAACGCACCAGAACTCGAACAAATCGATGTTCGAACAATATTTCCGAACATTTTTTTGCCCCGGAAACCGAACGAAATTCGGAGGTCGAACGGCAATCACGACTTGAAAGAACCTTGATTTATAGCTTTCGTGACTGCAGTAATTCATATTCTTAGTTTTTTTTTCGGTAAAGTCACGTTCAAGAGAAACAACAAAATAATAAAATATATATAAAACAATAAAAAAATTCTCACGACGTTTCGACCATAACTCAAACGGTCATCTTCAGGTGTGTTGGTTTGCATAAATTTATTTGTAAACGGCGCATTTATTTATTTATTTAAAAAACGTTAGCGCCACGCGCAGCGATTTGGCAGTTTACCCAGGACTAGTCCATCTATATTTTGGAAAGAGGAGGGGGGAGACGAATTTTTTTATAATGTATGCTGTCTGAAAGCCACTGTAAGCGTGAACAATCAATTAAGAACTGAAATGGTTTATCAAATCTTTCCAATGATTGCTAAGATAGAATCCATCTTCTCGGTTGAAATTGTCTCTGTGCTTGTATATGTGGATAGCCTCATGAACGAATCTCTCATGGAAGCCAGATGGCTTACAAAGAACCTCTGTCTTGGAAAAGTCAATGGCATGTGAGCCTACTGAATTAGAACAATGATCTGCTACGGCCGAGGTGTTGGTCCTACCGTGTTTAAGGTCTGCTTTGTGTTCACGAATGCGGTCCGAGACATGGCGTTTGGTTTCTCCAATGTAACTACTACCACAGAGGCAACTTAGTTTGTAGACACCAGGGTATTGTATGTCCGGAATCACATCTTTTACAGACGGAACCAGATCATGGATTTTATGTAATGTGTTGAAACGGACCTGGATCTTGTGTTTATTCAAGATTTTGGAGATCTTTTTTGTGATCCCAGCAATGTAGGGTAAAGTGATGGTTTTGAAAGGCTCCTCAAGAGGGTTCTTCTTCATGGTTTGAGTGATAGCTTTGCGGATTGTATAGTCGGAGTAACCATTAGCCCTAAGAGCTTGGTGTACGTGCTTGAGTTCACTGCTTATGTGTTCCTGGTCGGATATGCATTGGGCTCTATGATACAGAGTCTTGATGAGAGAATTCTTGTGATGGATGGTGGTGGGAATCCGGTTTCAGATAAGCATCCGTATGGGTAGCTTTCCTGTAGACAGAGTGGCTCATTGAACCATCAGGTCTCTTTTTAATTAGGACATCCAAAAAAGGTATCTTGCCATCTATTTCGACTTCCATGGTAAATCTGATGGCTGGGTGTATGGAATTGATGTGGTCGAAGAATTGGTCTAGAGCAGGCCGGCCATGTGGCCAGATGACAAAAGTGTCATCCACGTACCTCTTCCATAAGGTTGGGCGCAGAGTGGCAGTCTGGATGGCGTCAGTCTCAAATTTCTCCATGAAAATGTTAGCTATAACTGGAGAAAGGGGGGAGCCCATTGGGGTGCCCTCAGTTTGTTTGTAGAAAGTTCCATTCCAAGTGAAGTATGTATTGGTTAAACAGTGTCTCACCAGGGGGGGTACCTCAGTGTTTAGTCCTTGATGAACCAAGTCTTCAATGATTGCAATGGTGTCAGGTACAGGAACCTTAGTGAATAAGGAAACTACATCAAAACTGACAAGCAGGTCGTCTGGGGACAGGGAAATACCCTTGATTGTCGATACCAGGTGAGTAGAATTTTGTACCGCAGAGGTGGTCTTTCCAGTGAAAGGACGCAGGATTTCAGACAAAAAACGAGCTAGTTTGTAGGTGGGGGAGCTGATAGTAGAGACTATGGGACGAAGAGGTGTATCTACTTTATGTATTTTTGGTAAGCCATATAATCTTGGTGGCCTGGCAGCAGAAGGTTTCAACGAAAACTGTTTAGATTGATCAATTAATGCGGTTGAATCAGAAATTATTTTGTTGGTTTGTGTGACGAGGCTGTTGGTGGGATCTCTTTTTATTTTTGTATAACTACCATCGTCGAGTAATTCTTTAATTTTGTTGTTGTATTCTATTTTATCCATGATGACAGTAGCATTGTCTTTGTCAGCTGAGAGGACTACAATATCATTCCTCTTTTTTTATTTATATAATTCAAAACGCTCATCTTTGCTGAGGTTGCTAGCTGGCATCTTAGCGTTTTTGAGGGTTGCAGCGATTTCAGATCTTGCTACGTCTGTAGCGATGTGACCCAGGCCCCTGAGAGCAACGTCTACTTGGGCAATTATATCATTAACTGGTATGTGTTTAGGTGTGACTGCAAAGTTTAGACCTTTAGCTAAAACGGATTTCAGACCATCAGAAATAGAACTGTTACTGCGATTAATTACGACTTTATTAACGTCTAACTTTTTGGTGTGTGGGTCCGGTCTTTTGTTGAAGAGGAGGTTAAATTTGGAAATCAGGTTTTCCTTACATTTGGTCGACATAGTAGCAGCTGAAGAGGCAGTCATATTGTCTACATGTTCCCAATCCGATGTGGACATTATTGCCGTCAATGATAAGTGTGATTTGTAGAGTGTCTTGTCTAACTGATCTAGTTCTGTGCGTATAAGTCTGATTTTTTCTGAGATAAGAGCTAAGCTAGTTTTGAAAAGAATTCGTTTCGCATTAGAAGAAGTTACAGCAGCAGAGGTCAGTGTAGATGCGATTGGTATTACCCCAGAGTCGCGGCATCTCTTCAGGAAGGTGAGAGACTCGATCAGCTGAGCTTTCTTATCCCGGAGTTTGTTGAAGGATCTTAAAGTTATGTGAAAACCCTCCCCGTAGAGGCGATTCAATTTTGATTTAAAGCTTTCGTGACTGCAGTAATTCATATTCTTAGTTTTTTTCGGTAAAGTCACGTTGAAGAGAAACAACAAAATAATAAAATATATATAAAACAATAAAAAATTCTCACGACGTTTCGACCATAACTCAAACGGTCATCTTCAGGTGTGTTGGTTTGCATAAATTTATTTTTAAACGGCGCATTTATTTATTTATAAAAAACGTTAGCGCCACGCGCAGCGATTTGGCAGTTTACCCAGGACTAGTCCATCTATATTTTGGAAAGAGGAGGGGGGAGACGAATTTTTTTATAATGTATGCTGTCTGAAAGCCACTGTAAGCGTGAACAATCAATTAAGAACTGAAATGGTTTATCAAATCTTTCCAATGATTGCTAAGATTGAATCCATCTTCTCGGTTGAAATTGTCTCTGTGCTTGTATATGTGGATAGCCTCATGAACGAATCTCTCATGGAAGCCAGATGGCTTACAAAGAACCTCTGTCTTGGAAAAGTCAATGGCATGTGAGCCTACTGAATTAGAACAATGATACGGCCGAGGTGTTGGTCCTACCGTGTTTAAGGTCTGCTTTGTGTTCACGAATGTGGTCCGAGACATGGCGTTTGGTTTCTCCAATGTAACTACTACCACAGAGGCAACTTAGTTTGTAGACACCAGGGTATTGTATGTCCGGAATCACATCTTTTACAGACGGAACCAGATCACGGATTTTATGTAATGTGTTGAAACGGACCTGGATCTTGTGTTTATTCAAGATTTTGGAGATCTTTTTTGTGATCCCAGCAATGTAGGGTCAAGTGATGGTTTTGAAAGGCGCTAACGTTTTTTTTATAAATAAATAAATGCGCCGTTTAAAAATAAATTTATGCAAACCAACACACCTGAAGATGACCGTTTGAGTTATGGTCGAAACGTCGTGAGAATTTTTTTATTGTTTTATATATATTTTATTATTTTGTTGTTTCTCTTCAACGTGACTTTACCGAAAAAAACCTAAGAATTTGAAAGAACCTGTACAGGCTGAGATGCGTATGGCCAGCAGCGTGCATGACGCTTGCCCAGACAAAGGGGACTCCCCTTCCAAACAATGACATCACCACCTCCTCCTCCTCACCACCTTCCACTCAAGCCATCAACTCTCCTTACTACAGGTAAAATGAAGTTAAATGTTCATTTATTTCATTTATTCCATGTATTTATTCATTTATTCCATTTATTCATTGTGTTTCTTGTTTTTTTTGTATGATTTTATGCATGCAATTACTGTAAACTTCGTGCAAAAATGATTTATAACGAGAGATTTCTTGTGTCTGGAACCAATTAATGTCATTTACATTCATTCTTATGGGGGAAATTAATTCGGTGTTTGAACAAATCGGTGTTCGAATGGCCTTCTGTAACGAATTAAGATCGATCTCCGGGGTACCACTGTATATGAAAGGTGCCGCGGTGGATTTGATCTTTGCGCTGGTCGTGCGAGTGCGCGTGACGAAGACGAGAGCTAACCATGAAGGGGTTGTTGACCATCGCAGAGATGGGCTGCGCAAACGGGATCGCAGCAGCAGCAGCAGCAGCTGCCTTGGGCTGCACGAATGCTCCAAAGGGAGTGCCTAGAGGAGACAAACACAACAATGCCGACAATTGCAGATGATCTACAAAAAATTTCTCCCCGTTGCCTTTAACAGACCGTTTGGGGCAAATGCCGTTTAGCGAGCAGCTATTATTATGGCAGGTAGGGGCCCGTGGGGGTGGGTGGGTGGCCAGCACCATGCATACACTATACACACAGCAGCATTTGTACACTTACCGTTGTGCTGTGCAGGGTAGGCAGGCGGCTGCATGTACAGCGCCTGCTGTTGCAGGGTAGCCTGCTGATGCTGCTGTTGCAGAGTAGCCTGCTGATGCTGCTGTTGCAGGGTTGCCTGCTGATGCTGCTGTTGCAGAGTAGCCTGCTGATGCTGCTGTTGCAGGGTTGCCTGCTGATGCTGCTGTTGCAGGGTAGCCTGCTGATGCTGATGCTGCTGCTGCTGGTGATGCTGCTGCTGCTGCTGTTGGAAAACAGCTGCTGCCGCTGCCGCCGCCGCCGCCAGTGCGGGCGGCGGCTGCTGCGTGAAGGTGCTGGGTGCCGGCTGGAAGCTCGGCACGAACGCCGAGACCGGGGCCGCAGTGCCAAACCCGGACTGCGCTCCTGCCGAACTGAACGCGGCAAATCCTGGAGCGCGGCAGAGAGGGGGAGGGCGCGGCATGCGAGGCAGGCGTAAGGGCAGGTAGCACTCAAATCGAGTGGGACGGCCGAATTTTCGATGCTCTGCAACCAATGTCTGTTTTTTTTTCCACTGGTACAACCCGAGCCGAGCCAACACGGCGCTCTCGCGACACAGGCGGTTTTCCATTGCCGATTTGACGAACTGAGCCGGAACCAAACCGTGGCACATCTGGGCCAGGTTGCATGAAACAACTTAAGGGAGAGTGTCCCTTAATTTATATGTATTTAGATAGGAAACTGGCATTGTTGTCTGCGGCTTGACCCAAAGCAGGGCCAGAAGTGGCGTTATAATTTTCATCGTTGCCATGCGACGTCAGTCATTACGTTGCATTACTACCGCGTCATCAACGCACATCTCGATTAGTTTATGGTGCGCGCCCGTCAGCGGCACGGCTCGGCTTGCGCAGTCGATAAACCTGGCACCTCCTGAGCTGCCCTAGGCTGACTCGGCCAGGCCCCAGCATGAAAAGCGATGATGGGATGGCATTCCAAAGTCGGGTGATGCGAGGAAAGGAGAAAAAAATGGTTTGACCTCCAATACGGCGGTGGCCAAACAGTGTGAATGAGTCCAACAGTGTGAATCACAAACAGTTTGTCAGATCTGTGTACTCACCACTGGTGGAATCATCAAAGGAGTAAAGTTCATGGAACAATAACCATTGTGGTAGCAATAAAAGAGTGATAAGGAGGTGACTGACCGCCGGTGAGCGAGTGACAAAATGTGAATCAGTGAGTGCTTGGTGATGAAATCTAACAAGCTTTCAGATAATTAACTTATTTAGAATTATAGTTTATAAAAAAAAATCTTGCTGTCTGTAAGATGGGTAGGCTGGGCTGTACAGGTAGACTCAAGGTAGACAAACAAAAGTGTATTTCGAAAGCTCTGCATATCTCTCCATGTGCATTGTGACCTCACCATTTGTCTGGAAAGGATTTGGAGAACCAGACACTCCCACTCCTACAAACGGGTTGGTTGCACCTACAAAGAAACAAAACCGATGTCATTCAATTGGTGTTCAGCTAGTCGATAAGGCCATACCCGATCCGCCACTGTAATAGCAAGGCTCGTACTTGCAATTAACTTGTGGGTATGCTAAACTCCCGACTTGTACATGGACACCTTATCTATCTTACTCTACTCCGCTTCAAGTACTCTTTTACCTCTTGTGTCCCTGTATATGTATTTCTGCTATCTTATACCTCGTATTTGTTCACTCTGTCTATGCTGGTTTGTTCAACCCAGAGGATGAACACGAAATTTAGCACTCTTTTGAAATTCGTGGTCTGCCAGGCAAGTGTCTAACTGTGTCGTTGGCCGACTGGTTTTGCATCACGTAAATTTTTCTTAGGTTTGTTGAATTCTCGTCTCTCATCTTCTTGTTGTATTTACCTCCGTGCAGTTTAACGCTCTCTATGTGTTGCGTTGATGTCACCCTATGTGCTATTTGTTTTTTTACACCTGATGAAGATCGCTTGTGTTGCGGTCGAAACATCGTGATTGATTTATTTTAATAGAATTTTATGGTATTTCTACATACGTGACTTTACTCTCATCTCACTCTACTCCCCTCCACGCACTCTCCTACCTGAAACCAATGAGTACTCTCCCCCTCTCATCTCACTCTACTCCCCTCCACGCACTCTCCTACCTCTCCCCTCTCATCTCTTCACACACAATCTCCACTCAAGCAAACAAACCTTTCTGTCGAATCCTCCAGTCAAGCTTCGTTTTAGGAGGTCACTCATTCTCGTCTGCTGCCATCATGGTTTGCAACTCGATTCCCCCAGCCATCCCTGCTGTAATTTCCCTGCCACTGTTCCAGTCCATGTTCCAAATCCTTCCTTTTCCCACTGCATAAGACTGTCTGCCTCTTTTTCTACAACAAACACGCACACCGTTTCCTATTTCCGTACAGCGTATGAATGTTGAACTTCTTTCGCATTGTACATAGCCAACCGTGCTCATCAGATGTGCGGGGAAGGTTAACAAACAAAAAACAGTTCTAAATAAATGAGTATTCAATCTAGATTAAAAAGTGCATAGCTCCAGTGGCTTCCTAATACCCGAAGAGCATTCCAGACGGCCACAGCAGGGCATCTGAAAGCGCATGATGCAGTCTTCATTAGCCAAAAGCTGCCGCGAGGATGACCGGAGTTTGCGTGAAGGTTTATGCCCCTTGACGAAATCAGCAAGGTATTGTGGTCCATTTGTGGCAAGCACTTTACGTGTAATGAGTGCGACCTTAAAATGTATTCGTTTGGCAAACGGAAGTCAATGCAGCTCAGTGAGCACTGGACGGACACGGTCGGATCTTGAAGTACCCGTCATGGCACGTGCCAAAAAAAATTCGACACGCTGCAGCTTGATGTTTTTTTGCCAGACTCCTGTAGAGTAGCGAGTTGCAATAATCGAGCCCTGTCGAGACTATGCTACACGCCTTGAGACGTGGTCACATCTGAACGTCAACCAAAACCGCCACTTTGTCCCCTGGTGGCTCGGTGTCGCGGGGCACGGTACCTGGGAAGGGAGGTACTGGCACGCTGGCCGAGTGGTGCACGGCCGCCGAGGCCGTCGGCTGGGGGCATCCGACCCCGTACGCGCCGTCCAGGACAGCCAAACCCGCGTACTTGTCACCGGGAGGTCCGGACGTTGGCAAGCCGACTGATGGGCAGGAACACCAAATAAGGGAATCAAAGCGAGTGCAAAAATAAAATTTGGTTTATTATGTAATAATAGTAATATCTGATACTAAAGATGTATTACCGAAACTTATCAACAGAAGGTGTGTACCGAATTAATTGCAATTGCAAATGCTATATTGGGCAGACAGGACGAATGATCGGCACGATACTAAAAGAACACCAAAGAAATGTAAAACTCCCAAAGACAACTGTCGGTGGTGGCAGAACAAGGACACTCAATTGATTTTGATAATGTTGGAGTTCTGTGCAAAACTAGCGACGACTGGCCAAGATTAATTAGAGAATCTATCGAAATTGAGAGCAATAAAAAATGTAACCGTTCGGATAGCTACAGGTTTAGTGCTGCTTGCAAGCGAATCATCAAATCACGCATTGTTTAAATGCGTGCCTACACAGGTCACCATACATCAATGGGGATTACCCGTACACAGACAATAACAGGTACTGTAAAACCTTGGATTGCGAGCATAATTCGTTCCGGAAACGTGTTTGTAATCCAAAGCACTCGTATATCAAAGCACTCGTATATCAAAGCACTCGTAAATCAGTTGTGATCACGTGACGCTCGGCAGTACAAAGCGTATTGCAAGACATTGCTCGTTCATCAAATTAATATTTAATTACAAATTTTGTTCGTCTTGCAAATCACTCGCAGACCAAGTTACTCGCAATCCAAGGTTTTACTGTGCTGCTATTTTTATTGCATGCAAACGACAGGAGGTTACAAGAACAATGTGCATGCATCATGAACGTTCATTACCGTATATATAACCCAAATGCGAATGGATACCAATTGTAATTTATATGCCTTCATTAATCCCCCCCCACCCACCCCGCACGCGAAGGGCTCACAAGTTACGTCATCACATCTATCCCTCTATTTAAGGAACGAAACGGGAGGATTTATTCTCAGATCTGGCTGTCGCCTGATGAAGCTAGTTGCAATTACTGGCGAAACGTCGTACTCGGATTGTAAATGTTGTGGATTTGCTCTACAATACACCGGTGGTGCTGTACTTGTAACGAATTGGCTTGTTCTGTTTACGTGACAAACCTTACTAATTGGCTGTGTCAGGTGGTGGCAGGTTTAACGACAAATTTATATTTACGCGATCCAACCCAAAAATATTGGTCGCGAAAGCCTACGTGTTAAACAGTAAGGTCATTTGTTAACGCTGATAATACAACAGCATTTGTACACCCAGGAAAGGCTGCAGAAAAGCCGTACCGGCAACTTCTGGATTGCAAGTTCAGTGTGCTCACCACTACACAACCACAGCATTCGTCTTCATGCCATAATGGCCCTCATTTACCCAGGAAAGCCTCACTGATTGTCAAGAGTTGTATGGCATGAATTGTCAAGAGTTGTTTTTGGTCGCAGGACGGTCCTGCTGAGTTTTTTGAAAAACGGGGGGGAGGCGACGACAGCGATGGCAATGTACGATCCCCAACAGAGTAATTTTGGGGGTACTTTTCTCTTGAAATTATTAGTCGACAAACTTGGACCACCGACGCCTGCACACTCTCTGGCCCCCTCTCGTTCAGATTGTCTCTGTGTATGGCAGCACCGTGAGGGGCGTGCGGGGCGACCCAACGTCCTCTCACCTTCTTGCGGTTTGGTCACCGTGCTGAACAAGCTGTCGAGGTCGGCCAGGGCCGCGTACTTGTCGGCCGGGGGGACGCTGCCCTTCGGGGCAGCCGACGCGGCGGACACGGCGCCCAGGTCGGCGCTCGAGGACTTGGGGAAGTTGTCGAAGTCGGCGAAGCTTGGGAACGCCGAGCTGGACGTGCCCCCTGAGAGCAGCGGAAGCAAACGCGGCGGCGGTACCTCGTAAACGCGGCGGTCTCTTGCACAACCGCCACCACCACAACCATCGCCACCACAACCATGACAACCACCGCCACCACAACCGCCACCACCACCACAAACATCACAACAACCCCCACCACCACCACAACCATTACAACCACCACAACAACCCCCACAACCATTACAACCACCACAACAACCCCCACCACCACCACCACAACCATTACAACTGTAGTGACATCGCGGATGTCACTGTGTAATGCCGGCTCTCGAGAGGCACGGCGTGCTATGTATTGACATCGCGGCCACCACTCACATGTGGGTGCAGTACCGGCCCTAGAGGGGCTTGGTGAGCTCTGACCGACAGCGCTGGATGGCACCACGCTCTGCGTGCAGTGCCGACCCCTACAGGACGGGGTGTCAGGGTGTCGGCCACGGGCATGGGGTTACTATAGGCCATGGCACTCTGGTTGACCCTAGAGGACACGTCACCGGTAAAGTCTACACAGGGGCCCCAGGTGGGGGCTAGGGGTGGTCACGTGACAGGGTCGAGATCCTGCTCGAGGATTCTAGAAGGTGGTCGTGGCTAAGGGCGGAGCCAGCCCCGCCACAGAGGATATCAGCCGGGTCCCCGAGAGGGACCGGCTGCCGTTGTTCATCCTGAAGAATCTAAGTTCCACGTACTACAAGAGTCACCAACACGTGTACCTGGACCCCAAGCTGAGGCCCGGTCGGTCGTAGCTAGTTCCAGTGTAATTAGAGTAGTTAGCCTGGTGGTCCACCACAATAAGGTTGTTATCTTGTTCAGGGGTAGTACCCCATGTGTTGGTTTTAATAAATGTGTTGCCTCCAATAAGAGCGTCTGCGACTCAGTTGAACTCACTACACAACCACCACAACAACTGCCACCACCACCATTGATACCACCACCACAACCATCACCACAACTATTTGTCATCAACGCTGTCTCCTACGTACTACGAAGGAGGGACATTGCGTGAAAAAAGTCTCCCCCATCATATGACCAGAAAAGTCACCGATTGTATGGGTTTGCTTTCAGGGGAGTGTTTATTGATGTGTAGAGTTTTTTTTTATTCGCGAGCAGGCACCACTACCAACGGAGTATAAACACGAATTTGTTTCAATTCATCGTGAAGCTGGCCGCCACATTATTGGTAAGGTCTGTGTGGTGGGATTGACACAGTAAGATATAGCCAGTAGGTTAGACATATGTGCATGGATATGTGAAGCCCTTTTGTTAATCAACTGCTGGATGCGGACCTATTCACGCCCTTACAGGCTTGTGAGGACTGTTTGACCATACTTCACCATGCTGATCTTTGTGGATTGGTGAAGGTGGAGAGCATAACAATGGGAGCATAGAAAGTACGGTATAACAATACATTTTCCTGAAATACTCTCTGCATCGCACCATATAGTGGAGAACTGGAGCAAGTTTTGTGAAACGAAAAAAATCATAATCAGAGGACCAAGCAAAGGTTAAATGGAGGCCTACTATCACCACACATCCATGGGGATATTGAAGGTAGCAGGGTAATAGAGATGTAAAGACGGATGTGGTGGGAGTATGGCATCACGCAATGGATCTCGTTAAACATGGGGAACATTGCTCGGCTTTGTGCCAAGAGTAAGTCCTGGCATACACTGACCATTGACCTCTGAATCCTGAGTTGACACCAATATATTAATGGATAGGAATCTATTTAGATGTTATGGTCATTTTATAGTTTTTTTTACTTTTACCGCAGACATTGCTAGGGTGCCAGGATGTGTCCTGCTGACAATGAGCCGACAAGGGAGATGTTATAATACGCCTCTTGCTAAAGTAATGACCGCTGAGAAAAACAGGCAAAAACCAGCGTTGAAAAAATAATAATCACACGCCGTGGAAAATGGACGGAAGCAGAACTGGACGGAACACGTTAAGGAAATCTGCTGCTTAAGAATACCGGGAATTCTTAGCTGTCAAGTGTCCACGGCACTAACATGTGACTGTGACCCCCTTGACGGCAGAGCGCGACAATGTTTGATGACTGGCACGGTAGCGCCACATGTCAATAGCACGGGGGGGGGGGGGGGTTCAGGAGGGAAATGGCCGTGTTCGGGGAATGATAAACAGAGTCGCCATTGTGTTGGCACGAGTGTACTCGGGGCAAATATGGACGGAACAAGTGGCGACTGCTCTTCTCAGCAATCTGCGTTTGACAAATTCCGCCATAACAACCCGCCTCCCTGGGGTGAACAACCACTCAATGTCTGCCTGCATTCCTCGATGTACCGATCAATTTTTTTGTGGATTTTTTCGGTAATTTTGACCACTTTTTCAGGTTCAGCAACAGAGATGAGCAACGCACCCCACTACCCTTTTGCTTGGGCCAGATTCTGATCATGATTAAACGGCCGAAAAGCACCGCGCCTTGGCTATTTGCCACGCAGTTGGTAACGGAGACATTTCACGCGCTTTAACCAAAAGAATCCGACAAACGTTCGCGAAGTTGCGAATCTAAACTCTTCGATTTCGTGAGGGTTATGAAAGCCCAAAATAAACCTTCAAACTGTGGGAGGTCGCTCCCTCTCCGTTGCCGGCCCCACTTTTTGGATGTCTCTCCCCTAGTTTTCACCAAATGTGGACTCCCTCTAACATCTTTAAGTTCAGACTTAAGTCCTTGCCCGCGCTTCTTGCTCATCTGCCCCATTGCTCAGTTATTTCCCTATTGTTCCCAATGTCCTTACACATGCGATTGCACCTACATCCAAATGATTACCTCTCCCCTTTCCCCCAGTTGCAGCTTCAATGTATTAATACACATTACAACGAGTTTATCAAGAGGGTGGGGGGTGGGGGGTGGAGGTGCTTGAGATGGCTTGTGCATAGTGTGTCATCACGCTGTGGCTCAATCTGTCAAACACTTGTTTTCATTTGGGTTTTTTTTTATATAGAAAAGTTTTGTTACCCTTATCTTAATTCTTGTTATTGTTTGTAAGTACAACGTACGTTTATGCAGTTTGTCTTGGACACCATCTGGAGATACGCTTGTATTAAAACGCTTCATAGTTTAAAACTGGTGGAGAAAGTGGCGCAGGTGTTGACAGCCTGTGCTCTGAACCCGGCAAGCATCGGTATCGAGCGATAACTCAACCGGATTCTCGGCCCACCCCTTCACCAACCAGCACCGACTTGTGTGGAGAAGTAGGGTCAAACAACCCTCATGGTCGCCGCGGAGTGGGGGGAAGCCCTCATTCAACAGTGAATCAGGGCGCTGCGGTGGCAAGATATTAACTACCTCGCCTGCTATGGAGGAGTTTCCATGTGCTCTCCGTGGTCGCGTGTATGCTACTCCGGGTCCTCCGGCTTTTCCCTCCACATTTCTAAATGTACGTTTAGAGTAGTTGGCCGCTATAAATTTCCACGTAATAAGCCACTTCGTTGAGCTATCGTTCGTGGCCAGGTCGCTTCTGAAAAAACAGCTATAAAGGTCAGTGGACCTTACCTGTTAAAATAAAATAAATGTTTAGTTTTTTTAAGGGCTGCACATTCTCATTATCGTCAACATATCACATATTGCAATTATAATGGACACTGGCAGGGTAGAGGGGTGATTGAGGTAAGATGATTGAGATGCGGTACCTGTGCTCTGTGCCCTCACGGGTTGGTTTGCCTTGGGGAAATTGGCAAAGCCAGTGGGCGCACCAGGTGCCCCAAACGCCTCAAACGAGGCGAAGTTAGTGCCTCCACTCGACGCTGAAATTGGAAAACACGCACCCCTTCCGCTCAGCTGCCAACACAATCTTACCAACCACACACTGAGACGATGTCAATCATACCAAGGCAATCTGACCAACCACGCACGAGAGACAATCTGACCAACCACGCACCGAGACAATCTGACCAACCAGACACCGAGACAATCTGACCGATCAGCCAGACACCGAGGCAATCTGACCGACCAGCTAGACACTGAGACAATCTGACCAGCCAGACACCGAAACAATCTGACAAGCCAGCCAGACACCCAGACAATCTGACCGACCAGCCAGACACCCAGACAATCTGACTGACCAGACACTGAGACAATCTGACCGACCAGACACCCAGACAATCTGACCAACCAGCCAGACACCGAGACAATCTGACCAACCAGCCAGACACCGAGACAATCTGACCAACCAGCCAGACACCGAGACAATCTGACCAGCCAGACACTGAGACAATCTGACCAACCAGCCAGACACCGAGACAATCTGACCAGCCAGACACCGAGACAATCTGACCAGCCAGCCAGACACCGAGACAATCTGACCGACCAGGCAGACACCGAGACAATCTGACCAGCCAGACACCGAGACAATCTGACCAGCCAGCCAGACACAGAGACAATCTGACCAACCAGCCAGACACCGAGACAATCTGACCAGCCAGCCAGACACAGAGACAATCTGACCAACCACACATTGAGACAAGCATAATTCCAAACAATGACTGGGCAAATTGGAGCCATTGGGTTTCCTTATCAAGAAAATAATTAGAAGTTGCACCATAGCTTAAATCACATATTGCAGGGTTACTTCTGAACATGTCGGTAACCTACATGTTTATTTATTATAATATTTCACCTGGATAATCCCTTGGAGATGGAGAACCTGGTTTTTCAAGGGTGTCCAGGGTGTGTCAAGTGACACAAAGCAAACACGTATTGACACGTACACACACACACATTTTAAGACGTACAACTTACACAGAAATACGCTGACAGGGCCCCACATGCATCTACACAGCACCAATAACAGGAACGAAACGGCCAGGGAATCGCGCCTGAACATAGCACCCGCTGTCAAGCATATGAGTAAGTGTTGCACACCGCCGGTTAATAGAGATTTTCCTCTGGCTTTAACAGTTGCAAACGTTAAATAAGCCGAGACGTTAAGACGTTAGTCTCGGCTTTTTTAGCTTCGTGCTCAAGATGATAGTCGAGTGTGAGCTGTAGGAAATGCTGATTAGAATTCAGGAGAAACTGAGTATGAGCTGTTCCAAAAAAGTGATGCTAATCACCACCGTTACTGCGTGATTGCACAAAATTATTCAAAAAGTTCTTATAACCATGGAAAAAAAATGGATTAAGGCGCAACTTCGCAGTTGCTTGCTCACGCCACTGCTGGCAGAAGAGCCTTCACTAGAGCGATCTCGAGAGGGTATTTGGTCTACTCTTCCACGTTGAACAGACGTGTTGGAAGAGATAGTCGTACCCACACTTTACGCCACCACAAGTGACCTGCCGATCGACTAACTGGTGAATCCATTTATGCTGCTGGGTAGATAGAGGTGGAGGTGAGAAACTCACCCCGTTGTTTTAACTGCTGTGCCAGGAGATGGAATCAAACTGGCAACCTCTATATTGCAAGTCCAGTGCGCTAACCATGTCAGCGTCTCCATAAGATGTACTTGAAAGACAATTATCAGGGGTAGGATTGTTTGAATATTTGCATTAAGATGATTACCAACGTCTCGTTTGCCCTGGAGGTATGAGAACAATCCAACTTAACATTCCAATGAAAACATTTCAAATGTAAAATGTATTTGTATGTGGCCAGACGCTACCCACAATAAAAGCCAAAAGGCATCTAAGTCATCAAGTCAGGCATGCAGGAAAATAGAAATACTTAACATTAAGTATGCATGCAAGGCACAAAAGCATCACAACTCAAAAACAAAACGTATGCTTTTCTAAATGTCACATTTGGGGTATGCGAATGTTTAAATCTGACATACCAATGTAAAAATAACAAAACAAAAATGGAATGTTCCTGCCGCGGCTGGGCTGCACAACTGGCGCTCACTTGCCGGCATGTCCATACGTAACCAAAACAAATAATCAAACGCACACCGTGAAAAACACCACGCACAGTGGGCACTAACCACTGGAGCCAACCCAGTGCCATGTGCATATATATTCTAATTTTATATATATTTATTATTCAGACACGTGTGAACCATCTGTGAACACACCGCTTCAGTTCCCATGTTCTTTGCCTGCTACTGAAATAACATCCCCAAACCACCATCGTTATGTGACCGCGGGCAAAAAAAAAAATGCGCCCAAACGCACCGGCCTTTGCCGAGCCGAAGCCCAAGTCTCCCGCGCTGGCACTGAAGTTGGCGAAGTTGGCGGAGGCGACAGAGGGAGCGGCGAAGGGGTCTCCGCCCAGCTCCCCCAGCAGGTCCACGTGGGATGCCTTTTTGTTCGTCTGCAGCTGAGGGTGGGACTGTGGCCTGCCCACAGCTGGGGACTGGAGTGGACCCGCAGCACCGACACAACCCCCAGGCAAAGCACGTTAACAAAACAGCAAAAAACACACCACCGTTGTTATTGTTACTATCTGTAGATTACAATGAAAGTGCGAAATTTGTTTATTTACTGCAGTATTCGAAGGCGGTCTATGGCAAAATATCCCGGAATGCACCCAATCTCGTCAGATCTCGGAAGCCAAGCAGGTTTGCGACCGGATAGCACTTGGTTGGGTGACCACGGTACATGGCAGGATGTTATAGGCTGCTTCAAGTACCCACACTAAGCAGAAAGAAGAGGCATGGTCTAACAACCCCCATGATCTACACAGTGTACGGATGCTTCAATCCAGTATCGGATTTTTTAAAGAGCTGCACATTATTTACGTAATTATATCTCTCGTGGACACTTTTGCGCCTCGGATTTTGTGCAATGTGTTCGCCGATATTCCGCCGTATTATCATACTGCTGTGAGGCTGCACGCTGCAGGAAGACTGATTCCACTGGGGGGGGGGGGGAGGGGGAAACGCATGCAAAAGTTCACAATTATTCGCGATATCCATGCACCGCCTCCCGTGCCTGTATTTTGCGACTCGCGTGTGAAATAGTTACATTTCTCTTCCCCAGTATCCTGAGCCCACCCGGCCTGCAAACAAGCGACGCGCGTCAGTCATGCCTGTCGCAAACGCCTTTCGTCGCTCGGCGATCGTGCGCCAAATTACGCCCACGAAGCATGGCATCCCGCCCACCCGCATTTCTGGGCAACACCTCGAGCAAACATGCCGCCTATCCACATAGCTCTGGACCGGCCTGGGTACACTGTCATTTCACAAGGCCACGTCTCTTGTGCTGTCCAACCAGAGATGGTTTGGTGGGTGGGATGGGCGAGTGGTTGGTACAAGGTACACAGCCTTGCCAGGTGGCTTAGTGGCTGGATGGTTGGGAGGGCGATTGCTTGGGTGGCTGGGTAGCTGGGTGGCTGGGTAGCTGGGTGGCTGGGTAGCTGCTTGGGTGGATTTCTGGGATTATGGGTGGGTAGCTGGGAGGGTGGGTGGGTTGCTGGGTGGATAGGTGATTTGGTGGATGGGTCGGTGGATGGCCGAATGGCAAGCTGGTTAGTTGGGTAGCTGGATGGGTGGTTGGGCGAGGGGCTGTCGGGCTGGGAAGGTGGCTGGTATTGCTCAGTGGTTGGACGGGTGGGGGTGCACACAAAGGCGGATCATTGGAGTTTATTAGTAACAAATCGGCATTTTGCGACCCCCACTGCCACTGTGTAGCATATTATTAAGTGCCAGGGACTCTATCAGATGATAGGACAATAGTCCGAGTCCATAATTGGCAATAAGTAACGGCAAAGCAGTTATAAGTGACTCACAGAATTGTGCGCAGTTGCGTATACAGTACACGACTTCCCCGAAGGCATCAGCACCTTCAGCGAGCGCGATGCCGATCACACAACGCGGTTCGAATTCGACCCTTGATCGATGGCTGCGTCATCGCCAAACACGCATCTAGTAAAAAGCAAGGGACAAGTCCCTACTTACTAATAAGTCCTTACTTACTAACACGTCCTTACTTACTAACAACTCCTATCATTTTTCATAGCTCGAGGAGTTGCCCCCCCCCCCCCCACCTGAAAATCCTGGCTCCGTCATTGGGTGCTCAGGCGGCATGGCGTGGAAGGAGAGACGAGAATGCTCACGAGTCATTTGAATCCGACCTCCGCTTTGATGAACCAATTAGTTGAGCTTCCCAGAGTGTGCGCGTCCGGTGTGGCGAGGCGCTTTTATGCAACCTCCATGGGAACGCATCAATTATTGAGGCAACTGTGTAGGGTTTTATAGGCCAGCGTGGGCATCCCGAGGAAGCCTTTTGCTGGTTTTGAAAGTGCAGTCTTTGGCCGCTCCCTCCCTCCCTTCGCACACAAGTGGGCTACGGTTTCGCAACACTGCACTGTTGAGTACCTGCTTTATAACACACATATGCGTCAGATTTGAAAGTGCCCACGATACTAGGACGACATTTCAAACCTATTAGTCACGCATAACTTTCCCAAGGCTATGCAATTTCCCAATGTGCTGTGAGCATGAATGTATGGTCAGACCGGGCACGTTTATGCAGAAACTGTTAACAGCACATGCTTGAGATAGTGAACTATTTACACAGGATTTCAGTAATGGTTAGGGTTGAGTGAGGGGCAGTGTTTGTTTATGATCATAGTTGGGTTGTTCTGTTAGCTCTATTCAGGTAAATGATCGTGACTTTGTAGGGATTTTTTTTTATCAACAGATGGCTGAAGGTCATAATTGCAAAGTGGCCAGTGACCAAGAACACGACTAAGAGTAGAGCAGATAAGAGCACACTTCTTGAACCGAGCACAGTTACACAGCCTTGGGAAGAGACATGACGGGATGGAGCGCCCAGGTCTGAGCAGTGCGTGGATGGAAATGAGCAGAGACAATTGTGTTCTGCACGATGGAGGTTGAACACAGGACAACTGAAAAAGCAGTTAATCTGGTAGAACGAGTCCTTGAAACGGATGGAGGCACCAAAGCATTAAGTTCATGGGAACAATGACTGCGATAGTAACAATAAAACAATTTGACAAGGAATCGCCTGATAAAACGAAAACTGCTGCTGAATTACCAGACGTTATTGGCAAGGGCACTGCATATAAACTATGGGAAGGGGGAAACTGGTCCGGAGTTCGCTTGCTTAAACAGATGCTGCTTAAAAATACAGGTCTGCAAAGCTAATAATAGGCCGATGGACCAAGTAATTTTTTTGTTTACATGTGGAGACACACGAGGAGTTCTGCTTACATACGATTCTACCGATGACCAAGGAGTGAAATGCGTCCTACGGGACATCCACCGAGGAGATGGGAGCAATATGAAATCAGATCGGGTGCAGTCGCTGGATATACTGTCGCATCGCCGAATAGTAAGAGGCGGTGGGTAGCTTGACGAGGCCTTCACCCAGCAGCGGATCGGTCGCAGCCGACGCTTCCCCGAACGTGCCGCAGCCAAGGCGCGAGTTCGCGCATGGGAGAAGAGATGGGCTCGGCTAGTGCCACTGCTGCACGCGTGACAGCAGGCCTTCACCTGCGTCGGGGTGTGCTTGAGGCTGTCCGGCGTCGGCGTGAGGCGGCCGGCGATGGCCCGGAGGGGCCGCACCTCCGGCGTGCTGCTGCCACTGCTAGCCGACGAGCCCGACAGTGATGTGTGGGCGGCCGCCACTGCCGTCGCTCGGGCCTGCTCCGGTGGAACGAACCTGTCGGCGACGCAAGAGCCGCCCCCCCCCCCCCACCACCACCACCGTCAGAAATGCACGGTTCACGGAGCCCGGAAAACTGAGAGGGCGATGGTCCCGGGTGTGCTGCCACATCAACCATTAATTACCCATGCATCTGGGTTCATCTCACAGCCGTATTGTTTTGCTGAACGGGCCTGCACTGCACAAATGGCCAGTTCCTTAATGCGTGGTTGCCAACCACTAGTGGTCTGTGGACCACTAGTGCTCCATATGGCTGTGAAAAGTGGACCGCGCAATTCTTGCAGGCTAAACGCAGCGGTCCGTAAAAAAGGTTTTTAAGGGTTCACAGGAATCTGTGCATCCAGAAAGTTGGGGAATTACCAAGTTAGTTTTTTTTGCATGTTGAAGGAAAACTGAAGGGCCACAAAAACAAACCCACACACAATACCGTTTTCCTCTCGCACGACTCAATTCAGGTTTCTAGAGATAACGGATGATTAGAGTAAAATGATCTCCATATATATAAAAGGCAAAGTTGTGAATGTGTGTCCGTTGAAAATGTTTAGCGTACTTCCCGACATGCAAACTTGAAATTTGCCATGTGGGTACTTTCCAGACTGGACACCATGCAACAATTATAAAAATACACTTTTTATTTTGGGGGGGGGGGGGGGAGCTCAATAATGCATATATTTTTTGCACGGTAAGTGAGCTGTGACGTCAGATCTGTCACGTGACCCGCGCATATGGAAGCGTTACACATTGTAGTGCAGTGGTTAGTGCGCCGCGCTACGAACCCGGCGACCCGAGTTCGATTCCCGCTCCCGGCCACCACCGGTGTCGATTATTTAAACCGGTCCTGGGCCTCCCCTAGGTCGACTCAGCCTCAAACGAGTAACTGGTGTGGTGTGTGAACATCGCCACTGGGGAGACAAAGGCGACCAGGCGTGGTGCTGGCCACCCACCCCCTCGTTCATAATAAAGGTTTTTGGGTTAGATCGCCTAAGTATCATAGTCGTAATCCTCCACCACCCGACACAGCCATAAGGTTTGTCACGTAAACAACGCGCCAATTAGTTACTACTTCAGCCCACCAGTGTGTTGGAGAGTAAATCCCCAACATTTAAAATTTGAATACGACATTTCACTGGTAATTACATCCAGCATCATCGGGCGATATTCCAGAAACGACACATTTATACTTAAGCGATCTAACCAAAAAAAACCTTAATTATGAATAATAAAGCCTACGAGTTAAACCGAGGATAAAATTAGTTCCACTTTGTGGGAAATTCAACAATAGTTCACCAATGGATAGGCTCGCCCCTGCCACGGCAATTTCCATAACTGGCTCGGCTGTAAATGGGCACTGCCTCAATGCTCATTTGAGCAGGAATTCACCAAAGTCTCAAAAAGAGTCCATGGGCCAGAGCAAAAAAAAGGTACCACCGAGGAGCATCTGAAATTAAACTGTAATGTATTTACACGGCTAATAATAAAGAGTTAATTATTTGATAACCCACCTCATTTAGAATGGTTATCACATAATTCACTATATAACACAATTGTTGTTCCTGGGTAGTAAGTGTTATTTCCTAATTGCAGAAAATGGCTATTATTCCCCACAAACTTTGCTTTTGTGACCAAGACTTTATGTGAACAAAAGACACAAATGCACATACTCGAATAGAACCAAAGAGTATGGATCCTTGCAGTCACGAAAGCTTCAAATCTAGAAAACAAATGCACATGTTTTCTCATTGAAAATAGGTAAATTTCAAAATATCACTGTCCTGGTCACAAAAGCAAAGTTTGTGGGGAATAATAGCCATTTTCTGTACTTTTGAGGCATAAGCAATTAGGAAATAACACTTACTACGCAGGAACAAATGTTTTTTTGTTACACAGTGTAATTCATTGTTGTTGACCACGTGATAAAATTGGAACCCGCTAAAGTTACACCACCTCGGGTGGTACCGACAAGTGACAAATATCTGGTCTGGGTACATCGACTCGAAGCAAGTCACAGGCTGGCTCTGGGCATGAATCAGCGCTGTATGTTGAACTTCTTTCGCACCTTATGTAGCCGACCATGCTTTTTGGAGGTGCGGGGAAAGGACAAATAAATAAATTAAAAACGCAGTTCAAAATAAATTATTTTCAATCTGGATTTAAAAGTGCAAAGCTCCAGTGGCTTCCTAATATCGGAAGGAAGAGCGTTCCAGATGGCCGCAGAAGTGCAACTGAAAACACACGATGCAGTGATCGTCTTTGTTCGACGGTGAGCCAAAAGCCGCCGCTGCGATGACCGGAGAGAATCAACACTGAGTGGCAGCAGTGCATACCATTTTCGCTTCTCATATTTGTCCTGTAGGAACTCCTTGGCCTTCTGGGGGTCCTTGAAGTCGGGCATAAGAGCAGAGCGCTCATTGTACAGTCCCATCCACATGTGCCGGCACACCTAGCACGACGAGACAACAAAAAACCGTTTAGGGCACGACGACACACAAGAGTGAACACGAACACATCATGCGACCAATTCTCAACTTTCCTGGATGCTCTTCTCAAAACCGTTTAAGTGCAGGCTTTTTTTCTTTTCATCTCTCACAGTCCTGTGATGTAACAACCTATCAAGCACCCGCACACGAGCTGATTTCATTGCTCCACCTCCCCCCCCCACGGATGTCTTCAGTGTGCCGTGGTCATGACTGACAGTTACATCGAAGTGTTTGATCCTGTGCTTAAAGCACATGCTGAGCCAAGTGGGCGGATGTTCATTTATTTATCTGTGCAAATTGTATGCGATTTTTATGCAATAATCAAATACATATTTAACATATTAATTATTTAGAAAGTTAATAGTGATTTACAGCTCTTTGTTAATTGACTGCAAGATGAAGGCCTCCCGATGTCGTTGGTCATGGGGGATCTTTGACCACACTTCACTATTCTGGTCAGTGCAGGTTAGTGAAGGGCAGACCTAAGAGCGGTGCAGGTATCGCTTGCTCAGAATCCACTTGCAACTGGTGTTATAGCCAGTCAGGAATGGATCTAAGGGCACTGGCTTCAGTGCATCGTGTGCTAACCACTGCACCACTGCTGTACCCAATATTGAAGATAAATTATGTAAATTGTAGATTGTGCGACACAGCGGTGACCAAAGCTTCACTTTCACACTTCAGCCAAACAATTCATGTCGGATGAACTTGTCTAACTCGAATCCAAATAAAACTGCTATCTGAATTTGGCATGTGGGTGAGCGATAAAAAAAAGTTAATTTTGTTTCGACAGATATGCCATTCAATACCCCTGATTAAAAGCTATCAGGTAAAACACACAAATTTTCGATAAATTAAAATTATCTTGCCCACGTCACTTCAATTCCGCGTAGGCCTGCCGAACATTTAGGAAGTGCTGACGTAGCAAACCGAGAGCAATGTTGTCGGAACCAGCTCGGTGTCCAAAGCCGTGGCTTGTCCTGGAACGATCAGACGTGTTTACAGAGTCATCACCGACGACCGCTAACCCCACAAGTTTCGTGGTAAGTTTACTATACAAGCTTTGCTTACCATCAGGGGAATACTGGAATGTACTTATTTACCAGCTGCTGAAGAAGTCATCATCTCGGTACCAAGCACTTCATATTGTTAAGGGAATACTGGAATGTTTTGTTTGACCACTGCTTAAGAGTGCACCGCAATAGCCAGCGTGTTCTATCTACGCAGGCAGCCACCATGGGATTTTAACAAGACACCGGTTCTCCTTGCCCGGCCTGTGGGGACTGGCTTCTGAATCCTTACACTCGTGCTTGTCAGCGAAACCATATCACAGCATTGTTGGTATAAAGGCGGACACGTGGCCCTTGGCAAATAATAGCAGAATAGATTCTCCCAAGTGGCCAAGGTCAGCCGCTGAGCTCCTGAAATCCAAAACTTGTTTCTTTAGTACATTTTAATTATTTGTTCTTTTGTCTTTGGTGAAGTTCAAAAGTAAAACAATACATTTTTTTAATTAAGTTTGTCTGAAGAAAAACATTTGCTTGGTTATTTTCGAGCGATTTTGGCCAAAGTTACCTTGAAATTATATTTCAACATGGTGCCTCTTTCTACAAGGCATGCACTTCTTTTGAAGATGTATTGTTTATTTATGTGGCAGGGATGATATTAAGTAGTCAAAAGGAAAGTGTTCAATATTGATTTCATGATGCGCACACAATGATAACTGCACTTAATTTCATTTCATCGAGCGCTGATTAAACAAAATGCATGGATTAGGTAATTCTATCAGAGCAGTCTCTCCACCGCTTTATTAAACTCTTGTCTAAAGTACTGCCACGTTCGGATCGTAGTGTAAATGGTAGCAATCTTGTTTTGTAAATTACTTAAAATGTATTCTCTGCCAAGTTACTTGTATTATTATTATTGTTGTACTTCATAATTAACGTTTTTGGGTTAGATCACGTTATTTATAAATGTGTTGTACCCCTCCACCACCCGACACGGCCAAACAGCAAAAAATGTGTCACGTTTACAAAAGACAAATAGTTCACTACTTTAGCCCACCGGTGTGTTGAAGAGTGATTTAACATCATTTTCAATTTTTGAGAACGACGTTTGGCTGGTAATTCCATCCAGCATAAATCGGGCAATTTGCCAATTGCCCACACATTTTTTGCTGCTTGGCCGTGTCGGGTGGTGGAGGGTTATGACACATTTATAAATAACGCGATCTAACCCAAAAACGTTTATTATTAATAATATTGGTCACGAAAGCCTACGTGGTAAATTGTTCTACTTGTTAACCCAAGAAATCCTCACCAAGTCTCAATACTCTTTTTTCTGCCAGGTTTTCACAGTAAGAGGCCACGATCGCTATACTATTTCCAATTAAGTAATTTATGAGTGTATATTTTTTTATTTGGACCATGCTTATGCCCAATAAGCCTATTCTTATTATTTTCATATGACGACACGGGATATTTAACATCCACTGTGAAGCAGACTCTGCATATTTTCTGTTTAATATACTCGTGGTATTAATCGTGGCCTGAAGTGATAAACAGGCTACATGTCGTGTATTTTAATATTTCAAAACTTGGCAGAGAACAACACGAACTGGGACTATCGCGCAGAATTAGGCACAAGTGCCACATTCCTAGTGAGAAAATAAACAGAAATAAAAAATGTGCCCGTGTCTTTGAAATGACGCTCAGCACGTATGTAACAGGAAAATAATAATAAAGCATCTTGCCACAGAGCAATTACTGGGTTGTAAATGTAGTCATACAAACATACCGAGGCCTGCTTAGTCATCGCACAAAAATTTCACCCAGGACGTCATTTGCTAACGCACGAGTAACTCACGATGTGGTTCAGAATAACCTTTTTTAATAACAATGACTTCATTTTAAGAGGTGGAACAGTGGCGCAGTGGTTAACAGCATTGTCCTATGAACCTGGCCACCCGAGTTCGACTCCGGGCCAAAGCCATAAACATTTGACTGGCCCACCCGCTTCAGCAACCCTCACCACCCAGGGTGGTGAAGTATGGTTAAACAATCCCCAACGATTGACAGGGTAGGGGGAGGCCTTCATCCAGCGGCAGAATGACAAAACTTTGTACATGGAATCAGGACAAACATCCAATGTAGACACATTCAGTAGAACAGCCTGGGTGTGAGATGCATCCGGATGTAAGGGAGAATGTGGCAGCATCCCTGGGACCATAGCCCTCTTGGTTTTCCGGGGCCTCCGGCAATCGCGAGTTTCTCACGGGAACGGTCGCGTCGCGAGTTGGTAAATTTTATTTAATTCATTTTAAAATAGTAGGTGGATGGGACAATTTTTTTTTTAAACCAAACCTCAAAAGCAACAGGATACAGAGGCAATCGTGGTGGTATTTTTGTCATCGAGATTTGCATAAGCAGCACATTTTTAATTCACGTCCGCTTTTCGAGAAAAAAAGGCACACGGCAGGGCTTTAGGATTGAACAGGAAGAGCCGCAGACAGCGAATTTCATACTGGAGGTCTGTGGCTGATCGACCCTTTCAACTAATGCCCCGGCGTTTTCTTATCTTTATGAGCAGAGCCAAAATTCAAGGTTTTTCTTTTTTTACCTGACCGATTACAATTCTCAATATAATGATTAACATTTTTTTTAAGTATCACAGTTAAACTTATCACACACATCATGCCCATGTGAATTTTAATGGTAATATGAGCAAACTCTAAACTGGTGTTTAGACATTCAGTGTCTCATCAGTTAAGAGAAAGGGCTTGTCTCGGACCCAGCTTTTTTAGAGGCACATCCACACCTGAGCGATCAGTTGCGTAACTTAATTACAGAGGCGTCCACATGTAAACAGGCCATTAAGTTGCACAATGTCGACAGTGATTTAAATTTGCAACAGATCACTCAGGTGTGGACCTGCCTTGAGAAATGTGTCCGAGTTCAACACAAAACTGCGTGCGCAAATTGCCCAGCTGCCCACGAATTTATGTCATTCCAGTTGTATCGAACTAGGACCAATTTTTTATACAAAAAAGGTACATTTCTAAGAAACAGCTGGCAGTTAATCGGCATTGTATCAAGCAAGCCTGACTGCAAATGAGGCAATGAAGGTCAAAACCAGTCCAGAGTTTTGAACCAGAAGACCGTGTAGCCATTGGGATGTATAAAAAAAAAATAAACTTTTCTGTGGAGAAAAAAATATTAGTTATTTATTTTGTTTTTAACATTCTCCAGAATTACACTGAATAAATATTTTGTATTTTATGGACAAGAGGCCACTGATATCTACCTCTGTAAGCAACTCATTGCCAAACACAAAGCGTTGCACTGCTCTGCGAGAATGGATACTTAAGGACATTACGCCGTTAGCATAACTGTGGTAAACTATCTTCTTTGGTTCTTTCGGTAAAGTCACGTAGAATGAGAATAACATAATAAATTAATAAAATAGAATAACACAATGAAATTATCACGACGTTTCGGCCACAACACAAGCGGCCTTCATCAGGTGAAGGGACTGTCCTCCAGACCTGATGAAGGCCACTTGTGTTGTGGCCGAAACGTCGTGATAATTTCATTGTGTTATTCTATTTTATTAATTTATTATTTTATTCTCATTCTACGTGACTTTACCGAAAGAACCAAAGAAGATGAATCCTTGTGGTAAACTAGGTTGGGTGGCGGGGGGTTGGGCAAAAATTACAAACACGTTTTGAAATGTCCCAATGTTTTATACTGGGTTCTGAAATTACATAAATGATATTGTACTCAGAAAGGGTTAAAGACAATTTGTGCATGTTCCATTATGCTGGCTCCGTGAACCAGTTGTCATGGATTTACGAGCTCCACTTACAAAGCTTAGCCGAGCAAAGAGACTACTCTAGCGACACGCAAGCACTGAGTGTAAATGTCCAGCCGCCCATAGCTTTTAAACGAGCAGAGCTTGCAAGGCTGCTTTGTCAAACTCCAATTGTGTCCGTTCCAAGTGAATTGATTGATACAATTAGAAACCAGGCCGATGTCAGAGGAAGTGGGAGTAATGAATCAATGCAGCTTACACCGTGCACAAAATTGTTACAACAATCTTGTTTGGATCGCTGATAAACACACAGACGTGGGATGCTATGCCCGCGGCTGCGAAGCGTCGCTTCAGAGAACTTGCATCTCAATGTCCTCATTATAAAGCAATGTTCTGATGAATAACAATCAATGGTAGTCAGTGTTCGTTGAAAGACAAACTTTCAGGCTTCACATGTTATTGGTGGAAAATGATTTGCTCAGACATTGACATGAAGAGCTTCTGCCTTCAGCACACATTACTGCAATAACAAATCTGCAGAAGCCCCCTGAAGACTTCCTACTGTTGGCCAAAAACAACAGGGCTTCGCACACATCAATGCTTCGTTATATTTCACACTGTGACAGCACATGTTTGTGATGTAAACACACAGACATCCACCGCGTGTCTTGATCATTTGTTCTGGATAAGAATGCTTAACTGCTGCAGCTAATTCTTACCCACAAAACTGTGCTTGAAGATTCAAGTTTCCAACAGTGATGGGGGGGAAAAGCAATTAAATGTGAAACTGTGGACAGTCCTTTGATAGCAATGCTGGCAGCAAGTTATGGAGGTCAGAATTCACAACATTGATCGCACAACAAAGCTTAAGATCGTGTCCTCCGAACAATGGAAAATTCTGAGTGGCATCTGTAGCCTCCACCCAGTCTGCTTTCTTACCCACACTGTGACCTTTGATGAAATCGGCTTTGTCCTCCAACATAAACATTTTAAAATTATTATTTCACTTTGACTTTTTCCATTTTAATCCAAATGTGATATTGGCATCAAAGTATCCATTCGGAACGCGTCACAGAGCACTGTACCAACAACTGTAAAGATAACGTCCCGTGAAGGAGATACAACAGAACCACTTGTGAGATCGCCTCAATCGCCCTTTTTATCCACATACACCGGTACAAAACAGGTCCCTGCAGGGTGGACTGGTAGAAGTTCGCAAATGAGATAATGTGACTTCCAAATGTTGGGTGCAATAAGACATATCAAGTCTCTGCGCTGTCTATTGCTGATTTTACACCCAACAGCACGAGATTTCACTTCGTTAAAGTATTGAAAGGGGACGGACAGACACATTAATCTATTGCAGGCTGGTACACTCAGTTTACAACTTCGTTCCTACCAGCATAAATGTTCATTGCATGGCAGTCAGAAACTTTTACATTTTCAGAGCTAGAATTTAACCAAATTAAGTGAAAAAAGCTATTGCAGGGCTGCACATTTGCCTACTCCTGTTTTCAAGGATGAGACCTTGAACTCAATAGGCTTGAGAATCCTCAATTAATCATGGGTGAATGAAACCCTGATTCAAACCATGGCCCCTCAAGTGTTGCCAGCTCAATGCTGACCCCTAAGACACCCATCCACCATCTAGTCCAGACATTTCAAATATAAGGGTGTTCAACCACTTTCCATGTCGAGTAAAAAAATGATATGCTGATGCAAGAAAGAACACACGTACCAGTTAGTCTCACTTGTGACATTAGCTTGCCATCTCTCACCTGGGTTTATACAAAGCAGTGCCTTTTAATATATTAGAACTGCGGTTGCAGTATGCCAAAGCATGCATCCCTTACCTCATTACCATTTTTTTGTAAAAATTCCACCTCCTGGTCAGTGAAGGTGGTCATGGAGATGGATTTAATCCTGTGCGGAGGGTTCAGACCCCGTCTGAAATAATAAACACGATCAACGAACCGACATTAGTGCAGTAAACATTTCCACGTCGCCAATACTCAATTGCCCATTACGTAATTGTCTGGACTGCGCCATTCATGTAACTTGAGCTTGCTGTTGTTGAAAAATACTTGCCTCTCACGAGTGTGATAACAAAGCAAGTCAGTGACACCTTGTCATGCTTCGGGATATACAAAAATAATACAATTCTGCTTTTTAACTGACAATTTGTAAAGGTGGATCGTTAGACTGGCACCAAGGCAAGCACTGAATGTGCAACAATATTTACTTTAGTAGAAAGTTCAAATTTCTGCAACAAATTTCTAAGCAAACACACCCTGGGACTTTTCCCACGTAACTTTTACCGTACCTGCCAGTAGGCTTGAGATGTAAGGATGTGGTTAATTGGTTTCACTTCACGTTGTAAAACAACTGTACAGTTTCCGTGACACATTTCCATTATCGCACGCAACAATCCCAGACGCACAGTTATGTTTTGTTGCTTAATAAAAAAAAATCATTTCTTTGGGCCTGGATATGGTTATGTCGTATAGAATGGCTATGACAGGACAATAGTAACAAATGCACCGCAATTGTAAACATTCAATTCCATCAACTCTCAGTATCATAAGCGGGTACAACATCTTCAACCGAGCATCCTTCCCATGAGAAATGATTGTGCATACTGTACGCACAACTATGCTCAAGGGCACAAAGAGGAGGACACAACCAAGGCAAACAGCTATGACACTGCATAAGATGGCCATGGGGACACAGCACCACGTATATTTAGAACCGGTAAGACAAAACTATTGGTTACCAGAGTCCCTGGGATTGCGCCACCATTCCATGTCAATATCTCCCCGTATCTGAATGGATCTTAAAAATGCTGTCTCAAAATAAGGAAAAGCAGCTTCCTCTACTTTGAATGCGTTGTGCTGCGTGTCCTGTTTAGTATATATTTATAAAAAAAAACATTGCTTATTTTTCTAGTTATATTCCTTTTGTTGTATGGGCGTCATGCCATGAAGACATTTCCATTCAGAAACTATTGCACCACACTGTGTCAAGAGGATGGCACTAGAGTGACGTCACTACAGCAAAGGCCTGTTTATCCACATTCGGCGCTCACCTTTCATTTGCCATACAAAGCCTGTTCAGCGCATGCCATTCAAACCGAATATTTAATCATCTGCGGCAGAATGAATTGAATTATGATTTTTTTGTTTAAGCCTGCAGTCGGCCGTTGGTGATCGGGGTTCCGAGTGAGGGCGAACTCGCTGGGTTTTTTAGAACCCCCCCCACCCATCACGGGTGACTGCGATCTGGATTCAAAGCGGGAGGATGTTCGGACATTGCCAGCTCAGCGTTTTGACCCACCCACCCCCATGAGCCACCCGGCGGCCACCCCTGAAGATCCAGCGTGTGCCGTTTAAAAAAAAAATAGAGTCGCATTTCCTGTCTCAGCGTGAGCTCGTGTCGTGCCCCGAGCTTGGTAATCTTGGTTGGGGTGGGGGGGACGTTTCTCGCCTCCCTCCCCTCCCACAAATGCTGCATTCTAAAGAATGCCGCACGAATTCTGGAGCTGCTTTAGCCTCAGTGGTCATTGCGAAAGGGGGCATAAAAACAGAAAGCCAAGTCACCCGCACCCCCCCCATGGCCCAAGCCACTCGAGCGTGCACAGTGCAGCAGCAGCATCATCAAGCCCATTAATAAATGGGCCTTTTGTGCCCCTATTGACAAATGTTCGGTTGTCCAGCCCTTGAGCAACGTAACATATAACATTTTATAAGGGCTGGGTCGCAAACGCTTGGGTGCGTTGTCCGTGTGCATATTTTCCAAAAGTGCGCGCGCGCACACAACACACGCGAACTTAAATGCAAACTGTTCCTCTCGCAGCAAATGAACGACAGTCCTTGTGGAATTGGAACACTCTGACCTCATGCACTGTACTGCGATCAACGCATTACCACAACAGAGTTCCACCACCATCGTCCATGCTCTAATCCACTGTTGGACGATGCCGTCCAAGAGCCGTCGTTACACTCCTTCACAATTCTGCGATGCTGTTAATCCACCTAGCCACCTACACATGAGCTATTTGCATGTTTCCAGCGGAAGTCCACTTGGGACGCATTCCATTCCTTGCTGGCCACTGCCGTAAATATTCTTGACCATGGGTCATCGCCACCCCCTTTTCGAGCCGTGAGGTGTCCGAACCAAGCCCGTTTTTTAACATTCTTCCGACGTTCGAATGGTGTCATTAAACCTCTCTCATCCGTGTGTGTTCATCACCATCATTAATGCGAAATTCAACGCCACAAAAAGCATGTTCACACATCGACAAACACTTATTTTCCCATCACCGTCATCAACCATCACCAAAACCACTCAAACACCAACACAACCACGACTAACCAACCAAAGATCCCCCGTATAGCCAACACGGACTGTTGGGACAAGTCATGTTAGCGAGCACCTATTAATGCCACGAGAATATTGTGGCCAGAAATCACGCCCGACCACCTTTGTCTCCCTATAGCATATTTACACCGAACCCGCTACTCACCTAGGAGTCGCATGACTGATGTTGGCCGGGAATAGAACTCCTGTCACCGGATTCGTAGCGTAGTGCGCGAACCACAACACTACCGCACACCACTTACCACCGCCACAATTAAAATCATCACCATCAGCTTAGCCACTTACCACCACCGCATCACCACAAACACAATCACCGCAACCACCCACTCCACTACCGACACTTAGCACCACAGCCACACGCAACACCATCACCACCCACTATGATCATCATCTTCAGCACCAACACCACCAATATTGCCAACACCACCAAAGCCATCACCACCAAAACCACCGTCATTACCACAACCAAAACTACTATCTTCAACTATCACCACACAACCCTCACCAACATCACCACCACCACCACAAGCACTCACAAAATGCCGCTGCAAGTCGTGCACACGAAGCTGCCGATGGTCGTGTTGACGTAGGTGGGCCCCCGCTGGTCACACTCGAAGCATCGCCGGTTGTGTGTCAGGCTCGAGATCTCTCTCAGCACCTTGAGCTGCTTGTCCTCCTCCCCTCTCCTCCTCGCTGCCGCCGCTGCCGCCGCCATCGTGAGTGACTCTGCTGCTCGGCTTTGCCGCCGCCGCCACAGCCGCCGCCACCGGGGGGGGTAGGGCCCTGGGCAACCACCTCTTTACATCTCCTAGCTCGAACGCGCATCGCGACCAATGCGCGAGCACGTATAGGGCGTCACGTGCAACGGCGTTCGCCAATCGCAACGCGAGTTTGGCTTATAAGGACTTGAAAATATAAATGTGCCCGAACACCGCCCACCAGCCCACCCTCCGGCCTCCAGACGTTGTAGGCGTCATTCCACGAGAATAATATTTAACAATTAACATAATTTATGTGACACCTTCGGTTACGCCCACCCTTGGGGGGGGAGGGGCGTGGCTTCATCCAACAGCATGAACGCGTACGTTACAATTAACATAATTAATGCTGTTTATGAAGTCGCGCCCCAGATCTGTAATATTTATATAGTTTTTTCAAAATTAACATAAACGGCCGTAGAGGCCAATGCAAAATTAGGGGTAATTTATGCGACTACGGCAAACGTGGTCACGTGACCCTCCCCGGCGTCGGCGCGGGAACCGTTTGATCGCCGTTGGTGGTCCCCGCGCGCTGGGCGTCGGGGAGAGCGCGAGGTGATTCGGTCGCAAATTGAAACGGCAAACTAAAAATGCGGAGGGGAAAAAAAATGAAATTACACAAACGCGCATCGCTCCCCCACCCCCCCCCCCCCCCAATTTTTTTGTTTACGGAAGAAGAAGAAAAAAACTTCCACACACTCAAAGAATTCTTAAAGTATAGGGAACGAAAAAAATAATAATGAATGCCGCCGGGGTGGCCACCCACATAGCGGGCTGAGGGGGAACGACGCCATTTCCCATTGTCCCGTCCGCGAAAGGCCGCGCTCCGTGAAGTTGTATTCCTCCTCCTCCCACCTCCTTTTAAAACTTGTGAATCGATAAACTACCAACCTCTACGTATGTCCTGATCGACTACTCTCTGTATCGACGAGGGGTCCGGGAGCTGGGTAAGGAATGGTGCCCGCTGGCTTTGCCCGTGAGGGTCGGCTTTGTGGTGGTGGTGGTGGCGGTGGCGGCGTTGTTGTTGTCGAGGTAGAGTCTTGGTGGAAGTAGAAGTCGTGGTGGTGGTGGGAGATCTCTGGACAATATAAAAAGCGTTGCCACACTTTGTAAGGGCCGTACCCACCGCCGCTCCCCTTTGCACATTTTAAACTTTTCGGTAAGAGTTTGCAAGCGGTGGTTCTCGTTGCGGTTTCTCGTGGGTTTTGATTGGGGCTTATCAAGACTTTGTGGAGTGTGTGGCTAAAGTTTTATTACGCCTTGTTCTTTCCACGTATTGGTCACACTTAATTTGTGGATGCACATTCTCTTGGTTTAGATGTTTGCTTCTAGTGTTGCTACGTTTATTATCCTGTATCCCACGTGTTGATTTCCAATGCAGGTCCTCCCGGACCTGGTAATGATTTTGTTCGCAAATTTATATATTTTTTGCAAATCTTTACACAGTTTGACCGTATTCTCTGGCTTCAAAATGTGTTTGTGCGTCTTATTTGCCGTTACGAATACGGTATCGGGCGAATGTGACAATCGTATATTGACAACATCCAAATTGTGGTATTTCAAGGTTCATGCCAGACCAAGATATTTGTGATTTTGTCGGTAACCACCGAAAAGATTCGTAAATTTAGCGGTTCCAGTTTATTGACGTGGCCAATAACAGTGAATGATGTGATATAATCATTTGAAATGTGTGGCGTTATCGAGTTAACTCTTGTAAGCCACTTAAATAATTCGATACTACAGTTTTGGCATATTAACCCTAATTTCTGATCTGGCCCATTGGCTAGCCCAACATTTTTGTAATAATCTATTCACAATGTAAATAGGTCCTTATTCGCTTAAGTTTCGTCAAAATTGCGCTAAAGTTTTTTTTGTTAACTAACTAATCAAATTGTAAATGCTTAGAACTGCTTATTCACAATTTGTTACTGTAATGGAATTAGCCGTTGGCCTCTGCTTACAAGTCCACAATCACTTAATGTAAATGTAATTTATTATTTTATTTTGGATTCGTTGTTTACTGTCAGAGGAACGCATCACACAAATGTTGTGCAAAAAAGGCCTGAGGTTAATTAATATAATGAAAATTTGAGATGCCAGCTATGCGAATTAAAGCAATTTGGCTCAAAGATGCATTAATAATTTCATTGATCACCAAACACGTTGATACATTCTAGATTTGAAGTTTTCGTGACTGCAAGGATTCATACTCTTTGTTTTTTTCGGTAAAGAACACGTAGGAAAAAAATTAAAATAAATTAAATCACGACGTTTCGGGCGCAACACGGCTTAAGTGTGTCTCAGAGCCACCTCTGAGACACACTTAAGCGGTGTGCTTTCGCTAAGTTGTCCGCACCTGAAGAAGGACGCTTGTGCTGCGCCCGAAACGTCGTGATTTAATTTATTTTAATTTTTTACCTACGTGACTTCACGTTAATGCAGTTGGATTAGTGTGGTCCACATGAGCAAGAAATGCAATGGGGGGGGGGGCCCTCTTCTTAGCCCAGAGCCTGTGGCACTCTGGCTTGTAGGCTGCAGTGCAGTTGCACTACCGGCACCCTCTATAGATATGCCTCTGTCTTAGTAAGCGTGTCACCAACCCTCCAGAAATTCAATGAATTGTCATTCAGGGGTCTCGTTTCAATTAAAGAATCAATAATTTTATTAACACATTTTTAATCTTGTTCGTATTTCTTTTTTTTCGATCAGGTTTGCACAGTATCATGAAACCAAAATCGAACATGAACGTTTAATTTTAATTTGCATACATTCTGAATCATTTATTTTCACATGCTTGGCTGATTGAATCCATTTTAAACTATTATTAAACTCAAGGAATGATCGGAGAGGTTGACAAAGTATATTTTAAGCTCATGATGGCTTTTTATCACTTAAAGTTCTTATATTCATATTTCTAAAGCTTAAATTTATGCTTTCGTCATGCTCAAGATTAATGCAATCGTTTTGTGTAGTCCTTTGTCTTGAAATACCAAAAATGCTTCGTTACACTCATAATTTACTTGTTTTCCCAAAAAAGCTTTCATGAGTTTCAAGATTGTTGACATCTCCACAAAACGGTACCTATTTTATCATCCCAGACGGATGATGGGCTGAGTCAACGTCCAACCAAGATTTTAACTGGCAACCTACGCTGCTGAGCCACGTGACTTTCCAGTGGTCACACATTGATATTATCTTCCAGCGAACTACTCATTCACTCCACAAAGCCTTGCTAGGTCGCATTGTAACCAGACTGTTGTCTGGGAAGAAAGGCAGGCAGTCATAGGCAAAGGACATGAACCAGACCGATGTCTGGTGCTGTCCCAGTTCCCACTACATTGGATGAGCAATTTGAACAGCTGCCTGCACGGTAAGCGTTTAGGAGTTTGACGAGCGGCTAACTTTGGAACAGCAGTTGTCGCCTTGCCCCCACTTTGCTGCTCTGTGAAAAGGGTGGATTGTGTTTGTTTTTGGCGCACAGTGGAGAAGACGAGGTAGGGTCGAGCTGTGAGCTGTCACAGGACTCGGCCGGCCAAAGCAGCATGAACAGCAGCAGCGATGGCAACACCAGCGTGGCCGGGAACATCACTCTGGATGTGGAGGAGGTAAGCACTTGGTCCTCTCTTAACATTGCTGTGTTTGCTACTCCTGCTATTTACTATTTCCCCTCCGCTGCCTTATGGTCTTGAAATCACTTCCCTCAGTCCTCAGTGTTGTCTGCTCCGTGCCGCTAATCAAATACAGTTTCAAGACCTTCCTTTTGTCTTTGCCTATAACCGATTGCGTTTTCTCTCCATATAAAATAAATACTCCCCATTGTTTCTATACTGGGACTTGAGATGTGGTGGCATTTAGACACTGTAAATCCAGATTTTATTTTACTTGTTATGGTATGATTCATATTTAGTTGGTAAGCTGTGGCCTTTCCTAACTCTGATAACTTATCATGAAATTGTTTGACCATTTTATTTTTGTTCCTGTCCTTATCATTTTAACATGTTTTTTAAAAATATTTTTTTCCCTTAAGAGAAGCATTTATTTTAGTTTAAGTAGGTGAGAACTCAAGGGACCAGGATAGTATAATTTGCAAGTTTGCAAAAGTTGATTTAAAAACTATATATAGTAGGAGTATGACAAGGTATCAGTACAATAGAACATAGATTTATATAGCATATAAACTTCATTTCAAAGCGCTGCACAGAAAGATGATCTTGGCACATGCATCGAATCGCATGTGCATGAATCGTATGTATTTTATGTAATTGGTTCACATTTCCCCTCTAGCCACTAGAGGCCACTACATTCACTTATTTTACAGAAGGTGCCCACTTGGAGATGAAGCAATGAATTCAGATTGTGCAGGTGATAGATGGATTATTATTTTGCAGGATCATGAGAAGTGGCAGTGACTTGAAGAACCCTTACTCCAGCAGTCGATTAACCATAGCTGATGATGATGATGATAGTGAGAAGCACTGTCTAGAGCCCACTGACGGTGATGATTCTGGGCACCGTGCAGGGCTGGCTGGTGGTGCTGGAGACGTCCTCTCTGGCGGCGCTCGCCACGCTGGTGTGCGTGGGAAACCTGCTGGTCACCGTCACGCTCTACCGCAAGCCGTACCTCATGACACCAAGCAACCGGCTCGTTATGAGCCTCGCCGCCTCCAACCTGCTGCTGTCGCTGCTGGTGCTGCCAATGGCGGCGGTGTGCGCTGCGCGCCGCGCCTGGGTCTTCGGCGTAGTGTGGTGCCACCTGACGGCACTGCTGCACATGCTTGTCAGCTCGGCCAGTGCACTCACGCTCGGAGCTATCGCCCTCGACAGGTGAGCCGCCACTCCCCCCCCCCACCCCCATGTTATTAATTTCCCCTGGTTTTATTGTGATGGTGCTGCGGCCGTCTGGAAGGCTGTTCCTTGTGATATTAGGAAGCCACTCGAGCTATGCACCTTTAAATCTAGATTGAAAACAATTCTTTAGAACTGCCTTTTGTGTTTAGTTTGTTGTCCTTTCCCCACACCTCCGACTAGCACGGTTAGTTACATATAATGCGAAAGAAGTTGAACATACAGAGAATACATTTGGGTCTCTCACAGAGCCGTTTGCGTTAAAGTCTGTGATACACATGGAAGCGGATATCACAGAACTACTTCTTGAGATTCCTTCGATTGAGCTCTGGTCCCGACAGCAGAGCGTAGCACTTTCCCACCTACCCTGTCACTGAGAGTAATGTTAGTTGCATGACAGCCAAGCCAGTCAATATTCTATTTTAATTCTCAGAGCTGGAATTTATCCAGAATACTCATCACCAATGGCTTAGAAATACCAATGATGATAACCACCCCACGCTCATATGAGCACGGAGATAACCTAGACATTGAACTAAACTATGCAGTGCAGTGCTTATACAAATCACAGCAATATACAAAACATTGACAAGTGTTGAAACTGGTGGGGACCAAATAAGCTGGGAAAAGCGATCGAGCTTGCTTTGGCCTGAACCGTGCGTGTCTGTGCGCATGTGTGGGGGCGCGTACAGGTACTATGCAGTGCTGTACCCGATGCTCTACCCAATGAAGATAACGGGGAACCGAGTGGCGTTTCTCATCGCGTACATGTGGCTGCACGCACTGATCGGCTCGGCACCTCCACTCTTCGGCTGGCCGGGATTCGAGTTCTCCATCCACAAGCGCATGTGCACTCCGGCATGGTACCGGGGTCTTGGTTACGCCATCTTCTGGCAGGTCAGGAAAATAACATACTGTAGATTCAAAAGTCAGAGGTCAAAAGTGATTTTCTGCTCAAATTAGCATTGAGGCATTGCTCATCTCCTGTTTACAGTCATGATGCAGTGGTGGAAATTCCTCATTCCTATAGCTGGAACGAGTATATCTTGATGACAGCCAGTGTTGACAAGTTTATGGCTGCAGGGGTCAAATGAGCATGGTACATACACCACATACAAGTTCTAAATAGTTTTGTACTCGCTTATTGTCTATATGGCTGACGTAATTTCATAAATACTACATAAAAAAAATATTACCACACAAGTAGCATATGACTTGGTGAAAGTTGATCGATCTGAAGGTAGTTTGGCCGACCGAGTCAGTAAAAATGTCCAAACCTGTTTTCCGGCAGCTGTGGTGCATGGTGCCACCCTTTGCCACCATGCTCATCTGCTACGGCATCATCTTCCGCGTCGCCCGGCGCAAGGCCCGCAGGGTCAGCTGTGGGGTAATCGCAGTAGAGACGGAGCAGCTTTCTCCGGACACGAACCAGGACTCGAACCTGGAAGCGGTGGAGGCGGTGCAGAATGGCACCGTCGCGGCCGCCACCGCTATCAATAAACGGAGACGCAACACGACGGTCAGCCTGCCTTACTCGGGGAACCCCTGCAAGGCGCTGACGACGATTGTGATGGTGGTGGGCTCCTACGCACTGACCTGGCTGCCCTACCTTGTGGTGGTGATGATGGAGGCGGCAGGCGGCTCGGGCGCTGTGTCCGCCCGGGCGGAAGCGTTGGCGATGTGGCTGGCGCTGAGTAGCGCGCTGTGCCACCCGCTTATCTATGGGCTGTGGAATAAGACGGTGCGCAAGGAGCTGATCGCCATGATCTGCTGTGGCTGCTACTGCTGCGGTGGGGAGCGCTACCGCAGGGACTCATTCTTTCAGCGTCGGAGAACATCGCGCCTCTTCAGCATTTCCAACCGCATCACAGGTACGCATGCGCGACGATGGGTCAATGCAAGATGTCACCCCGGGCCAAAGCTAGCTACGACACCGCGCCTCGCCAACGCAATCTACCCTCCGTCAGATCACGCAGTTGCTGCACGGTAGACCACACATCAACCTCCATGATCTACCCTTGCAGTCTCCCACCATCTGCTCTTTGGTCAACAGACTCATGGAGACCGCTCCAATGCCTGTCTCGGTAATGGGCTCTCCCCTATCCTACATACAGAAACTTATTTCTCTAGAACTGCTTTTTGTGTTTATTTTGTCGTCCTTTCCCGCGCAAATGTTATGCTGATGTTCTATTTAAGTTAGTGTGGAGGTGTGTGCGATGATGCGTTAATTTATTCTCTATGAAAATGCATTATTACACTTGTGATACACGTAGAATTATATACTTTTGAATTTATTCATGACGATTTATACAAATGATTGGCAAATTATACTATTTTTTTTTATAAATTATGGTTGTGTCTAGACATTTCAAAATGCATTGATATCTCGATTACAATCAGTTATTCTTGTGCTTGTAATTAATACATCAAATCGTAGACGTTTGATAATTAATAGATTGACTTATGCACATTATAGATAAGTAATATACCATTGTTACAGTTAGGCTGATGGAACAAACACAATTGTGCAAATGAAACAAAACAATTGGAAAACAATACAAACAGAATGGTAAAAATTGAAACAAAAATAATTGATACATTAAACAAATTGTCTAATCACAGGTAAGGTTTCTGCCATCATCAAATTGGTGACTGTCAACCTGAGAAACGATTAAAATACCAATAGTGTATCAGGTTAGCTGTGTGGGGATAGATTCAAAATTGGTTAATAAGCCCAGCCCTCCACTCTGTACAAACAATACCACTTGCGTAACTGAAGCCAATTATTGATCAGGAGTGGACTTGATCCTTCTGCCACTCATCATTTTGGGTCTGAATAGGTTGTAAATAGCATTTGCAAATATCATATTTCTTAGAAATGTTAAAGGAAACTATGAATAAAACCTCACTCATGCTGCCAGTAAAAACTTTATATAACTTACGAAAATTTTGAGCTTTATATAATGTACGAAAATGTAAATAGATTAGTGAGTGTTATACGTTCGTGAACATACCACTTTTGTTTTACACTGGACTTCATGTAGGCAAGTTGTACTAAATGCAGTATATATTACGTGTCTAGTCATTGAATACCTGTTTTTTTTATTTAAAACGTAGCTAAAAGTGAAATGATGCACTTATAAACAAACCAGCACAGAGCATTGTGTGGAATTATTGCCCATAGCGGCCGGAGGAGAGAATGGACATATAAACAAGCACGGTAAAAAGCAAATTTAGTAAAATTAGGAAGTGTAATGCAATGCAACACAGAGAGTCGGTTAGTACACAGTTAACGCATCGCCTAGTTGATTACGTTCATCCAAAGATTGCTAAATTAGAAGTTAAGTGTGAAACAAACAAGCACGGCAAACCCTCCCCGTGGAAGTGGTTCAAACTAGATTCGAAGCTTTCGTGACTGCAGGAATTACTCTTTGGTTCTTTCGGTAAAGTCACGTAGAAAGAAATTAAATAACCCAACCACGGCAGCAGCAGTGGAGACACGGGATACAGCTTTTCACAGGACTCTGGTGGGTCATCTCGCTGCACACTTGTGTGCATAAAGACAAAAGTTCCCCGTATAGCCATACAGGCTTTTGGGAAAAATTCGGATAGCGAGCACCTGTGAAGGCCGGAATTGCGCACGAGGACGTGGTGTGGCTAGAACCAAGCCCCTATGCATTTTTCCCCCCAATAGCGATGTTTTCACACTGCACCAGATACTAATGTATGGCTGAGGCAGTAATTCCATACAATGCTCCGTGCTTGCTTGTTTGTTTAGAAGTTCAGTGTCCAGCTCGTCCGTCCCCTATGGGCAGGAATTCCACACAACTCCCCTTCTGCCCCAACCCCACCCCTCTCTCTCTATTGAAGGCCTCGACACAGACTTTGTCTTTCTGTGTGCCTATGTGTGTGTCTCTCTGTTTGTCTCTGTGTGAGTCTCTCTCTGCTTGTGTGTCTGTGTGTCTCCTTGTCTATGTTTTGTCTCTCTCTCAAATTTAGCTCTTTGGAAGAACGTAATCAACCAGGTGGGGTGTTGACTGTTTAGTTGGCCGACTCTCTGTGTTGTATTGCATTATATTTCCAAGTGTACTATGTTTGTTTTTTCATTTATTTGTACCTGATGACGGTTGCTTGTGTTGCAATCGAAACGTCGTATTCTATTATTATTTAATTTAATTTCTTCTAAGTGACTTTACCGAAAGAACCAAAGAGTTATTCCTGCAGTCACAAAAGCTTCGAATCTAGTTTGATGCACTCATGTTTTAAAATGATAAACAGCAATCAATGCAGCACTTTAGTAATGCCTTCTCTGCCAAGTGCGATTGTACTAAAGTGGGTCTCGTTTCTAATGTAAGCTAATATCCATACGTTCTTGTTTCTCTCACCGACACCCAGACCTTGGCCTGTCGCCACACCTCACGTCTCTACTGGCAGGCGGGCGGCTTCCCAACCACGGCAGCAGCAGTGGAGACACGGGATACAGCTTTTCACAGGACTCTGGTGGGTCATCTCGCTGCACATTTGTGTGCATAAAGACAAATGTTCCCCGTATAGCTAGGCTTTTGGGAAAAATTCCGATAGCGAGCACCTGTGAAGGCGGGAATTGCGCACGAGGACGTGGTGTGGCTAGAACCGAGCCCCTATGCCTTTTTCCCCCCAATAGAGATGTTTTCACACTGCACCAGATACTAATGTATGGCTGAGTCGACCTCGGGAGGCTCAGGACCAGTTCAGATATCCTTCACTGATGGATTGCCGTCTTAATAGCGCAGTGCGCTCACGACTGCACAACCACTCCCCCCGCTAGTATATATATATACACACACAAAGATCGCCAATGTGCATGGGCTTTCACGACCAATGTTATGGTCATACTTAGCACATATATAATCTGTTGATGTGTGTTTGTTTTGTCGTGTGTGTGTGTGCGGGGGAGGCAGGCACGGACGTGATGCTGCTAGAGGAGTCTGAGAGTTTGCAGAGCGGCCGCTTCTACGGTCGGCGCCACAGCTCCGTGCCAATGGATGAGCTCCCGCTGATCTCCAGTGAGTTCCAGCGCCGAACTTGCGTTCAAACGGCGAAGACAAATCATACAAATGCGTAGATGTTGTCATGCTTTCCAACATACTTTTGCTCTTGGAAGTAGTTAATTTGCGACAACAGTGTTACCTTCCCATGAGACAATGTCACGCGGAGCATGACGTGTGATCTCACTTACTAGAGTTACGTGACATTACCTTGGTCGACACAGCTTATCCTTTGCTGGTTTGGTCACCAGGTTTTGGACATAAACCCCTTGAATAATATAGACAGTTTTCTAAAGTGTTAAGTCCCCAACAGCAACATTACTTTTTTTTACTTAATCTTTGTTAATATTGTATATTCTTCCCCAGAGTTACCATGACCCCCGTTACAGGCAAATGTACGGAGGGATGGCCATTCAGTTCAAAGATCATGCATTAACACTATCAGCCTTACTTGGGAAATGTAGAACATTATTAATCTTTTAGAGCGAAACGTATATTTATGATAATAATGATAATAACAATCACATTAGCTAGTGCTAATTTAACACGTAAGCTTTCGCGAGCAATATCATCCATAATATAGGTATTTTTGGTTAGATCGCGTAAATAAAATAACCACTGACGCTATAGTAGTATATAGTGAATCTACAATAGTATCTACTGATTGTAGTAGTACCTACCGACTCAGTATCTACCGACTCTATAGCAGTATCCACTAACGCTACAGTAGTATCTACCGACTCTACAGTAGTATCTACTAACGCTACAGTAGTATCTACCAACTCTACAGTAGTACCTACTAACTCTACAGTAGTATCTACCAACTCTACAGTAGTATATACTAACTCTACAGTAGTATCTACCGACTCTACAGTAGTATCTACTAACTATACAGTAGTATCTACCGACTCTACAGTAGTATCTACCAACTCTACAGTAGTATCTACTGACTATACAGTAGTATCAACCAACTCTACAGTAGTATCTTCTGACTCTACAGTAGTATCTACTAACGCTACAGTAGTATCTACTAACTCTACAGTAGCATCTACTGACTCTACAGTAGTATCTTCTGACTACAGTGGTATCTACTGGCTCTATAGTAAGATCTACCGACTCTACAGTAGTATCTACCGACTCTACAGTAGTATCTGCTGACTCTACAGTAGTATCTACCGACTCTACAGTAGTAACTACTGACTCTACAGTAGTATCTACTGACTCTACAGTAGTATCTACTGACTACAGTGGTATCTACTGGCTCTATAGTAGGATCTACCGACTCTACAGTAGTATCTACCAACTCTACAGTAGTATCTACCGACTCTACAGTAGTATCTACCGACACTACAGTAGTATCTACCGACTCTACAGTAGTAACTACTGACTCTATAGTAGTATCTACTGACTCTACAGTAGTATCTACCGACTCTACAGTAGTATCTACTGACTCTACAGTAGTATCTACTAACTCTACAGTAGTATCTACTGATTCTACAGTAGTATCTACCGACTCTAGAGTAGTATCTACTGACTCTACAGTAGTATCTATCAACTCTACAGTAGTATCTACTAACTCTACAGTAGTATCTACTGACTCTACAGTAGTATCTACCGACTCTATAGTAGTAACTGCACACATTGGGTTGGGGGGAGAAGAGGACATCACACTGTTCAGGATTTACCTCAGTGTTGCACTTCTGTGTATTTTTTTGCCTTTTTAACATGAAGGAGAACTTCTCTCCCGTCGACGCTGAGCGAGCTCGTGTGCGTTGCTAGGGGCAACCGCGAGTCAGCGTTTCCGTGCATGGGCAGATTCGTGCTTTGGCACCACGATCAACGTAATAATATAAATAGTTTCAAGTCTGATTTAATTAGTTTACATTTGACGGAGGGGAAAAATAAATAGCGTTTTTTTTTTGCCCGGGGGCTTAGTGTGTTGTATCTGTGTACTTTGTTGAAACGTAAACCCAACAGTTTCTCAGTTAATAAACGTTGCTAGGCGGGCGCAGATAGATAGAGAGACAGACAGAGAGAGAGACAGACAGACAAAAAATGACTTTTATAGGTAAGATTGTAAATCTTTTAGGATGTTTGCAATTAGATCTATGTCATCTGTAAACCACAGATTGTTTATTGTTTATCCACATAGTGATGTCAATGTTGTCTGGTGACTGTGTGGATGATATGCTGCGCTTCTGGGAGACCGCCTATCACAAACGATGTCGCGCCCTCGTGACCTTGCTTTGCCACCGGCAGCTCTGCGGGAGCAGTCCCGGCACGAGCCCGTGGAGGTGCGAGCCGAAGTCCACAGCACCCTGGACTCCTTCGCCTCCAGCCTGGCGCAGGCCATCGCCGCCGATGCGAAGTTCAGCATTTTCGGCGACGCCTCCCGTCTCGACGGCGTCACCGACCCCGGCGTAGCAACGCTCGGCAGCCTCCTGTCAGATCTGTGTCCAAGCGCGAGCGGGCGGCAGGGAGACGACGACGACGACGACGACGACGACGCCATCGACGACAGCGGCAGCGGCGGCGGCAGCGGCGGCGTCGGCGGCAGTGGAGCGGAGTGTCCGTTTCTACCGCGCTGTTCCACCCCGGCACTGCTCGTGCCCGAGTACCCGCACCTGCCAGGCAGCGTGATCGCGGTGGGGCCCGGCTCCGTGCACGGGTGCCGGCGCGGCAGTCGGACTTCGGTGGGGCAGAGGCCGCGTCTCGAAAGCATCGACGAGGGCATTGTGAACGACGGATGCAACGAGGAAGAGTTCTAGGGCTCGGTGGTTTATCGCCGTCGTTATTTTCTGACGTGCGGAGGGCACCGGTAGGGCAACCTGTCTGCCAAATGGCGAGTGAAATTAAGGAGAGGTAAAAATACTGGAGGAGCTGCCCGTGAAGTCGAGGTTTCCATTCCATTGCCTAGAGAATAACGGGGGATTGGAACATGTCGCAGGAAGAGAATTGGTGTAAAGAAAATGTATTTGAACTGAAAGATGGGGCATTGTACAGCTTTTGAGAAGACGACAGAAGCAAGCAATGACCTCCAATGCCTTTACTGTTTAAAGTGACCTGGCACATTACCCCCACGGCAACTGGCAGTCTATGCTTTGTTGCGCAAACTTTCCACATCAGATTATAGGGTCGGTTACAGCCCATAAGATGGGCTGGGCTGCCCAAGACTGGATTTGTTGAAATTTTGGGGGAATATTTTACTTGAACACAAAAAAGTGCCCTTAAAGTTAACCTTGCAGCCTGCCGACATTTAATAGCAACCTACCATGGCTTTGCATTCAGCACTTAATGCCAGTCGGAACAGTCCAGAACGCTGCTCCGGGAATTCTTGTGGCACGCCACATCTACCTCGTCCTTGATTGTCCTCACGATGCCACGGTGATGTGCGTGATATGTGTGAAAAGTGCTTCGGGTTGCCAAATGTCCTCAAGGGATCAGTACTTAAATGTCATTTCCTTGTTTTTAAGATAAAGAATCTTCAACAAGGACACACATTTGTCAGTGACGTCAAATGTGACGTCGATTCCCGTGACACACATGTGATGTCAGTAAAGTCTCGTTCCGAAGAATTTAGAATGAGAAATTAAGCCGTGGCTATATGCAAATCCGTTAGATTTGCAATCTGTATCGGAGTCGCCATGATTGTAACGTGACAGCCTATCGTGTCATCAAAACGATACTGACCCACTTCCGTGTACTAAAGCTGGACTCGTTTAGGAATTCCAGTGTAAAGTTCGAGGCGCTCCAACCAAACCTCGTGTACTTTGAGCCTTGGAAAGGTTTATGTTTATAAACCATTCGTTTTTCTCAGCAGTAGGACACTCAACAGAAGTAAGTCATATTTCGGTAGATACTACAGAAAATGTCAAGTAGAATGCTTGCGTTTTGAGTAAATTTAAAGTTATCGTGCCCATTTTTAATGCACCGGTGTCGGGACAGCAGAGATAATGTGCTCTGAAGTGTCTCCATATAAAACATGTTCATGCCAATTCAACACGACACTTAACTAAAAATACATTTCATGTAAACAGTGCGGATGTTTATGTAAACTGTTGATAGTTTTACTGAAATAGTTTTTGCACAACGAAATGTTGGTGTATAAACATTCTCAGACAGAAAAGAAGTGTACGGGCAAGTTTTCTCTTTCATACGTGTGATTTGACACGTTTTTTTAAAAGCGCAAAGGACGGTATGAGGATAAAAGTATTGTTATAATATTGGTTTCTGAAAACTGGGTTTGGTCAACGATTGATCTCCACATGTTTTCAGCAGTCTAGTTCACAACAAACCAGCAAAACATTATCTCGTGCCTGGTGCTAACGTCAGTGTTTATGGGCCGAACTCGCGGGATGTATTGAAAATATTTATGATAAAAAGTCGCACAGTTTCCGTTTTCACATTGAAAACATTTGTCAACTCCCGTGCACTGTTGTTGAGTCTATGTTTTGTTTAGACGGCAGTGCAAACATAGTTTGGGTGATTGAAACTATTGCAGGTACAGTACCGTTTAAGTAAAAAGTTCAGTCACGTGCTCATTGTTAAGCAACCATTTCATATATTTATTTTCTCCATATAGAAGTGCAGTACATTACGGTGGTTGCGTATTTAGTTCGTTTTTTTATATAATTCCATTGACAACAGTGTTGGCAGTGTCTGCAAACGTTTTGTAATATAACTGCATCAGTGAAAACTGTATTTTAAGCATTTTAAAGATTGTTGTGTTTTGGAAGATCAAATTCCTTTTTCTTTTCAGTATTTAAAAATTCTTAAGATACCTTAAGATGCTCAAACAATTATAACGTTGCTCAGAATCATAATCGTTATTTATGCTGGAGAAATCCAATGAGCTATGAGACTCTTTTTCACAGACATCCAGTGGGGGCGGGTAAAAAAGTTACAAAAACAAACAAAATAAAAAAACACAATCGGATGCCAAATAGAAAGCAGAATAGTTCGAGACCTATCTCTGGCTGCCATTAAGAGTGTCATCAAGCAAACCAACTTATGCCTTTTATTCCCTTCTCTGTTGCCATTGCCCTTTGCCAATGAAATTTGCTTAGCCGCCTGTACAACTTGTTGCCTCCGCCAGTCAACCTTTATCCAAGGCGTGGTCACGAATTCTCCTATGCTGTGCTCGGCGTCTGGAACCACCTTTCCCTCCTCTGCCCCTTTTGGCATCACTCAACCCCATGTTCCAGACCTTCATCTGCATACGACTAACTGCCCTCGCTTTTCACGTCTTTCGAAGCCATTCTCTTACTGTGCTGCAGCCTTCATCTCACCATTGTCTCTTATCTCCCTACCAATGCTTTCTCTCACCTTTATCTAGAATGTGTCCTCTCGAGGGCATCTCGAGAGCTCCCTCTCGTTGTGGCCCTTCTGCCTGCAGCGGCATGAGCAAGACATTGCAGGGCTACAGCTTCACCGGTGGTGTTTTGTTTTACTTCTTTACATTCTTTGACCGGATCATCTTGGAAGCTAAGCTGGCCTTGGCCTGTATAATGGTCGAATGTGCGACTACTTTGTATTACAAGTGTCATAGGATGCCAAGGTTGTGCTGCGTTGAGGGCAATGCAGCAAAATCCAATGTACAGTATTGTACATCCATGCTCCCACGTCTATGCACAATATGGCCAAAACACTCCCATGACTCCCGTTGTATGGGGTGGCCCTCATCCAGAAGTGTATTGACAAAGGGCTGTGCGTGTACTCCTTTACGGAAACATGACTTGTTGCATTATGTAACTGTGTAAATTAACTGTTGTTTTCCTTCCCTGGCTGGTAGCAGAAGAGTGAAGGCGTTGAAAGGTTGAAGGCAGTTTCTTGAGTGCCCAACATTGTCAGCTGCAACCTCCAAACAGTTTATTTTGAAGCCCGGCATCTGTGTGGGCTGAAGGTACTAAACGTGCATTGTGTTACCGGAAGTCGAGTAGCAACACCTTGCCAACATAATTATGGTGAACATCGCATATCAGACTCACGAAATGTTGGTTCAGTACGAATAGGTAAAACCAGACAAAAATAAAGCGAAGACTGCGCTCAGCGTGGGGAAATGCTTCGGCTGTGCTTCATACGTCAGCAAATGTATGCGAGGTTTAAGGACACATCACTGCATGCGAATGGTCGGATTTGTGAACATCTGTGGAAAATGACAGTCGCAACCTTGCACAAATACCTGCACTGGGTGTGGGTGATTAAGTGGTCGGTGTGGATGTGACATACTGTAATCAGAAAACCGGTGCAGTGTTTTAAATGTCATTGTTTTGACTCATCCTTGGCATTTGTAATACTGGCTGTTGTTGTGACAAGTGTAGATGGTCCAACAATGTTTGGTTGCCTCTTTAAAAAAATGCGGTTTACTTTGGCGATTGGATTATGCCATGGTTCACAGCATCGTGGTCTTAAAGAAATGTTATCAATTGCAGTACCGTGCTGTTGTATGGCATGCCATATGTTATCTTCAGACACCACTACTCTATAATCATGGGTGGTCCAAATATATAAATGTGCTGTTTACGTATTCCTTCCATTCACAGTCATTATATTCAAGCACCGTATATATTTGAGTTGGTAATTGTTTTGTATGCACTTGAGGGAAAAGTGTTATTGGCAGCTACTGAGAGAGTATTTTGAAAACCCACTACCAGGAAAACGATTTTATCAAGGTTAGGATTTATATCAGTGTATCAGCAATAGCGTGTAGGATAAAAATATATATATTATTTTATCCATGGCTGCGTTTATATATTCCAGACTTGTTAACGTTATTTCAAAACCTCCTGCTGTACATACTTGTTGTCATGTAATGTTTTGTCCTGTATATTGTTTGAGTTTTATAGCCTTTTTACTATGTTTTGCTTAATAAACGGACAAGAGTCATCAAGAGTCATACTTGCTTTTTGGCACTATCAGTCACGAGCACTTGCCCGTGTTATCGACAATGGGGTTATTGACTCACCGTTTTACTCGAATAAGCGTCGTCGTTTACACAAATAGATTCACAACGCACAGACCTTTATTTAACCCACTGTTGAACGAAGGCCTCCCCAAACCTTTTAGTCTTTGAGGTCGTGTCGACCATTCTCTTTGGGTCTTTCGGTAAAGTCACGTAGATAGAAAAATAATAAATAAAAATCACGAACGTTTCTATCACAACACAAGCAATCGTCTTCAGGTGAAAAAAACAGCAGGCGGACTGCCGAGGCAGGACGAAATCTATGTATTCCGTGCGGGTCATTGATAAATTAGAGTGTCGACCATTCTTCACCAAACTAGTCAGTAATGGTTAGAAAATGTTAATTTAATTAGACGTACAAGAATCACATATATCTCATTAATAACATTGTGCAGGCCAGGCCAAATATGTGGAGTTATTTACACTAACTTCTCAGTGAAAGTTGCGCACAATGGTGAGAATTGCACACAACCACTTACAGATGCGTACATTGCGTTCCCAATTAAGAGTGAGAAGATTCGTGGATATATGAATGGAGAACATTGGCGCATTGTGGTTTTCACACCTGATGATGATTGCTTGTGTTGCAATCGAAACGTGATAATTTTATTGGTTTATTTTTATTATTTTGTTATTTCCCTTCTACGTTACCTTACCGAAAGAACCAAGAATATTGGCACAATGGTTTAGTGCACTCTGCCATGAAGCTTGGGGCTCGAGTTCTATTCCCCACCACGGTGAACCAGTCCTGAGGTCCCTCCATTACAACCCCCACTTCACCAATCCGCACTGACTAGCGTTTTGAAATATGTAGTGGTTTGACAAATGCAAATACAGCTTTCAATGTTCTATTTTATAATTGTACTTATACAAACAAAAATTTAGTGAGATTATTTCTGCTGAGTTTGAGTGCAGGACTTGTATCTGTATCTTATAATCAAACATTTTTAAACCAGTCCGCCATCTTCACTCAGCCCTCCTCGAAGAAACCCAATTTAAATGTCTACATGGCTATTACTTAACCAAATTCGACAAAACATCCTCCCTCAACTGCCCAGGATACCCCCGGACACCCCTCAAACATACAGACATTGCCTTTTGGCAATTTGTTTGCCTTTTGGCAATGTCCAGACATTAACAAGTTTTTTTCAAATGATCACATTTGATACTTTAACCACATTCACAAAACAAGCCACTCATCCTCCGCAGAAACGTCCATGTTGGGGTTGAAGCTTCAAGGGCTTTCTATGGAGGCAGATACATTATTACACAATTTCTATGTTACGGCAAAACGCACCATTATAGCCATCTGGAAAGAGCACGCTCCACCAACACTGCAGGAATCGGCCGATAAATTATAAAAAAATTGCCGCTCTCGAGGATCTAAGTGCAAAGCTAAGGGGTAGGGAGGAAGCTTCCTGCGAAACATGGAACCCCTTCACTACCTCTCCTCCAGTGGTCATTTATTCTTAGGAGCATTCATGAGGGCATTTATGCACTCCACCCCCCCCCGCCTCCTATTTTTCTTCTCCTACAGGACCATCAGAGCTTAGGAAGCCATGCGGTTTAGACATGTTTCCATTGCACTGTAAACCGTAATGTATGTATGGCAGTGTCAACCTCCTTTCATATCCTGTGTGAGTATTTGAATAGTCTCGTAAACCAAACAAACTTTTGAGAAACAAACAACCGGTCCGACACAAGATAAAGGTGCAAATCTGAAACTGCTTTCTCACGCCACGGTCGTTGACAGGGGCTTTTCCACCCAGAGGGATCTCTTGAGAATCCCTCCAGGGACTTGAACAAAATAGTGAATTAAGGAACTCCATAATCGCACGCACGTATCACCCCTCCGGGGTCCAACACAATTCATGGGGAAATGTATCAACTTTATGGGGAATATCGAGTGGTTGTCCCGGTGGAGAGACTCGCCCCCGACATAGGAATGTGGAATGTCCCACGACTGGCTGTAAGCAGGAGTGGAGCAACACGTCAATTTAAGATAAATACATTTTTACTCAGTAGAATAAGGTTTAACACGCGAACAATATCCACAACAGAGGTTTTATTTGGGTTAGATTGCTTAAATATAATAAATGTGTCGTTGAACCCAATACCACCCGACGCAGCCAATTAGTAAGGTGTGTCACGTAAACAAAGCATGGCAATTCGTTACTAGTTCAGCACACCGCTGTGTTGGAGTGTAAAATCCACAACATTTACAATTCGCGTACGACGTTTTGCCAGTAATTACAACGAGCATGATCAGGCGGACAGACAGAGTTGTGGAGAAATCCCTCCTATTTCGGTCTGAACTCGAATAATTCACCCTCTTCCCAAGTTTGTCTCTCCGCATAAAAACGTAAACTATTTTTTTTTCGTTTTTGGGACTTTTAACATCTTAACGCCTGTTTTATTGGCAGAAAGGGTAAATTCAAGATTTGAAGCTTTCGTCACTGCAAGGATTCATACTCTTTGGTTCTTTCGGTAAAGTCACGTAGGTAACATAAAATGAAAACAACTAAATGAAATCACGACGTTTCGGAGGCAACACAAGCTTCCGTCTTCAGGTGGAACAGTCACAGCAAAATAGCTGTATCAAGTGGGGAGCTCTGAGACACCCGAGATCAGAATCAGAATCAGAAAGGGTTTTATTCGCCATGAAAGTTCACACCGACACGGAATTTACTTTGGCAGGATGGTGCATACATTCAACAAATAGGAATCTAAAATCTTAAATAAGTTTTAAACAAGTCTTACTATAATAATAAGGGTTAAAATTCGAACTAACACCAAGGGGCTGAAGTATATAAAATTGAATAAATATCGAATATAAAATAGCTTTAAGATATAATAATAAAAAAATACAAATAGGTTAACATAGTTAATATCGGCAAGGTGTCATTATGTAGATAAAATGTTAAAATCAGTGTAAGCCCTTGGCCTTGTTTAACAAGCCAGCAGGTTAAGGGGGGGGGGGGCTATGTTAAGCCGCCTTTTGTTATGCTGCAGGGGGTTCGGGGGGAGCGGTGGTGCACTGCACGAGAGCGAGTACAACCCACTGGTAGAAATGGAAATGGCTGTACAATTATAAAGCAGCTAAAGTTTGACTTGGTTGATAACATCTTTCCAATGGTTGCTATTCTTATATTGTGATACTGGCAAGGAAGGTCCAATGATGTAGCTGCTAACCCCGAGCTATGAATGCCCTCGTAGTGGCATTGTCTTTGTGCTGTCCGCCTTTTGGCGTCCTCTGGTGTCACACTCTTTTTTATACGAGGCTCTAAAGAAGAGTCTCTCTGGTGGGGACCGATCAGCTTCAAAGACAATGCATACATTACCAGTGTATCTTTTAGTTTGCATGTTCACCACAAGTACTGTGTGTGGTTAATGCAGACATGATTCCTTGAAAAAGGATTCTGTTTGGTGTTTTAACATGTTAACACAGCTGTTTTATTGCCAGAAAGAGTAAAACCTATTGTTATATCGTTGTTTTGCTTGTTTACACCACACCGGCCACACGGACTCTTTTTTTTGTTCTTTCTGGGAGTGATTTTTGTTGTTTTTGAGCAGCTTTGCGTTTATCGCAACAAACCCCTGGCCCAGTTTCGACGTTCAATGTGTAATCAGTTTCAAGTTTTCATTTATTAAGTATAGCCCTGTGAGCCAATGCGGCTCCTGAGTCGCGTGCAACCGCAACAAACAAAAAACATGAACAGAGAAACATCTTAAAGCCACGACGCGCAACAGAAGCATATTGGGATAAACCAGCAAATCTTCCAGAAAAAAAACCCACCGTATCACAACGCTGTGTGCGAAAATCCCAGTGTGATGCAAGTCAAACAATAACAACCACTAGACAATTGGAATCGGGCTTGCTTAAAAAACCAATGCTGGCCAACCGGCAGATTAAACTTGCAGTATTCCTTAATGACTTTCACTGTACTCGTTCTCTTCAATGTTGATGTTTCGTGTTGCTTTTGCTATTCCTGGGATCACGATTGACGGAGCTCCCTTTTAGAACCGCCTAGAAAAAACGGCATGATCCGCTTAACAAACAAAATAAACTTCCAGATGTTTTTATCCATAAAATAAATCTATTTGTTTTTATGGGTTAGATCGCGTAGAATGTGTCGTTCAACCCGCCACCATTTAGTTACTGCTCAAGCACACTGGCGTGTTGTTGGAGAGTTAGACCCACACAGCCTTTACAATCCGAGTACGACGTTTCGCTGGTGATTACCACCCACCGGGATGGTGGCGGCCTTGAACGACGCATTTACATTCATGCGATCTAACCCAAAATAATAATACAACAATAAAACAAAACTATTTAATTATGGATAACATTGGTCGCGGTAGCCCACTACGACTACTAAACACTTCGCGTTTAACCGATCCCTGTGTGTATTTTTTCGCCGTCTTCTCTCCAACTTCTCAGTGTTTGTCGCCACCACGCGGCCAATCTTGAACGGAGACGATCCGTCAAAAGTTTGCACTGCGCGGACAAACAACGGGAAAATTGCGGGGCCGGCCAGCCCGGCCAGGTTTGTCTCAAACAGGAACCCGGAGAACAAGCAGGAAGTTGTCTCTCTCTCTCCCCCCCCCCCGTCTCAAGGAGCCACCGCCGTCTTTATCTCTCTGGACAGCGCGGGCATCAGACCCCGAGACGTCTCTCTTGGCTCGCTCTCCACCGATTGAGACGGCTTCTTCCCCTAACGAGCGGGAGACGCGCTTGCAGTCCCCGCAAATCGGTTAGTAAAGCTGACCCGGCGATTGCTCACTGTTGGTTTGCTGATAACGCTGTTGCTGCTGAGTATCTCCACCACCTCCCCCCCCCACACCGAATATCAGGCGCTAGGCTTTAAACGTGGCGAGTACGTTTTGCGATAGCGACTCGTGGGTGGATGGTGAAAGAACGGTGGTGGTGGTGGGTCAATCATTAACCGGACGTCGCCCGCTCAGCCAGAGACAACCTCCTCCCACCCCCTCCCACGCCGCCGTCGCGATAACTCTCGCAGACAGCGGCCGTGGGTTTCCACGTCCGCCGCGGAGATGGAGCGACGAATTCGGCGCGTGGGAATAGTGGCCTCGTGTCGCTTCGGCGGATGAAGTTTGGTGAACCGAGGGGCGGGCGGGCGGGCGGGGCGGGCAAGCAGCTGAACTTCTTTCGCACCGCACGTGGCCAAGCGTGCAGTGCCAACCGGAGGTGCGGGTGGAAACGCAGTGGGGGGGGGGGGTGGGGGGGGGCGGCGGAGTGGCGGCCAAGGGATGGGACGCGTTCCGGGCGCGGAGATGGAGCGACGAATTCGGCTCGTGCGTAGAGCGGCATTTCCTGGTGGATTGCATGAATACGTTACATTATACGGACGTATCTACCGCCTTAATTCAAGGGGCTTTACAGCAGTTATACACGAGATGGCAGTGGTGGAAATAAAGGGCCCGAGGTTATGAAGAGTGAGAGGAGGCCTTCATCCAGCGGTGGATTGATCATGGCTGTTGCCGGTGACGGGGTTAAGCACCCCCCCCAGCGTCGCGTGTTTCATGAATATTCGTGGTGTCTCTGTCAAACGCTTGTCTGGCCGTGATTGAATGAATGCCGTTACAAATCTGACATTTTCATCTGTTACTCTTTGGTTCTTTCGGTAAAGTCACGTAGGTATGAAATAAAATAAATCACGACGTTTCGGGCGCAACACAAGCGTCCGTCATCAGGTGGGAAAGCATGATCTGCTGCTGAGGCAGACTGTTTTAAAAGGCTTGAAATTTGGTGTAGCAGGTCGATTTTTGGGTGGAACATGTCGTATTCTTATTTATTCTTTTGCCAAAATGCCTGGCTGCCTGGGATGTCAATGGAATAATATCCGAGGCTCAGCGAGCCAAACCCCAAGGCACCCTGACAGCACGTCTTGCATGGACGCTCACAGTAAACGACACCACATCCGTACATGGTGGCATAAGCAAGAATTCTGCCGTGTCGAACCTGGTCATCTCCCTGGACAGCGACCCAGGGGGTGGCCCGATCCATGTCCCGTCGCGGCGGTCGAAACAGTTGGGAGGCAAAATCTTGACTCAGACCTTTCGTGACTGCAGGAATTCATATTTTTGGGGGTCTTTCGGAAAAGTCACGTAGATAGGTTCAAAGAAAATAACACAAGCGGTCGTCTTCAGGAGCAAAAAAAAACGAAGACGACCGCTTGTGTTGCGATCGAAACGTCGTAGTTTTTTTTTGCTATTTTCTTTGAACATGTCTACGTGACTTTACCGAGAGACCCAAGAATATAGTTGGAGGCAAGTTTCTCTGAACGTTGCTGTCACATCAACTGTGTGGGCGTATGCGTGTCTCTATCTCCGCGTGTGTATTCATGTCCGTGCGTCTCTACATGTCTCCGTGTTTGTGTTGCTGCGTGTCTCCGGGGTTTGTCCCAACTGGGCACCCGCGACCGAGGGAGTTGAGAGGGCCTTGGTCTCCACCCAAGGCCCTCTCAATTTTCTGCAGCCGTCAGCCCAATGGCGAGGGGGGAATGGTGGGAGGTGGGCGGAGGGTTCCTGAGGTTCTTTCCTGATTCCTGAAATACCGCGGCACACTGCGGGCTTCTGGGTATGCCATTGCACACCAATAACCTAGCACTGCTATAGTACAGAGCTCCCTCTAAAGTAAAGATTATTTTGTTTTCGCTATTGATTACGATTTGAATTCGAGCTGATTTTTTAGTTTGTTGCGCTGCTATTTTTGTTCCCTGCCTCTCTTTAAATCCAGGGGTGCTCCCGCCCCCACCTTGATCCGCTTCGGGCCCTGAGCTATTTGCTCGATTTGCCCGGTGGCCGGTGATGGCGGAGGGCGGAGCGGCGCAGGACCGGCCGAAGGCCTCATCCCTGCTCCTCCACCGCAGGGAGCGGCTTGTCCTGGCCATGGGCCCGCAGGTGGAGGGCCTCCTGGACGTCCTGTTCGCTCGCGACATGGTCTCCCTGGAGGAGAGAGAGAGCATCGTGTTCGGCAGGTAACCCGTATGCCCTACGGATTGTTAGATGCACTCTGGGGGGAGCTGTAGACCAAGGGAACGAGGGCACAGGGGCACGCGGTGGCGATGGAGCGACGATGTAAAGTCATGTGGAGGTGGATTTTGAGTGTCACAGCGACGGCGTGGCGAGGCCTTCATCCAGCATTGGCTAGACCGTGTCCGTTGATGGCCGTGGTGACAATGATTACTTGAGATTGTGTAGGTCTATGGCTTGCGGTTCGAATGTTAGTAGGCCGCCCTGGTTAATACTGTCGTACAGGTGTATTTACCATAAAATGCGTGCCCTCTGCTTCACAGTAAAAAAAAAAACCGTGGCGTCATTCAGAGAAGAGTAGTCGGTCATTGTGCTTCAACATCTTGGTCCATATTTTTTAAAAAATTACTCGCAATTAACTTAATTGTGGAACACGGTAATCGTCGCCCCCGACTGCGAAAACCTTTGCGGGACCTTCTTGGAAACAAAAGATTGTCGAGGCTCAGCGAGGCTTAACAATGATAGCGGCGGAGGCCGCACCGCAGGCCGCACCGCAGGCCGCACCGCAGGCCGCACCGCAGGCCGCACCGCAGGCCGCACCGCAGGCCGCACCGCAGGCCGCCTTTGTGAGCGTCCCATCGCGTTCTCCCAGGACGCCGTACGACGCGGCGCGCCAGCTGCTCTGCATCGTCGGCAGCAAGGGCGAGGAGGCCGCCGCGGAGCTGGTGGGAGCGCTCGCGAGGGCGGCGCTCATCCAGGTGCCCCCGGGGTTCGAGCTCCGCACGGACCAAGCCGACGCCGACGCCGCCACCGGCACCGGCATCGCCGCCGCCGCCGCCGCCGCCGACGCCGCCGACGCCGACGCCGCCGCCGCGACGCTCATCGCGGCGCCGTCGCCCCCCGACGGCGCCCTGGCTGCGATGCGGCTCCACCACCTGGCACTGGTGGACAAGCTGGACGATGTGGACGTGCTGGCCGAGCAGCTGGTGCTGGATGGCGTCTTGAGTCACGAGGACCGGGACAGAGTGACGCTTCCGCAGCAGACGCGCCAGCAAAACGTGATTAGCGGCCTTGAAGCGCGCCGGCAGGCCGCGTCCAGGCCTGATTCTCCAAACGTTTGCACGTTAATAATCCGAAAATCGGGACCACGTACCTGGTGGCAACGTTTATAATAATTCACTTGTTTATCAGCTACACTGAGTCGCAGGACTCTCTTTCAGGAGGGTCCTGTTACATTTTACCGCGCCTCTTATTCGCCCCGCACCGCCCGATTAGCGCAGTTGGCTAGGTGCGGTGCGATCGTAGGTCCTTCGAGTTGACCCGTCGATGCGTGAGTAGTGGCGCTGTGGTCTCTGTTCCCGCAGGTGAGGAAGCTGCTCAATCTGATTCACACGAAAGGGGAAGCCGCGGCGGCCGCGTTTCTCCGCTGCGTCGACGCGAAAGCGGTGGCCGAGAAGGATTACTTCCCTTCGCCCGGTGGGAAAACGACGCTCGATCGTCATGCGATCTACTCGCCCAATCGCAGCATCTGTATAATTGGAGTTTGCGGTGTCTCCCTGCCCGTGGCCACGTGGATTTTTCTCCGGTTCCTCCGGTTTTGCCCTCCACATTTACAATCAACTTGATGTGTTTAGAGTATTTAGCTGTTCTAGATGTCGACGTGATAAGCCACTATGTTGGGCTATCATTTGTGGCCAGGTCGCTTCTGAAAAAAAGCTATCAAGCTCAGTGGGCTTTACCTGGGAAAATAAAAAAATAGTTTTAGTTGTTAGAGATTCCACACCAGCGACGCCTGTCACTTCGGCTCAGACCGGCGGCCGATCGTGGCCACCGCAGATTTACGACGCCGTTCAGGTGAAAGTAAAAAGGCACGGGTAAGTTGCTGCGGGCAATCTTATTTTTTAACTGCTGCCGTTTTACGAGGGACGTCTCGGCGAGGCGGTAAAGTTGCGGCGAGCGGCTGCTGTAAAGGAGTAAAAGAAGCGGCAGAGCTGTAAGAATCGAATTGTGTTTGTTGTTTGTCTTGGGGACACGGCCCGTCAGTTTGCGCGTTCAACGCTTGTTGCAGAGGTCCACGGTTCCATTTTCGGCATGCCGCCCTGGTTAATCTTTCTTTCTTGTGGCATTTGAAAAAAAAAGCAGCTGGCAAAATAATGTAATCGTGTGTAGAGGAGTCTGGCTATTCGTCCGATGGCATCAGGAGCCACTCGATCGATGGTGTCCGTACCTCCTGTGTAACCGAATACTGGGCAGTGCATGTATGTATGTTGAACTTCTTTCGCACGGTGCGAAAGAAGTTCAACATACATGCATGCACCGTACGTAGCCAACCATGGTAATCGGAGGTGTGGGGGAAGGACAACAGACTGAACACAAAAAAAAAACTTGATTCAAAAGTGCATAGCTTCAGTGCCTTCCTCATATCGGAAAGAAGAGCATTCCAGATGGCCACAGAAGCGCATTTGAAAGCGCGCGATGCAGTGACCATCTTTGTTAGATGGCGAGCCAAAAGCCGCTGCTGCGAGGATGACTGGAGTTCGTGTGATGGTTTTTTTGTTCCTTCACGAGGTCATCAAAGGTGCTGTGGTTCATTTGTGGCAAGCAGTTTGTGTGTAATGGGCGGTCGGTTATACGGTGAGATCTCCCTTCATCACATTCGCAATCGCGATGCCCTTCCTTTCTCTTTGTATTCATGATGGAATTGGCAGCCCCTTCCGCGCGTTGTTCCGTTGTGGTCAATGCCTGCTGTGGCTGTTTTTCATTTATGTTGGAATCCACCGCTTGCACCTTTGGGATCGCGGGATCAAGTATTGGCCGGAAACTTTCCATAACAGAGCCGTTCCATGTGAGCGTCTAGCCGCAACTGAGGAGTGATCTTGTCCAGGAAGTTTTTGGGTCACAGGCTTTTGTCTTTCTGGCTTAAGAAGTTCAAGGTTATGACCTTCGCCAGGTGTTACATGATCTAGGAGTCACGAGGTTATGACCTAGAGCTTCCCCTTCCATTTTCTCTGGACTTTGCCGGCAGTGTGTTGCGTTGGTCACTAATTCTGCCGGCCATTTGCGTCCGACAGGTCCCTGCGATGTGTTACACTTTGCACTCCTATCGTGTTTTTTTTGTTGTTGTAACGTTCTGACCTGCCCCTACTGGACGTGAAAAATAGCTTCATAGCTCATCGGATTCCTCCGGTATAAATTCTGATGAATTGCATGAACGACTCTGCATTATAATAAGCATGTTTACCATTCGGTCAACTACGTGCTAACGCATAAACGTGTTGCGGCGGGCAGTGGAGGCGTACAAGAGCAAGCTGCGTCGGCACCACGAGGACGGCTCGCAGTCGCTGCAGATGTACAGCCACCTTGGCCACCTCGCCCTCGACGACATCTACACCGAGACGCAGCTGCACGCGCTGCCCACCGCGGCCGACGAGCAGCCCCTCGTGCTCACGCTGGACACGCTCCTGCAGCCGCCCCCGGCCGAGGCCGGCATCGGCGCCGACGTCGGCCGCCGCCCCGGGCCGCCCGGCAAGGACGTGGTCCTGCTGTCGGGCGACGCGGGCAGCGGCAAGAGCGTGCTGGTGCAGAAGCTGCGGCGGGAGTGGGCGAAGGGCGCGGCGTACGCCGAGTTCGAGTTCCTCTTCTCGTTCTCCTGCAGCCACCTGAACCACGTGAGGAAGGAGATCTGCCTGAGGGACCTGCTCTTCAACAACTGCTGCTGCCCGGACACGTGCCCCGACAAGGTGTTCGAGTACGTGCTGAGACGTCCGGACAGGACGCTGCTCGTGTTCGACGCCATGGACGAGTTCCGCGGAGACATGGCGTGCGGCGGCGGCGGCGGCGGCGACGTGGCGATGTGCGCGTCGCCGGAGGGCGCCGCCCCCGCCTTCGTGCTCGTCGCCAACGTCTTGCGGGGGAACCTGCTCAGGGGCGCGAAGAAGATCGTGACGTCGAGAACCAACTCGGACGTGAAGGTCATGCTGGAGACGCACGTCGGGCGGAACGTCGTCGCCTCGGGCTTCTCCAAGGATGCCGTCATGGCGTACCTGTCCAAGCGGCGCCAGGGCGAGGGCGTCGCCAGCCGGGCCACGGAGCAGCTGCTCAAGTCCGACCCGAACATCTACAGCCTCTGCCAAATCCCGCTCTACTGCTGGATCGTGTCGCAGTGCCACGGTCTGCTCCGGCAGCCGCAGCCGCCGCAGCACCGGTCGGCGCCGGCGGGATCCCCGGACTCGTCGCTGACGATCACCGAGATTTACCTGAGCATGCTCGAGGTGTGCTTGAGTCACAGCCAGCCGCAGCAGGGCCAAGAGGCCCTCTTCGGCGCCTCCCTGCCGCTGCTGCGCAGGCTCGGCAGCCTTGCCCAGAAGGCGCTGCTGGAGTCGGAGACCTCGTTCTCGTCGTCGCGCCTCAAGGAGCACGGCCTCACGGAGGAGGACCTCGCGTACGGCTTCCTCATCAAGTCGCAGAGCTACCGCGGCTTCGGCACGGAGGACGTGTTCGTGTTCATGCACGTCACCTTCCAGGCATTCTTCGCCGCGCTCCTCCTGGTGCTGAGCGCCGACCGCAGCGCACGCGACGTGCTCGGGCACTTCCCCAACTTCTCGCGAGCGACTCCGTGGCGGAGGCTGGCGCCGGCCTGCGTGGTCGGGTGGCAGCGGCGGAAACAGTGCCGCAAGCTCACCGACTCGGAGAAGAGCAACCTGCAGTTGGTGTCGCAGTTCCTCAGCGGCCTCCTGTCCCAGCGGCACTCCGCGACGCTGTTGAAGATGGCGGGCCGCCGCAGCGACGGCGCCCTCCGGCGGAAGCGCGGGGCGCTGCGCGCCCACCTGCGCCGGTGCCTGCGCGTTCACCTGGAGGATCTGGCGGCGAGCGTCCGGCTGACGCGCCGCGACATGGCCGGCTACCGCGGCCACCTGACGTGCGACTTCCTGTGGGTGGTGTGCTGCGCCCACGAGTTTGGCGAAGAGGCGGTGGCGCGGCGGCTGGCCCGCGACGTGCCGAGCTTCGTGAAGCTGAACTACGCGTTGGTGGGGCCGGCGCACTGCACGCACCTGGCCTTCGTGCTGCAGCACGCCACGTCGGCCGTGTCGGCCGAGCTCGACAACAACCACATCGAGGACCTGGGCGTGCGCCAGCTGCTGCCGTGCCTGCACAAGCTGGACCAGCTGCGGTGGGCGCGCGGTGTACACGCTCGTGGGAAATATTGTTGTTTCGTTTTTTATCCCACCCCCGCCCCCCCCCCCTCCCAAATTCTTCAAATGTAAAACTCTGTTTATTTAGAACTGCTTTTTTGTGTTTAATTTATCCCACCCCCAAACCTCCGGTTAGCACGGTTGTCTACGATCCGTTCAAAGTGCATGCAAATGGTTTTCTGACCTGTTTAGAATAGTAGGCCAGTGTGTGCTGGCATCCTGGTCCAAATTGGAAGAAATTACTCAAAACCTCATTGGGAAACACACAGGAATCGTTGCCCCCCCACTCCCCACTGCGACGTTTCGGCCACACCACAAGTGGCCTTCATCAGGTGAAGGGACCGGACTGTCCCGAGGACAGCGTTGGAGTGCCGAGTCTCTGGACTCTCCTGGCTATTCAAGTTCCATGCTTACCACCGCCCGCCTCTTTCCGTCCCTTCTTGATTTGTATTCTAGAGTGAGCAGTAACCGGATAACGGACGACGGCATCCGCGTGCTGGTGCCGGAGTTGATAAAGCACAACACCTTGAAGTACCTTGGGTAAGCGGCCCACCACCACACCGCCCGCCGTGCAAACGAGGGGGACCGTCCGGATTTCAGCCGCCGCCGTGTTTCGCTGTGTTAAACAACAACAACAACAAGGACAAAAAGGTGCAGCCCTGCGATTGCTTGCTCACGCCACTGCTGGCTGAAAGGGGCCACTGCCAGTATTGGTCACGGTATCAGACACAACGAAAGAACGGCGGTGTTTAAACCTGCCCCGGCACACGCCGATTTCCTCTTGCTTTACTTCGCTGCATTCGCTTATCTCACTTGTCTTCTTAGTAATATCCTCCGCTTGGCCTGTGATGTACGGAGCCTCGAGTACTTTGTCACTGAAAGGGGCTTTATAAATGCAGCTTATTACTGTTGTCATTACTTGACCTAAGAATCCATTCTGGGTATATGTCTTGGAATAAGTGGGAGGAATCACAATTGACCTCACCACGCGCGAATTGGCGATCAACTGTGGTCAACGGTGGCGAGATGTTAACTACCTCACCTGGTATACAGGAGGTCGTATTCTCCGCATGATCGTGTGGATTTGTATCAGAGTCCTCCGGCTTTTTCCTCCACATTAAGTTACATGCGTTCAGAGTATTTGGCTGCTATAAATTTCTACAAGTTTATAAGCCGCTTCGTTGAGTTAGCATTTGTGGCCAGGTCGCTTCTAAAAAAAGAACTATACAGCTCAGTGGGCCTTACCTGGTACAATAAAAAATAATTTATAGTTTTAGTTTAACTCATCACCCTCAGGCAGCGACAGCACCGCCACTACAGGGACATGAAAGCAACTGAAGGGCAATTATCACCGGCAACGGATTTACTGTGAGTGGCTAAGGCAACTTTGTATTACTGTGGCATGCGGGAGGTGTGTCTAATCAATGAAAGCGAGAGTTTTTTCTAAAGTGATGATCAATTATATGGTCTACAGACCACACAACCAAGTCATGTGGTGTCTATCCGCCATCTGATTGGAAGTCACCAACCGATTCATCCACTGGGGCAACTGCGATGAGATTCGTCCAGATTTAAGCAACAGGATTATGGTGCGGTGACTGTTGCCGGTGATTGTTGCTGTTGCCGGCAACGGTCGCCCTCCTATTGATGCAGCGTCTCGTGCTCGCACAGACCAAGTGCACGGGGTGGAAATCTTGCGGATGCTGAACGCCATCTCGGAAGTGACCCGGGGGGATTGAAATTGCGAGCCAGCGGAGGGATTGAGGCGTCAGTCGACTCAAGGGGGATTGAAATTGCGAGCCAGCGGAGGGATTGAGGCGTCAATTGACTCAAGGGGGATTGAAATTGCGAGCCAGCGGAGGGATTGAGGCATCAGTTGACTCAAGGGGGATTGAAATTGCGAGCCAGCAGAGGGATTGAGGCGTCAGTCGACTCAAGGGGGATTGAAATTGCGAGCCAGCGGAGGGATTGAGGCGTCAATTGACTCAAGGGGGATTGAAATTGCGAGCCAGCGGAGGGATTGAGGCATCAGTTGACTCAAGGGGGATTGAAATTGCGAGCCAGCGGAGGGATTGAGGCGTCAGTCGACTCAAGGGGGATTGAAATTGCGAGCTAGCGGAGGGATTGAGGCGTCAGTTGACTCAAGGGGGATTGAAATTGCGAGCCAGCGGAGAGGGATTGAGGCGTCAATTGACTCAAGGGGGATTGAAATTGCGAGCCAGCGGAGGGATTGAGGCGTCAATCGACTCAAGGGGGATTGAAATTGCGAGCCAGTGGAGGGATTGAGGCGTCAATGAGCTTAAAACGCCATGCGAACTCCGGTCATCCTCGCCGCAGCAGCAGCAGCAGCTTTTGCGTGGCCATCTAACAAAGACAGTGGTCACCGCATCGCGCGCTTTTGGATGCGTTTCTGCGGCCGTCTGGAATGCTCTTCCTTCTGATATTAGGAGCTATGCACTTTTAAATGTACATTGGAAAACTAATTTTTTCACAGCTGCTTTTTGTGTTTAGCTCGTTGGCTACGTACGGTGCGAAAGAAGTTCAACGTACGTATGTCTAGCCTCGGGCGTTTTGCGTTGACGTCTCGCCTCGAAGTGAGTGTAACTTTATTTTTCCCACCGGCAGGCTCTTTAAGAACAGCTTGACGGACGTCATCGCGCCCGACCTGGCGAAGTTCATCGAGAGGAGCAGCACCATTGAACAACTCAAGTGAGAGACCCTCGGTGGATACGGTTGGCACGTGACGGGAACTCTCTGCTGAACACCTTGGGGGCTCCGTCGCAGCAATCGTTTTAATGGTTCATGTGGGAGATTTGGTCTCCTTTAGTCAACTCGTTCCTGACCTTACCCGACCCTCTCGCCCCATCGTAGACCTCACGTAGATTCGCAGACTCAACATAAAGACTCAGCGACTGAGAAGGACATCTTTACTCACGTGGAGACCCACTGAATTACACAGAACCAAAGAATCAACATAAAAAACATAGAATCGGAATATTGATTTTACTGGACAAATCCAATCAGCTATGAAGCTTTTTTTCACAGATATCTAGTAGGGGCGAGTCAGAACGTTACAACAATACAAAAACACGATTGGAGTGCAAAGTATAGAGATTAAATGACTGACACACAGATCTCTATGTATGTATGTTGACCTTTCGCACCCTGCGAAGCCAACTGCGCTCATCACTTGAGACTTGCAAAGAGCCCCATAGTCTTACATACAGTACAGATCCATAGGATCAACATAGAAACGCAGACTTGTTATAGAGAACCAATAGCCAACAAAGAGATCTATAGAAGAGATCTATAAATAAACCCACCGAGTGATTTAGATGCGTCGGCAGTGGCTTTGCGAGCTGCGCTTACACTCCAGCGGAGCATTGCACGCGTCCCACGCAGCTTCCCAACAAGAACTGGTGTGGTGAAGTCCAGCCTTCCCGGTTCTTTGGTTGTCATCATCAGCCAACGGCGTGATCATTTTTCGATTTAAAGCTTTCGTGACTGCAAGGATTCATCTTCTTTGCGCCTTTCGGTAAAGTCACGTAGAATGAGAATAAAATAATAAAATAAAACAATAAAATTCTCACGACGTTTCGGCCACAACACAAGTGGCCTTCTTCAGGTGAAAGGAACAAACCTGTCGGGACGACAGAGCTACAATGAACGCTGCTAAGATTCGCAGCGTCTTTTAAGCTGGTTGAGAGAAGTGAGGCACCTTGAGTACATTTATTATATTGATGTAATTTAGACTTAGGTTTTTTTCACATCGGTTTACTGTATGATAGTTGAGTTGTTGCAGCCCCTTTGGCGTCCATGTACGAGGTGCCTCTGTGGATGTGTAGGCTTTGACTTTAACATAGCTATTTCTGTGACCAGTCACAAGCTAATCACTCAACTGTTTCAATGCTAAATTCTCCCGTTTGATATGTAAACCCCTTTGTCAAGGTGCCTCACTTCTCTCAACCAGCTTAAAAGACGCTGCGAATCTTAGCAGCATTCATTGTAGCTCTGTCGTCCCGACAGGTTTGTTCCTTTCACCTGAAGAAGGCCACTTGTGTTGTGGCCGAAACGTCGTGAGAATTGTATTGTTTTATTTTATTATTTTATTCTCATTCTACGTGACTTTACCGAAAGGCGCAAAGAAGATGAATCCTTGCAGTCACGAAAGCTTTAAATCGAAAAATGATCACGCCATTGGCTGATGATGACAACCAAAGAACCGGGAAGGCTGGACTTCACCACACCAGTTCTGTTGGGAAGCTGCGTGGGGCGCGTGCATTGTTCCGCTGGAGTGTAAGCGCAGCTCGCAAAGCCACTGCCGACGCATCTAAATCACTCGGTGGGTTTATTTATAGATCTCTTCTATAGATCTCTTTGTTGGCAATTGGTTCTCTATAACAAGTCTGCGTTTCTATGTTGATCCTACGGCTCTCTAATATCGGGTATCTCCCCGCCACTCCCCTGAACGTTGTGATCCTCTGAACCATCTCAGCCTCCCTAAGCCGCTAACCTAACCTGTGACCCCACACCCCTAACACCTCCCCCGACCCTTATAACCTATTCTCCTTTCCTCTAAATCTTACATCTTGCGTCGGCAGGTTCCTGCGGAGAATTGCGTTCTCTCCGGCTGCTATCTCCTCGCGCGTTTTTGTTGAATGTACATCATATACAGTGCGTGTGTATATACACACACACACACGCGCGCGCATATTTGCACACTGCATCTTGAAGAGCTACCGGGATTGGCGAAAAAGCAGTGGTTTAAATTTTGATTTAAAGCTTTCGTGACTGCAGTAATTCATATTCTTAGTTCTTTCGGTAAAGTCACGTTGAAGGGAAACAATAAAATAATAAAATATATATAAAACAATAAAAATTCTCACGACGTTTCGACCATAACACAAACGGTCGTCATCATCACACCTGATGACGACTGTTTGTGTTATGGTCGAAACGTCGTGAGAATTTTTATTGTTTTATATATTTTATTATTTTATTGTTTCCCTTCAACGTGACTTTACCGAAAGAACTAAGAATAAGCAGTGGTTTGTTTGGTAGACTCAGCGACTGCGTTGACCGCGACGCCTCTCTCTGTTTGTGTGTCCCCTAGCGCAAAGCCGTCCCCTAGGGTATGGAGAATCGGGGAGACTGCCCCGGACCCCGCGCATTGGGGGGGGGGGGGGTGCTTTTGGTGGCGGGAGGGAACCTTTGGGTGCGGGGGGGGGGGGGGCACCTTTTGGGTGGAGAGGGTGCCGCGCTTCGACGTCACGGTGTCAGATGTAATAATTTTTTTAGTTTTAAGGGGTTGGGGGGGGGAGGGCACGTGGTGTGATTTTCCCCCATGCCTCGCTCCCCCTCTCGCCCCCCCCCCCCCCCTATCGACGGCCCTGGCTCGCTGTTTGCCGCCTGTGACCCCCCTCCGCCCCCCCCCCAGGCTCGGCGGGAATGAGTTCACGGGAGGGGGCGCCGTGGTGCTGGCAGATGCGCTGAAGCGCAACCGCTCTGTCAAGATCGTCGGGTAAACTTTGTTTCCTCGGTTAGATCTCTCTCGCCCCGCGGTCTCACAAGGAAAAGGCCGCCAACTAACCAGTGAACCAGTTGCTCGTGTGTGTGTGTGTGAGTGTGTGTGTCGGAGGGTGCGTGTGTGCGTCAGAGTGTGTGTGTGTCAGAGTGTGTGTGTGTGTGTGTGTCAGAGTGTGTGAGAGTGTGTGTGTGTCAGAGTGTGTGAGAAGGTGTGTGTGTGTGTGAGAGTGTGTGTGTCAGAGTGTGTGTGTGTGAGAGTGAGTGTGTGTTAGTGTGTGTGTCAGAGTGTGCGTGTGTGTGTCAGAGTGTGTGTGTGTCAGAGTGTGTGTGTGTGTGTGTGTCAGAGTGTGTGAGAGTGTGTGTGAGTGTGTGTGTCAGAGTGTGCGTGTGTGTGTCAGAGTGTGTGTGTGTCAGAGTGTGTGTGTGTGTCAGAGTGTGTGTGTGTCAGAGTGTGTGTGTGTGTGTCAGAGTGTGTGAGAACGTGTGTGTGTGTGTGTCAGAGTGTGTGAGAAGGTATGTGTGAGGTGTGTGTGTCAGAGTGTGTGTGTGTGAGGTGTGTGTGTGAGTGCGTGTGTGAGGTGTGTGAGAGGTGTGTGTGTGAGTGTGTGTGTGTGTGTGAGGTGTGTGTGTGTGTGTGAGGTGTGTGTGAGGTGTGTGTGTGTGAGTGTTTGTGTGAGTGTTTGTGTGTGTGAGGTGTGTGTGAGGTGTGTGTGAGGTGTGTGAGAGGTGTGTGTGTAAGTGTGTGTGTCAGAGTGTGTGTGTGTGAGGTGTGTGTGAGAGTGTGTGAGGTGTGTGAGAGGTGTGTGTGTGAGTGTGTGTGTGAGGTGTGTGTGAGGTGTGCGTGTGTCAGAGTGTGTGAGAGTGTGTGTGTGAGGTGTGTGTGTCAGTGTGTGTGTGTGAGGTGTGTGAGTGTGTGTGTGAGGTGTGTGTGTGTGTGAGGTGTGTGTGAGATGTGTGTGTGAGGTGTGTGAGAGGTGTATGTGTGTCAGTGTGTGAGAGTGTGTGTGTGTGAGTGTGTGTGAGAGGTGTGTGTGTGTGTGTGAGAGGTGTGTGTGTGTGTGTGTCAGAGTGAGTGTCTGAGTATGTGTGTGTCAGAGTGTGTGTGAGGTGTGTGTGTGTGAGGTGTGTGTGAGAGTGTGTGTGTGTGAGGTGTGTGTGTGTGAGGTGTGTGTGTGTGAGGTGTGTGTGTGTGAGGTGTGTGTGAGGTGTGCGTGTGTCAGAGTGTGTGAGAGTGTGTGTGTGAGGTGTGTGTGTCAGAGTGTGTGTGTGTGTGAGGTGTGTGAGTGTGTGTGTGAGGTGTGTGTGTGTGTGTGTGTGAGGTGTGTGTGAGGTGTGTGAGAGGTGTGTGTGTGTGTCAGAGTGTGTGTGTGTGTGTGTCAGAGTGTGTATGAGGTGTGTGTGTGTGAGTGTGTGTGTGAGTATGTGTGTGTCAGAGTGTGTGTGTGTCAGAGTGTGTGTGTGTCAGAGTGTGTGTGTGTGTCAGAGTGTGTGAGAGTGTGTGTGTGTCAGAGTGTGTGAGAAGGTGTGTGTGTGTGTGAGAGTGTGTGTGTCAGAGTGTGTGTGTGTGAGAGTGAGTGTGTGTTAGTGTGTGTGTCAGAGTGTGCGTGTGTGTGTCAGAGTGTGTGTGTGTCAGAGTGTGTGTGTGTGTGTGTCAGAGTGTGTGAGAGTGTGTGTGAGTGTGTGTGTCAGAGTGTGCGTGTATGTGTCAGAGTGTGTGTGTGTCAGAGTGTGTGTGTGTGTCAGAGTGTGTGTGTGTCAGAGTGTGTGTGTGTGTGTCAGAGTGTGTGAGAACGTGTGTGTGTGTGTGTCAGAGTGTGTGAGAAGGTATGTGTGAGGTGTGTGTGTCAGAGTGTGTGTGTGTGAGGTGTGTGTGTGAGTGCGTGTGTGAGGTGTGTGAGAGGTGTGTGTGTGAGTGTGTGTGTGTGTGAGGTGTGTGTGTGTGTGTGTGAGGTGTGTGTGAGGTGTGTGTGTGTGAGTGTTTGTGTGAGTGTTTGTGTGTGTGAGGTGTGTGTGAGGTGTGTGTGAGGTGTGTGAGAGGTGTGTGTGTAAGTGTGTGTGTCAGAGTGTGTGTGTGTGAGGTGTGTGTGAGAGTGTGTGAGGTGTGTGAGAGGTGTGTGTGTGAGTGTGTGTGTGAGGTGTGTGTGAGGTGTGCGTGTGTCAGAGTGTGTGAGAGTGTGTGTGTGAGGTGTGTGTGTCAGTGTGTGTGTGTGAGGTGTGTGAGTGTGTGTGTGAGGTGTGTGTGTGTGTGAGGTGTGTGTGAGATGTGTGTGTGAGGTGTGTGAGAGGTGTATGTGTGTCAGTGTGTGAGAGTGTGTGTGTGTGAGTGTGTGTGAGAGGTGTGTGTGTGTGTGTGAGAGGTGTGTGTGTGTGTGTGTCAGAGTGAGTGTCTGAGTATGTGTGTGTCAGAGTGTGTGTGAGGTGTGTGTGTGTGAGGTGTGTGTGAGAGTGTGTGTGTGTGAGGTGTGTGTGTGTGTGAGGTGTGTGTGTGTGAGGTGTGTGTGTGTGAGGTGTGTGTGAGGTGTGCGTGTGTCAGAGTGTGTGAGAGTGTGTGTGTGAGGTGTGTGTGTCAGAGTGTGTGTGTGTGTGAGGTGTGTGAGTGTGTGTGTGAGGTGTGTGTGTGTGTGTGAGGTGTGTGTGAGGTGTGTGAGAGGTGTGTGTGTGTGTCAGAGTGTGTGTGTGTGTGTGTCAGAGTGTGTATGAGGTGTGTGTGTGTGAGTGTGTGTGTGAGTATGTGTGTGTCAGAGTGTGTGAGAGGTGTGTGTGAGGTGTGTGTGTGTGTGTGTCTGTCAAAGTGTGTGTGTGAGAGTGTGTGTGTGAGGTGTGTGTGTCAGTGTGTGTGTGTGAGGTGTGTGAGTGTGTGTGTGAGGTGTGTGTGTGTGTGAGGTGGGGAGCGATAGTGTAGCGGTTAGCGCGCTGCGCTATGAACCTGGCGACCCAGGTTCGATTCCTGCTCACGGCTAACACCAGTGACGATTATCTGAACCGGTCCCGGGCCTCCCCTAGGCTGACTCAGCCTCAAATGAGTACCTGGTGCGGTGTGTAAACATTGCCACTAGGGAGACAAAGGCGGTCGGGCGTGGTGCTGGCCACCCACCCCCTCGTGTACCGTTCCGGCCTTCATAGGTGCTCGCTAACAGCACTTGCCCCTACAGTCTGTTAAGGCTATATGGGGGATCTTTGTTGTATCTTTGTGTCAGAGTGTGTAAGGTGTGTGTGAGAGTGTGTGTGAGAGTGTGTGTGAGGTGTGTGTGAGGTGTGTGTGAGAGTGGTCCTGGGCCTCCTCCTAGGTCGACTCGGCCTCAAATGAGTACCTGGTGCGGTGCGTAAAAACATCGCCACTGGGGATACAAAGGCGGCCGGGCGTGGTGCTGGCCACCCACCCCCTCGTGTGCCCGTGCCGGCCTTCATAGGTGCTCGCTAACAGCACTTGCCCTAACAGAGAGGCTATACGGGGGATCTTTGTCTTTGTGTCGTGCTGGTGAGGTGAGGACAGGCGTGAGGGGGGCGGGGGGGGGAGACACCGCCTAAAATAATTAAATAAAGGAGGCGGAAACGAGGCCTGGGATTGGCGGACGACTGGAGGAGTGATTTGATAAGTGTGGGATGGGGGGGGTATGAGGGGGGGTTTAAGGGGGGGGGGGGGGGGTTATGAGAGAGGGGGGTTATGGTGTATAAGTGTGGGATGTGGAGTATGAGTGGAAGAGAGGGATTCCTGCGCGTGCGGATGTTTGGCAATGTCTTGTGAGGAATTTCAACAAAGTCCTGAGTGGAAGATCGCCTCGTGGGCCACTCCGGCACACTTGTGTGTTGTGTTCTGTCATCGGAGAACTGCCATACAGAATCAGAATATGTATTTATACTGGAGGAATCCGATGAGCTATAAAGCTCTTTTTTCACAGATGTCTGGTAGGGGCACGGGGTCATAACTTTACAACAGACAATACAAAATAGCCAGGACACGTTTTATTTTTTTACAAACAGCTGCTGAGCACACGGGGCCCGAGGGCCCAAAACGTCAAGCGGACAGCAGACAAACGACACCGTTAGAGGTGTAACAGAGTGATCTTACACGGTTTAACACATTAGGCTTTCGCGACCAATATTATCTTTTTACTCTCGAACACAGCGGTGTGCTGCACTCGTTAACGAATTGTCACGTTCTGTTTACGTGACAAGCCTTACCAATTGACTATGTCGGGTGGTGGCGGAGTTGAACGACACATTTATATTTACGCGATCTAACCCCCAAAACAAAACCTCTCATGGAGTTATTAACACGTTTCTTGAATTGACAGCTTCCATTGAGATCGCGGGCAGACATCGTCACGGTTCTTCCCGACGTTGTGTGCTCTTCTTTGGTTCTTTCGGTAAAGTCACGTAGAATGAGAATAAAATAATAAATTGATAAAATAAAATAACACAATAATATTCTCAATTTATTATTTTATTCTCATTCTACGTGACTTTACCGAAAGAACCAAAGAAGGTTTAAAATAGCTTCAGCAGAGGTCCATATATGTGTATATGTAGTATTCGCAGAGCTCAACAACAATACCTAATGAGTTTAAATTTCGATTTAAAGTTTTCGTGACTGCAATGATTCATCTTCTTTGGTTCTTTCGGTAAAGTCACGGAGAATGAGAATAAAATAATAAATTGATAAAACAAAATAACACAATAATATTCTCACGACGTTTCGGCCACAACACAAGCGGCCTTCATCAGGTGAAGGGGACGAGACTGTCTGGAGGACCTATCGCCAACGTCAAAGTTCAACAAACTCTGCGTTCATTGACCAGACACAACTCAGTCGCTCTTCTGCCACCATCTTACCAGGTTGCCATAGTTGCTCACAGTAAATGCGTTGCCGGTGACATCGCCCTAAAGTTTCCCCGAATGCATCTTGGCCTTGGGGTAGGGCTGCGGGTGGAGTGGTTGGCGCACTGAACTAAGAAATCTTGAGTTAAATTCCCGGCCATGGCGAACATTGTTGGCGAGCGATATCCGAATCGGACGTGTGTCTCTCTCCCCCCTTCGCCAAAGCCGCACCGACCGGCGTGGTGAAGCATGGTCAAACAACCTCCATTACTGACTAAAGTAGTGGCTTGATAACGAACTGCGAGTGTCATTTTGTGTCATCGCAGCTTTAACGGCCACCGGTGGTACTTCCACTTGGGAGTTTGTGTCTTCATGATCGCCTATTGTCAATCTACTGCTGGATGAGGGCCACCCCAAGGCAATTTCCACCCGTCTCTATTGCGCAATCTAAATCACCCAGCAACCTGCATGTCAAGCGATTTCTTTGTGATATATAAAAACAAAAAAAAATCATGTTTTAACATTATGAGACCTCCTTTGCCAGAAACAAGATATAAGAACAGGTTTAACCTGCCGAGAGCTGGGTGGGCGGCTTATATTTCTAGGTATGCAGTTAATTAGACAACACAACAGTTACATACATAAAGTGTCTTCCTCACTTATTCGTTTGTTCCATTGCTTAAGGTTTGTACATTCGTGTCGAAGTTGGTGAGTGAGCCAGCGGATGGTTTCAGGAGTAGCCTCGTTGTGAATAGCTTAAATTCTAAGACGTAGGCTTTCGCGACCAATATTATTAATTGATAAAGGTTTTTGGCTTAGATCGCGTAAGTATAAATGTGTCGAAACCCTCCACCACCCGACACGGCCAATCAGTAATGGATTTGTCGCGTAAACAAAACGACAAATAGTTGCTACTTCAGCCCACCGGTGTGTTGGAGAGTAAATCCACAACATTTACAGTTTGAGTAGTACGATGTTTCCCTGGTAATTACATCATCCAGCATCATCGGGCGATTTGCCAGAATAGTTAAGCCATCCACCTGCTTCCGGTCTTAAATAGTGCAGGACGACGTCATATGCATTAACAGACTAACAGACTCATAGACCCACGTATAAACCCATAGGTGAATAATTATAATTGGGCAGTGACGTTACACTGCAGTCTACGGTTTGAGATAGCCTTACACAAAGATCCCCCGTGTAGCCTGAACAGACTATTGAGGCAAGTGCTGTTAGCGCGTATCACTTATAAAGGCCGGCATGGCACATGAGGGGGGTGGGTGGCCAGTACCACGCTCAGCCGCCTTTGTCTCCCCAGTGGCGATGTTTACACACTGCACCAGGTACTCATTTGAGACTGAGTAGACCTAGGGGAGGCCCAACACCGGTTCAGATATTCGTCACCGATGTTGGTCGTGAGCAGGCATGGAACTCGGGTCGCTGGGTTTTCATAGCGCAGCACGCGAACCGCTACACCATGCACACAGACTCGCACACACCTAGTGAATGTCTGAAAGTCTTCGAGCAAATTATTGAAGGGGGCGATGGTGTTACTATGTGGCCCATGGGCTGAGAATGGTGGCCGCAGTCACACTGGGAGCTACTCTTAGACCATTCTTAGACCATTCTTTTCTATTTCATTAACAGTCGCTGCTCCTGCTGCTCAGAGCGCAGGTTCAGCAGCGGTTGGAGAACTCTGGTGACACCTGGGGTGGAGCTGCAAGTTCCTCCAAGTTGATTTTGTTCAACCTAAGTGAGAACTCAAACGACCAGGATGAGTCTCACCAGCAGCAGTTGCAACGGCCACTCACCCGGTTGAACAAATTGAACGTGAACCTTGAATCTCTGCTGTTAATGTGTCTGTGTGTGTCCCCTGTGCAACAGCCTGGTGGGCAATGGCATTGGCAAAGAAGGCGTCAGACGACTGTCCGAGGCTCTCCTCAAGAACTCCACCCTGCAGGATCTCTGGTTGTTGTGCAGGAGTTGCCGTATTTTACCTGGGATACCTGTGATGGCTCTAATCTGAATAAGCACCTTTGCTAGGATGAGAATTGTTTTCATTTTCGAGTATAGCGAGTGTTGAGGGGTAGTGCAGTAGTTAGCACGTTGTGATTTTCCAGATTTGTAACGCACATTGTACTAACCACTGCGTTAAACCACTCCCGAACATTTTCGAATTGAGCAAAACCAATTCTCACGGACACAATATGAAGCGTGTGTCATGACCGTACGAATGATGCTGAACGGATCCATCGACAGCGCGTCCATCCAATTCACGTCTATCCCGTTGACAGGTCTATCCAATTGACACGTCTATCCCATTGACACGTCTATCCCAATGACACATCTATCCCATTGACACGTCTATCCCATTGACACGTCTACCCAATTAACCAATTCTCACAGGCACGATATGAAGCACGTGTCGTGACCGTACGAACGATGTTGAACTGATGCATAATTGACGAGCCTATCCAATTGACCATTTCTCACAGGCACGATTTGAAGCGCCCTAAGAACGACGTTGAACTGATGCACCGTTGACACCGTCTGTCCACCGCCAAATCCTGGTGGCCTTTCCCCAGTGAGCGGCGTTCCAGAGTTCCGTGACGAAAAATTTCATTTTGTGTCCGGTCGAGGCAGGCTCGGGGAGAACTCCCTGACGGACGAGGAGGCCCTCATCCTCGCCGACGCCATCCGTGGAAAAATGCACCTCGAGCAGCTGTGGTGAGAATGCTGCCCCTGCGCGTGAATCCCTCGTAAACATTTCATCGAGTGCAGAACGACGTAAGCCCTTTCCCGTTCCAATGACATGTGTACGTCGTAACATTTTATTTCGATTCCATTCCAATGACGTACGTGTGCGTCATCGGAATAGTGCACGTCATCGGAACGGCACAAGTGGAAAAATCAAATAGCGTTTTTGGTTACCGAGGCTCCCACAAGGCCATGCGGGAGAGCGTGCGGCACAGTTTGGCGCCAGCTATCGTTTCGGTTATTTGCGGTGAGTGCAATGTATTGAAAAACAACGGCGCTCTGCTTCTCTAAATAAAATGAGCGCTTAAGCGGCTTGCACGTTCCGAGATTCAGCGGTAAATTGGACACCTACCCTGCAACCTGCAGAAGTCTCGGAACGGGAAAGGGTTAAGAATGTCGCAAAGTTAATTTAACATCGGCCGTTACTCCCAAGTAATAGAGAGTTGCGATGTCGGGCGTCGAAAGGTGACGACTGCCCTCTTGCCAGTGCCGCGGCTCAATGGGATCGCGTTCGCCGCTTTTTGCAGGTGCTCACGGTTCGAATGAAGCAGCCGCCCCGGTTATTATTTCAAGCGTAAGAACCTTGATAGTAACTGTGTGCCGTCTGCTTCACAGTGAACGTTAGAGATCCAGTGACGTCGTTTGTAAGAGTGGGCCACAAAGATGACACGGCAAATTACTTAACTGAGATTATACAAAGCAATCATCGCCATCTACTGGCAGACTAATTAGACTGTATCCAGGTTCCTTGAGCTATCAGCTGATTAAACAAAATCTTATAGATAAAGGAAGACCTTAATCTGTATGTTTCAAAACCTCGAGGGTACTTCTCGACAAGGTAGAAAGATGACATTTGGTATAGGTAGCTTTTAGGACCCAAACAATAAGAAATATCTGAACATCCTAGATCTTTTATTTTAAGGCCCCCAAATCTCGATTTTAAAGTGCCCCATAGACATGTTTGTGCGTGTTATTTAGAAACCGTTAAAAATATAAGATTGCGTTTTTTTGTTTGATAGTGTTAAACAGCAAAAAAGATGAAAGCGAGAACCATTGCTCTATCTTTTATTGTTTTTGAGATATTTTGGATTCAAGCAGTTTTGAATGAAAAAATACGGATTTTATGATGTTCAAATCTGAATAATTGGAAAACGGTAAAATATGGGAGCTTCCCCTCAGGAGTATTAGGGCCATTCTTTCTTGTTCTTTCTAATAGAAAAATAACATAATCAAGTGGTCAACAATTTAAGGTTAATTATTATATTTATTGAAAACTTTTGCCTGGCGAAGACAGGCTTCATGAACAAGTAAACCTTAAACTTGAACTGCAACTGTTCACAACGTAACACAGCCCGGGAAGACGCCTATCATGGCCCGGCGTGTGTGGTGGTCACCCATCCAAGCGCTGTACAGACTCAAATCCTGCTTAGCTTGTGATATCTGTCGAGATTGGGTGCATTATGGGTGATTTGGTAAAAAGGACTAAAATGCATATTGCTCCGTATGTGAATACAGTTGTCCTTCGGTTAACGGTTTTTAGGTTAACGTTTCATATGACCCCACGGTTTCCGACTGCCGTTAACATTTTGATAGCGGCCTGTTTACGTTATGCACGCGGGCACCAATTTCGGCCAATCCAAGTGCTCATAAGTGGACTTGAGCCATGCCCTCAGCAACGTCCATTTATGAGTGCTTAGACGTTGACTGGCTTTGTTTACATTACGTTTGCTGTTTTGGCAGCGGAAACAGCTCCCTTGCAGACTCGGTGATTTTGTAATAAAAGTTTTTGGGTTAGATCGCGTTATTATAAATGTGTCGCAACCCTCCACCACCCGACACAGCCAATCAGTAAAAAATGTATCACGTTACCAAAACGCCAATTAGTTACTTCTTCAGCCCACCGATGTGTTTGAAGAGTGAATCCACAACTTTTCGAATTTGAGTACGACGTTTCGCTGGTAATTACATCCAGCATCTTCGGGCGATTTGCCAGACTAGTGAAGCCGGAAGCTTCCGGAAGCAGGTGGATGGCTTCACTATTCTGGCAAATCGCCCGAAGATGCTGGACGTAATTACCAGCGAAACGTCGTACTCAAGTTCGAAATGTTGTGGATTCACTCTTCAAACACACCGGTGGGCTGAAGAAGTAACTAATTGGCGTTTTCTTAACGTGACACATTTTTTTACTGATCGGCCGTGTCGGGTGGTGGAGGATTGTGGCACATTTATAATAACGCGATCTAACCCAAAAACCGTTGTTATGAATAATACTGATCGGTGATTTCGATTAACAGTTATTTCGGCTAACAGTAGTTTTCGTGGAACGGATTAAAAAGAACGTTAACCGAAGAACGACTGTGATGTATTCATCTCCACCGTTTAGGTTGAACAAAAATAAATTTACCGTGCTCGGCGCCGAGGCCATCGCTGCTGCCCTCAAAGACAACACCTGCTTGAAGTGTGTCGTGTGAGTAGACATTTAAATATGGTCATCATCGCCAACGTGCAACTCCTTGATTTTCAACTATGTCTCTGTCAATCATACAATTAAAAAAACTAAAACGCTATATGAAACGTTTTCTTTTACCAGGTAAGACCTACTGAGCTATATACTGTGGCTCTTTTTCAGATACGATCTGGGCCACCAATGATATCTCATAAGTGGCTTATCATGTGGGAATTTATCACAGCCAAATACATCTAAACGTGTGTTTGTAAATGTTGAGGGAAAAACCTGGAAGACCCAGAGAAAAATCAACGCGACCACGGGAATAACGTGCAAACTCAAAATATACAGGTGTCAGGGTCGGGATCAAACCCACGACCTCCTCCTGTATACCTGGCGAGGTAGTTAACATTTGGCCACATTGGCACCCCATCACCATCTGACAGGACCCCCAATACGAAGCAAGTTACTCACGGTTCTGTGCTTGGCCCTATTCAGCTTTCTCTGTACGCCCTTAAAGACCCTGCAACTCGCTCTGTGCAATATTGGCCTTCACATGTCTTTGTCTTGTTGTTGCTGCTGTTGCTGCTGCTGTGTTCGTACGCCGCGGGTCTCCATTGTAAAATAGCCGGACATCTGGCTAAAAGGGATCATCCATGTAACAAATGATATGAACAAAAAAATTATCAGTCATGTTCAATCGACTGCTGGGTGAAGGCCCCCCCCCCCTCCCACCCTAAACCGCCACCACCTCTCGCGAAACTTCGATGTCATAATAACGATAAAGTAACTATAGGGCATTCCCATGTCATGGTACATATCTGCGTGAATGTCCAAAGTTATACATTTGCTGTTTGCATACAATAATGCTGCGGTATTATCGAAGACGTGTGCGTATTCTTACGAAACATTTATTTCCGTACGTCTGCTCGCGCATGTTAAAGCAGCCTGTAACGTTTTGCCTCTCGTTACAGGCTGAGGGATAATGACATCCCTTACGACGAATACGTGAAGATACAAGATAAAGACAGCAGAATAGAGTAGTAACACAGACCGCTTGTCGGCATTTTGTTACATCGAAATTAAAATTGAGACAAACGCCGGCGGCAGCTGTTTACGAGTTTTGCCGGACGTCAGTGTCATCTGTTGACAGCCAAGCGGGTGGTGAATGCACTTCTTGGTTTTTACACTAACTCAACTTGCACTAAAAAGACGTACAAGACCAAAGCGACAGCCCACTCGTTTGTGCCAAACGGACTCCTAAATCGGTGCTTTACGTGTGGCTTTTTTGTTGTTGTTACGTACGCGTGACAGAACGTGTTTTTAATGGGAACGTTTTAAAAATGAATTTGCGTGAACTCACGGCGACGACGGAGGAGGAGAGTGGCGCGAGCAGGAGACGTGGCGTTTGTAATGTCCAGCCCGAGACTTGTTACACAGACACAGCGGGGAAAAGTTGCTTACATCTCCCCTCCATTCCCCTCTCCACCCAGCGGTATAAGGGGCCGTCCATAAATGACGTCACGCACCTGGAGGGGGGGGGGGGGGGGTCAGACATTCGTGACGATGTGTGACGAGGTGGGGGGGGTGTTTGAGAAATGTGACGTCACATCAAAATGCGCAACTTTAAATAAATATAGACAACACGTTCTACTTAATTAAATATACTCTTAAAACACATTCCTGCGGAGGGAGCTGGTAGGAACGTTGGGTTGCTCGGTCAATGGCCAGGGTCAACGGCGGCACCACGTGGTGTGTTCCGCAAATATGCCCGACTGTGAGGGCGGGCACAAGCCGGCGTGAGTCGGTTAAACGTTGAGTTTTATAAGGGCACCACGGGGTGACCAGCCCCTCCCCACCCAGCCCCACCCCTCCCACCCCCCCCACCCCTCCCACCCCCCACCCAGCCCCACCCCTCCCACCCAGCCCCACCCTCCCCACCCTCCCCTCCCCACCCTCCCCAGCCCCTCCCCACCCTCCCCTCCCCACCCAGCTCCTCCCCACCCTCTCCACCCAGCCCCACCCCTCCCATTTTATCCGGGTGTCCGGATTCACGTGGACAGACATCCACAGACATACACAATTAATCCCCTGCCTCCTGTGAATTAATCCCGGTTTGGCTTCCAGTCCACTACGTTTCCTACCAGTATAAATGTTTTCTCCTACAACATCAGAGTGCAGCGCCACATTAAATACGCACTACAATGACAATAGTCTAAAGCGATTTGAAGCATGTTTTATATATTTTGGGGGGGGGGGGGGGGGGCAGAGCTTTGTGACATCATATTTGAGGGTGGGGGGGGGCGTCTGACTTTTTGTGACGCCGTGTGACGAGGGGGGGGGGTCAAAAATCGTCCAAAATCTCATGACGTCATTTATGGGACGGCCCCTAAGTCGATAACAATAGTCGTATGGTTCAGGTATAACCAAAGTGTTGGTTATTATAGGTGAGGTAAAGTGTTGCTTATTCCACCTTCATTCAAGACGTTACCCAGTGAGGAAGAGTAGGCCAAACACACACTCTAGATGGGCAGTTTGGTGGCGGCTCTTCGGCCAGCAGTGACACGAGCAATGAATTGCAGGGCTGCACCTTTTCCTTTTACAGGTGCACCCCGATATGAGTTACTTCGATTAACGATGGTTCGTTATTAGGTTTGCCATAAATTATGTTTCGGTGGGGGGAAAAAAAAATCAAACTACAAACTTATAGTAAATGCACGTTATGTGCGTGCGTGCCTTCTTGATACTGTTCCAGGCCATGTGTGACTGCCGCCGCGTTTCGTAGCCTCGCTCCTTGACGGCTGTGGAAAAGAGCTTCATAGCTCATCGGATTCCTGCAGTATAAACACAGATTCTGTTCACCCACTTCCCAATGTGGTATCGACTGCAAACTTGGTATACTTATGTCATACTGATGACAATACTATATTCTATCATAAAAAATATTTTTTTAAACAATCATTTTTATATGTTATGTTTCGGCTTGGGTCTGATTGTCCACGCTCAACTGACGTTGGCTGTAAATCACCATAGTCTCTTACGTTATGGCAAGCTTCGGGGCCACTTCCTGGAGTCTTGGAGTTCTGCCATTACTTGTACGGTACATTTAATTAAAGCGTGTTTTTTTAATATTACTTATTTTAAAATACTCGACTCGTTATACTTTCTCCATATATTGTCTTGGAAAGTGTTACTTTGGTAGTTTCTGGGTTCGATATTTCCTCATGAACGCATCTTGCGTTATATAATGGGGACCTTATGGAAACATATGTTTCGATATAGAGTAGAATGTAGTTCGGGTTTTCAAGAACACAACCCAAATGTGTGTCGAGGGGTACGTCCGTACCTCTAAAAGCCTCTTGGCAGAACTGTTTAATGACGCCTCTCTGATATAACCCCCTTTAACAATTACTTAACAGGTGAATTCAACGATTGTGTAATTGTCACCGATAGTTACAGCTTCCTCTTGAAAAACGGCGCGTAACTCCGAATTCCGCAAATATTCAACGCAAACTTCCCACGAGATATAAAGGAAATGGTTGGGGTTAGGGAGATTATGCTTTCGACCCTCATTCTTACGTCTACACATTTCACTGGTTACAGTACATATATGTACAATACTACCCATGCATGTGTGAAAAATAGCAACGGCCTATTTAAGTTAAGAAAGATAATAAAGTGACGCAAAAGTATTGTTTTCACGCGTAGTGAAGTGCTTGAGTGTGGCGTAACTGGGGGGGGGGGGGGGGCTGAAACACATAAAGTCACGTGGACAAGATATTCAGAATGTTGTGCGAGAATGAGATGCTGCTGTTGTTGTTCGTACTTGCACCTCACACATCGCTACCGAACTTTGTTGCCGGACGACGATGTGTGACGAGGAGGGGGGGTGAGAAATGTGACGTCACATCAATATGCGCAACTTTAAATAAATATAGACAACACGTTCTACTTAATTAAATAGACTTTTTAATAAATGTTTTCTCCTACAACATCAGAGTGCAGCGCCACATTAAATACGCACTACAATGACAATAGTTTTAAAGCGATTTTAAGCATTTTTGGGGGGGGGGAGAAAGCTTTGTGACGTCATTTTTGATGGGGGGGTAAAAAATCGTCCAAAATCTCGTGACGTCATTTATGGACGGCCCCTAAACAAAAATGCGAACGCGCTACAGTATTTCGAAATCGCTTCATGTACACGCGCATGCAAGGCGCGAGGTGGCTGTACCAACGTTGTGGCTAACTGACCTTAGCGAAATATGGTTTATTACAGAATGAGTCTTAACGGTAACAGCAAACGGAGGTGGTGTAAGCCTGTAAGGCATTGTTTCGTGTTGTGCACGCACGTGTTTCGTCGCTGCAATGTGGCATTGGCATTTCCTCGAGCGCATTCCAAATTTCTCCTGCACGGTACCCACGCTGCATCCTGAGCCCCCGGCGTGAGAGGCGCGGCATTTTTATTTATACATCTAAATCAGCTCAAGCTTCCCGTGAATCACGTGGCTTCAGTGTGGCCATCCCCACTGTGAATCTCTTCCGCTGTCTCCGCCCCCTCTGAAAACAGACGCTGCTCCATGCAGCTCACCGCTGCTTGCTCCCAATAGACTCGCACACGTGCAGCGGTCCGGGTGCAGTGGAAACTCTTGGCCCAGCCATTCCTTCTCCACCCCCCCCGACTTCCTGCTGCTGTGATCTTTGCGCATCGGGATCCTCAGGATGGAATGCGCATTATAAATTTGAATTATTATCTGGAGCCCTGCCCGACGCTTTGCCTTCGGCTCTGCTCGTTTGCCACGGTGAAGACTAGATATACCGGAAATTCGCATTGTAATATAATATACACCATGAGCTTCATATTCTTGGTTCTTTCGGTAAAGTCACGTGGATGGGAAACAATAAAATAATAAAATTATGAAACAATAAAATTCTCACGACGTTTCGACTGCAACACAAGCAATCATCATCATCAGGTGTGAAAACCACAGCAAGAAAATTTGAAAGTGGCGTTTTTTAACGTTAACACCACGGAGAGCGATTTGGCAGTTATATTGTTTCCCTTCTACGTGGTGACTTTACCGAAAGAACCAAGAATATTAATCCATGCAGTCACGAAAACCATGAGCTTCGTTACATAACATATACACGTGTATAAATGTCGCTTAAAATTAACATTTTTTTACTATAACGTAGGTTTTCGTATTTGTTTCGGGGCTAGACCACGTAATAGTTTAACGCCAAAAACACATTTTTTTTTATTTCCCGCGCTTTTTCCACCACGTGCTCGGTGACCAAAACGCGCACGTGCGACACAGCCCAAACGCCACCCCCCCCCCCGCCGCTTCCAACCGCTGTTGACGCGTGCGCAGTCGCAGCTCGGCTCTACGCGCGAGTCCATTCGCTGACGCCTTCGGCCAATCGGATGGCGCGCAAATCGAGCGGGAGTCGAGCGAGCGAGCACGCGCGCGCGCCGTCAAAAGCCGGTGAGGTCATCGAACGGGCGGGTCCGTTATACTCGGCGGCCATCTTAGTTAGGTTGAATCGGCTTCGTCGCTTCACGAGCGAAGCCCGGAGAGCCACACCCCCCAACCCCCTCCAACACCCCCCCCCCCACAACACACCAATACCCCCAACACCCACACCACCCCCCAACCCCCCCGCCACCCCACTCAGTCGGTGACGCGCGCGGCCCCATTCGCAATCCCCCTTCGCCGCTCAATGAATGATTCTCAACCCTTACGTAACATGGCCGCCCGGGTGACTTCACCGTAAACCGGCGGCGCGGTTTTTATTGCTCGCGCGGGCTGAGCGGGCGGGCGGCGCTTTTTGGAGGAGGAGGGGAGTCGGGGAGGAGCGCGGAGCCATGGCGGAGCAGGAGGCCTTCTTCCAGCAGCTGCTCACCAACCTCATGAGCCCCGACAATGGCGTTCGCAAGCAAGCCGAGGTGAGAAGGCGGCGGCGTGTGGGGGAATCGGGAGGTTTTTTTCCTCCCCCCCCCCCCCCGAGTGGGAGAAGTCTTTGGCGCGCGTCTCTCGCCTCGTCCTCCTCTACTCGAAAGGCCGCGGCCTGGTTCACGTGTGAATTCCTATTAGCAGTTGCCTCGGCGGTGGACAATTAACGTAATTTCGAGTGCGTGTCCTTACGCGGAGTTTTTTTTTTGTTTTGTTTGGGAGGTCGTTGCGTAGAGGCCGTTGCTCGCTCGGTACAATTTTGGGTGAAGTATGGCCCGCGACTCCGCGCGCCGACAAAACGCGCGAGGGCCTTGTTCGGTCGCCGGCGAGGCGCACTTTGCATTCCCCACCGTCGATAAGCGCCGCCGCCGCCGATTGGCCGCGGCGGAGGCCTCTCGGCCAATGGGGCGAGCGCTTATTGAGATCGCGCCGCTGCAGCCAACGGGTGAAGCGGGAAAGCTCGCGGCCGCGCTTATGTGGACTATGAAATGTGGCGGCTTGACAGCAGTGACTTGAGGTGGGTGAGTGTGCGTGTGGGGATTTTAAATTGTTTTTTTTTAACTAAAAAAAATGTAATCACGCTTTCTGAGCAAAGGACAGAAACGCCAAGCGGTCCGCAACAAACATCACCATCCTTAAAAGTTGTCACCTGTCCAACGCACCGGTGCGCTTTGCTGGTAACGAGTTGGCATGTTCGTGTCGGGTGGTGGCGGGTTTGACGACACATTTACGCGCTCTAACCCGAAAAGAAACCTGTATCATGGATATTGGTCGCGAAAGCCTTCGTGTTAAACCTAGAGAAGAAGAGTTCACAACGATGGCGAGCGGGGATCGCACGGAGGTGGTGGTGGGGGGGGGTGGGTGGGTGACGACTTGGATGGGGCCTTGGTTTGACTAAACCCAGCAGGGAGAGGGGCCACAGGGGCCGGCGTCACCCCCTCAAGTGTGTGGGGGGACGTGTGGGGAGCGGTGGTGCAGCGATTAACGCGCTGAGCTACGAACCCGGCGACACCGGGTTCGATCCCCGCTCGCGGCCAACACCGGTGACGATTATCTGAACCGGTCCTGGGCCTCCCCTAGGTCGACTCAGCCTCAAAGGAGTACCTGGTGCGGTGTGTAAAAACATCGCCACTGGGGAGACAAAGGCGGCCGGGCGTGGTGTTGGCCACCCACCCCCTCGTGTGCCGTGCCGGCTTTCATAAGGTGCTCGCTAACAGCACTTGCCCCAACATTCTGCTCCGGCTATACGGGGAATCTTTGTATTTGTGGTGGACGTGCCTTAGTCCGCTCCTGATTCATCTTTAAGTTCGAGTATTACTCATTTCTTTAGAACTGCTTTTTGTGTAATGTGTTTAGTTTTGTTTGCCCCCCCCCCCACGCACGGTTGGCTACGAACGGGGTGACAGGATAGATGGATAGCATGGGTGACATCGTAGAGGGGGTGACAGCGTGGAGGACGTGAAGCACATTGAAGGAGGTGGCCACATGGAGGGAGTAACGGGAGGAATCACGCCAGAGATGATTTACATCCGGGGGGGGGGGGTGGGTTACAGCATGGAAGTGGAGGCTGCGTGGTTGTTGACAAGATATACTACGCAAATAGTGGCATGTTGTGCTACATCGACATGGAGGGGAGCGACGGTGTGGGTGGCATCACGGAGGAGGGCACCGTGGAGCGGCGGGTAATGGCATGGCGAGGATCGCACAGTATGCAGACGATGACACACACACTGCATAAAGGGGTCAACAGAACTGGCGACAGTGTCGAGAAAGTTGAGAGCGTGCAGAGCTTGACGGCTCGTACGAGTGAGAAGCTCATCGGAGTTGCATTGAAGTTGACAGCCAAACCGGAGGGATCTGCGTGCGGTGGTGACATCAACTGTTGGGTTTTTGTGGCTGGAGTACATCAACCATGTTGGAGCAAAAGGAGGGAACAACGTAATGTTGAGCTACTGTAGATGTGGAACGGCTTGCAGAGGACACAGCGTTCGGAGGGGAGATGGCATGGAGTGTTCGTAGAGAGGATCTCCATGCGGGATGTGGGCAGCGCTTATGACCGAGGGATGGCGTTGGGCGGTGCAGGATATTGTGCGAGTTGGAGGTAGGGCTTTCAGAGTGCGCTCTGATTAATTGGAGTCATTACTCGAGAAAGGGACAACAGAGCAGGGAACAGAATGTGTTTGGAGATGCAGCAAACAGTTGGGGCTTTAGAACTTACCGCACGAAATACCAGTGCATGAGACATGATGTTGCTGTGACATATCAGTCATTGTAATGGATCAAGTCCTGTGTTTATGACCAAGTGAGAGTCCATTGAGATAACTGTTGGATGAAGATCTCCACAATGTCTTTATCCCTTGCGACTCCACGATACAACATTCCATTTATCTCCTGCACATGATCTGATTTGATCACTCTTTGCTTCGTGGAATTTCAATCAGGCGCTTTTCCTCTTTGGTCTACTTTAAATAGCAATATATATTCGGATACACAACAAAAACATTGTATAAAATGACCAAAATTAAATTTTTCAACTTGGGATTTATTATGCAGTCAAGCTTAAAAAAAATCTGAACAAATAGGCCTCTGGAAACCAGAGTATTTAATTTTTTTTTTACATTTATACTCTATAATGTCACATTTATTTACATTCCTGGTACTGTAGTTTATGAAATTAATTATAATGTACAGCCGTTGGGCAATCAACTACTGGATGAAGTCCTTGCTACTCTTTGGCAGTCATGGGGTGGTTTGACCATACATTAATATAATCTGGTTAGTGCGGGTTGTTAGATGTGAATGGGCCCAGGACCAGTTCAGATAACATTCATCACCGAGGTATTAGATGCTATACTACCTCCTATAAGATAAATGTTTGTGGTTGCATTGTTGCTGTTGCCATGACTTCAAATGCCCTTTTTCTCCCTACACCTTTAGTTTTTCCAGTCTTAAGAATGAAATCACACAGGCGTCATAGTACGGTTGAGGGGAAATTGTAAATAATTATTGACTTGAAGCTTTCGTGACTGCAGGAATTAATATTCTATGGGTCTTTCGGTAAAGTCACGTAGATAGGTTCAAAGAAAATAGCAAAAAACTACGACGTTTCGATCCCAACGCCAGCGGTCGTCATCAGGAGGAAAAAAGAGAGGAAAGCTGCTGAGGCAGTCTGTTTTTAATTAGAGGTTTGAAATGGGCGTAGCCCAAGGGTCATAAACGAAGTGGGCGGGGCTATTGATATTAATGTGAGAAATTAGCACGTTAATGTGACATTGGAGGACGACCTCCACGACGAGTGCGCGGAGGTGGCTATGTTAATGTGAGAGAAATTAGCATGCCAATGGGAGATCCGAGGACGACCTCCACGACGAGTGCGCGGAGGTGGCTATGTTGATGCGAGGGAAATTAGCATGTCAATGTAAGATCGCAGAGCCGCAGCCACTTCGGCGCACGAGGTGGCTGAGACATTTAACCTGTTAATGTAAAACCAGAGAGCCGCAAATGTTGGTTGTTATTTGCTGCCCTTTGCCAATCCACTGCTAGATGAAAGTCTTCCCGCGTAACGTTGGTCATGGGGGCTTGTTTGACCATCCTTCATGCTGATCAGTGTGGGTCAGTGAAGAATGGGGGAGGAGGGTGGGTGCGTGTGTAACCTGTTCTGATGTCACTCGTCGCGACCTTAGCTATAGCGCGGATTCAAACTCCGGTTGCTGGCTTTTTCTGGCGCAGTGCGTTGACTACTACGCCAACTTGCCCCTCATTCCTAGATGCATATACTGTGCATGTATTAATTATATCAGACCAAGTTTGTTTTCATGTTTTGCCGCAATAATGTGTGGCTAATGCGGACTTGATGTATTTTTCGTAGGTATCTATTTGGTGTTTGAACATTTTAACGCCTGTTTTATTGCCAAAAGGGTAAAGCCTATTATTTTGTTCATACTTGATGCAGTTTGTAAAACGAACGTTATAAATTTGGATTGTAGACACCATTCATTACAGTACATACAGTGTTCCCTTGGGTTGGCTGCCCATTGGGACTGGGTTTGGCTTCGTACAGTTGTGTATTAAGTTAAGTTGTGTACACGTGGTGCTGTATCGTTACTGGAAGTACATTGTGCTTTGTACGGTTGGCTTCTGTTGGCCAAGTGTCACAGAAAATTTAGTGTGGGTAGGGAGAGAAATGACTTGCTTGGTCAGACCTTAATTTAAATGACTGTGTAGGTGATACGTCTTATGGGTGTTATTCAATATGTTGTCTGCTGAATCATGCCTGCTTGTCTGTGTCGTGTAATGTTTGATTTGGAATTAAAGCGGCACATGATCTTGCGTCCATTCTATAGCACCATAGACATACAAGATCATTTGCTTGCCTCGAGCTATTTGAATAAACTGCAGAGTAACGGATGCGGAATTAGTTTCGTCAGTTATATTCATGATTTGTAATTTCCTCTGCAGCTCTTTTTACGGTGAAAAGGCCTTTCAAAATGTTGAACAAATAAATCCGAAATCGATGACTTGGGATTTATTTTTTCTACTTGCACTTTCCATGTTATTGACAAATGGACACGTTATTGTGTGCACTTGAGCTGTTTGTCACGTGATGTATTTTTCTACAGTTATTCACGAATGCATATCACAGTGCTTGTGTGGAGCACTAAATTGGCAATGGACTCGCTTGACCACGGTTCAGTTTGGTTTTCAAGGATAATTTCCCATGGAACGATCTGATCTATTGAATCACCCAAGGGTGCCTTTTGTTAAGATTGTGTTATTAATATAGTTGAGTTGATAATCATCCATATTCCTGCATCCAAGGTATGATACATACACTTACAACACGAGTTGAAAATCATCAATTCCATTTGAAAATTTCGTTTAACGTTTAAGTATGTTTGTTTATTGTGGTCGATATGGGTAAGGGTGGAGCGGTGGCACAGTGGGGTTAGTGCATTGTGCTATGAATCCTGACCCGCGTTTGATTTCAGGCCACATCTAATATCAGTGGCGAGTGATGTTTGGACCAGCCATCCCTAACCTTTTCAATTTGTTTACTTGGTGCCGGATAACATTCGTCTGGAAAGCCAAAGGCTGATGACCTTTTCAATTTGTTTACTTGGTGCCGGATAACATTCGTCTGGAAAGCCAAAGGCTGATGACTAAAAACATTATTTTATTTGTATGTGGAGACACAATGTGGTGAAGCATGGTGAATCAACCCCCATGACCAACACGGCATAGAGAGGCCTCCATCCAGTCGAGGACTGAGTGAAAAAGAGCCATCAATTCATTATGAAATGTTCTGTGTTTATCTCAGAAAGCTATTGACATCGCAAAAAACGCACTTTTTTTTGGTAACAAACACAAATCCAAAACTGGTTCTGTGAATTTAAAGATTACCAAAGCAAGGAGTTTGGTCACAAACGTGATGACAAAGCCAAAGGCTGTCTTCTCCATTTAGCAAAATGGTCACAAATATCTCGTGGTATAAGCATCGGCAAACCCCCAGCACATGGGGAACTGCCTCTTGTCATCAAAACTTCAAAGCCGGAATGAGCTTTTATCACTGTTTAGGAACTTGGCATTGTTATTTAAATGTGCGCAGGCGCCCATGGCGGGGGGGGGGGGGGTTATTGTGCACAGCTATTCAACCAGTGAAAGGGATTAGGCCTCAGTCCAATTTGGTGATAAAAAAGGGGAGAGGAGAAAAATGTACCCATGGTCAGCTCTTAAGTCTGTCCAAGCCTTCATCCATTATGGGTCAAGCAGAATCTATAAAATTGTGGATTTGCTTGATGAAATGAACCCGTTGATGCTCCCAAAGCACCCACAAACATGATTTTTGCGTATTATTATTTGGCATTGACGATCATGTGTTTTATCCAGAAAAAAACTTTGCTTGGTCTCAAGACGTTTTCAGGATGATCCAACATCACGATGTTTGGCTAGTTCATATTTTTACCAAAGCTGGAGTAGAGGAAAGTAAGAGTACTTGACAGAAACCCCTTGTGTACACCATGGGAAATGCACAAACTCACGTACAGCAGTATGATCTCCTGGCCCCATCACAGGCAAGCATGCTTTTTTTGGGGGGTTTCACAAATATGTGCGTGATAAATGGTAATCATGCTGTACGCTTTAGTTTGTAATTATGGTTGACTTGACATTATTGGATGGTACCAGGTCCCTTACACCTCACAGGTTGAGCAAATTATTTTGCCATACTACACCACGTGACTGGACAATAGAAGTACATTAAAACGGCGAATTCTGCTGAACTGGCCTCTGCTGCCTACAACAGCTGTTTTGCACATGCTTGACGCCCATCCAACCACTCTCTGGGATAAACCTTCCTTTGCTTCCAGGATCTTGACAATCAAGTCCATTCGGGGTGATCCGGTCGTAGGCAGGCTATCCAACACGATTGATTTATTGGCTGGCTCATACCAATATTGTGGGGGAGGCTGATCTAAAGCAGAATTGAGTGAACTTGAATCCCCCCTCAGAGCGATATTTTTGGGTGCGTGCTTCGGCATTACTCTTGTGTCGAATGGTCGGCTCACATGCGCTGATTGATGGCTGCCCTCCTGCCTAGCGTGCTGTTCCAGAACATCATGCAGCCCAGTCATAGCCAGTCGTCAAGAGTACATCGAAGTCTTAAGATTTGCCTTCTACCAATTCACCGAATCCATCCCATCTGATCAGATTTCGGAAGCTAAGCAGAGCTGAGCATCAGTTGCTTGATTTTTTTTCTATGATTAATATTATATAGCGTCTTCCATGCAAATTGCATGTCACAATTTCAGAGGAATCATAGACAAAGCTGGAAGGTTGCCAGGTGGTGAGCCACCACCAGCAATTGCTCTGCAGTTCTTTATATTAAGATGGTTTCAGCCAAATTGTGAGTTTATACGTGTGGGAGGAAACTTCCGCATGCGATAGGGAAACGCTCTACCCCATGCAGAAGGGACATGATATCGGTCCGCACTTTGCTGTATTGAATTCTGCTGGCAAGCCAGGTGATTGTACATCGATGCCCACAGAGAAGGGAGTCTCACAACATTTTGTAATTTGCCCGATCCACTAACCCTTGTTCCCTGCACAAGTGATGTCTGAGAATATCAGGTTTTGTTGGCTATCTCTAGGGTTAGGTGGCAGTGCAGCAATTGGCTTCATCTACATAAATATTCCATGGATTTGGTCTGTCTTTAGAGTGAATCTATCTGTACAGAGCGTTGAGTGTTTTCCTCTCATTTGCACTTTATTTTTTATCCAATACCCTGTTTATGCATGGTGAACTTAGACTTTTCTAAAGATTTTTCACATGGCAGAATTTTTCTGTCTACCTATATAGCTCATTCCCCAGCTAGTGTAGTATGCAATGTTGTATTTCACATCACAGATGTACCCTGGAAAATAAAGGACAATGCACTGTGTATCGTAAGTCGTTTCCATATTTTTCAGCAGATGGAGCGAGCTATGACATTTAAAGTCTTAAGTCATTGACGTGTGACGTGTGTGTTTGGGACTCCTTCCTTCTCCCTAGGAAGCGTATGAAGCAATTCCTGGGCCTTCAAAGTTGTCCTTCCTCATGAGCGCCGTGAGGAATGGATCTGGTGCAGAAGAGGTAAGTGTTTTCCGTGCCCTTGTCACCTGTCTTCGTATGCTGGAGTATTGCTAGAGAACGCGACCGATGCAGTCTACTGTCAGTTGCTGTAATGCTGCCGTATGCTGCCCATTAATGTGCGGTGCAGAAGTGGTGGTGTTGTTTTATCCATTCATCCTCTACGTTCGGTTTAATGGGGTGCCACAGTGGCGAGATGTTAACTACCTCGCCTGGTATGCAGGAGGTCTTGGGTTTGATCCTGATCATGACACCTCTATGTTTGGAGTTTGCATATCTCTCTCTCTCCCTCTCCGTGATCTCCGGGTCCTTCAGTGTTTCCCCCTACATTTAGAATCAACATCACATGTTTAGAGTATTTGGCTGCTATAAATTTCCACGTGACAAGCCACTTCGTTGAACTGTCATTTGTGTCCAGGTCGCTTCTGATAAAAATCTATATAGCTCGGTGGGCCTTCCTTGGTAAAATAAAAATTATTTATAGTTTAATGACGAGGCCGTTGGGGCACCGTGCTCATGATCTTCCACCACCTTGCTTGGTGTTCCGACTCGTGGATCAGCTGGTTGCGGTGGAAGCCTGTCCACTCTGTGGCATTCTGAGCCCAAGTTTTCCTTGGGGGCCATGTTCCTAGTCCCCTCAATGACACCTTGGAGGATGATTTTGGCTAGTTTTCTAGATCTATTGATGTGCAAAAATAATTCTAGTTTTCATTGTGCCATAGTGCCTCGGAGTCGTTCTTTCTTTCCCGATCAAGTGGTAATTGTGCTCCATACGCGTATTCTTTGGGTCTTTCGGTAAAGTCACGTAGATCGGTTCAAAGAAAATAAAAAAAAAACTGCAACGTTTCGATCGCAACACAAGCGGTTGTCATCAGGAAAAGATTTCTCCATACACGTGTTTGTTCGTAATATCTGCTGGCCATGTGTGTTTTGTAATAATCCTCAATGCGTAGTGGAGACCTTATTAAGGTCAATGAACCCCAATGAAGTTACATTATCAGCACACAATATTACGTAGCAGTGCACCGTTGCATCGATTCAAATATATTCTTCAGCTTGTGATGCGTGCGTGATATCGTGCGTGTGAGAATTGTTAACGTTCTCTTCGCATATTTTGTATGTGATTGGTTTGTGACTCCCCGCAACAACGAGAGGTGCTGCGTGTACAACAATTATTATTTAGTTAAATTATTCATTCTTGAAACAAAAGTGCAACCTGGAATCTAGATATCGTTATATGCCTATCTCATGAACACGTTTTACATTAATAATTCAAGGAACATTCTTGCCGCTTTAGTTTCAGGATTCAATACCGAAACAAACCTTTTGATGCTTTTGTGTGTTTAAACAGCGGTTGCCCAAATGTTAAGAAGCCTACGGGGGCAGCCTGAGCTGAGCCTTAGCCACCATTACTTGAATTAGTTTCCCTATCACACTCCCCCTCCCTGTGAGCACCTTGTTGGCACAGCGGTTGGATTTGCTCCTTGACCCTAAGCGTGTGGCCTTCCCTTCCAGTGTATTAGAGTAGTTGGCATGGGCACTGGTGCAAGGAATTAAATGCCCCCCCCCCATCCCGTCCAATCTACGCCACTTTTGGCAGTCAAGTACACTTGGATTCCTCTGGCACGTGGGTGCTAGTGCAGTAAACGTGCACTCGATGGCTTTGCCACCGACTCTATTCCTGCATCGCCTCTCTCCATCCCCACTTTTACCTCCCTATCCCTTCCGCCATCTATACATTCGTCTCCCCCCATATCTTCCTCCATCCTCTATCTGCCCATTCCTCCTTCCACGTAAGCAACGCAGAAGTCCGGAAGAGAACACACCGTAGGTAAGTGTTGTCGATGTGAATAGTCAAAAACGGTTGCGCTTGGTTGGGTCATGCGTGCAAGGTAGGGGAGTGCCAATGTTGGCCTCCACGGGTCCAGTGACCAAGGGGAAGAGAAGAACTAAAATAAAATAGTTTGATACAGTTCGGAGAAATGTTGGAGGCCGCGGGTTTGTGGCATCTGGCAGAGGCGTTGGCGAGGTGTGGCAGCATCAACGGCTGTGGCCATGATGATGTCTTGACCTCCATCCAACTCTCCATCCCTCCCATCATCTCCCCCTATATGCATCCGTACTTCCCCCATCCCTACTTCCGACCGAGGAGTGCTGGCACGTTTTCCATCAACCGCACACGCTCACGTTTCGCCCCATCCCCCGTCGCATTGCTATGTCCGCGTGCGCCAACATGCAGACACGGCAGATGGCGGCGGTGCTCGCTCGACGGCTGCTGTCCTCGTCGTTCGAGGAGGTGCACCCGGCGCTGCCCCCCGAGCTGCAGCTCGCCCTGCGCCAGCAGCTGCTGCTGGGCGCCCAGGACGCCTCGCTAAGCCCGAACCTGCGCGCCAAGATCAGCGACATCATCGCCGAGCTTGCCCGCAACCTCATCGGTAACGATCATCGACATCCTCATCCGAATCCACTGCTGGGTCAAGGTCTCCCCAAGCCGCCGCTGCCGCCACCTTTCACGATCCGGCGATGCAACGATGCATTCGGCACCTGCACATGAACTGATTTCATAGCTGCATCTCCTCAGTGGACGTCGTCTCCCAGCGCGTTCCATTCCTTGGCTGCCACTCCGTTGTTATTCTTGACTATCCTCCATCGTCCCTTCCAGTGGCGTGTCCTGCCCAAGTCCACAACAGTTTGGATAACGTCATTAACTTATGTTCTTTAATTCGTGCGTTCATTTTCCTGGCACTGTAATTCCAAGCACGGGTCTCAACTTGCTCCTTTGCACACTTTTCTGTTTTTGTTCCATCCGTAACCATACTGGTAATTGTATATTCTTTGCTCAAGAAATGAACGTTTCAGTAATTTTTGTTTCTTAGGGGTTTTTTTTTCCTCTCTCTCGTTTTGTTTCACAGACGACGATGGAAATAACCAGTGGCCAGAGGTGCTGAAGTTCCTCTTTGACTGTGTGAGCTCCCAGAATCCCCTGCTGCGAGAGGCTGCCCTTCACATTTTCTGGTAACGGGACACACTCCTGTCACTGGTGTGTCATCACCATATGTTTTATCCATTTCCCTATTTGTATTACAGTTGTGTTGTTGTTTTGTGATGAAACAAAGTATCCATTGTGAACACTCAGAGCATTGCAAACACTTGTGATGGAGAACTAAACAATTTTTATTATAGCAGGTAAGGCCCACTGATTTGTATAGCTCTTTTCCAGAAACGACCTAGCCACAATTGATAACTTCATAAAGCGGCTCATCATGTGGAAATTTGTAGCAGCTAAATACTCTAAACGCACCTTGATTCTAAATGTGGAGGGAAAAACCAGAAGACCCAGAGAAAAATCCACACAACCACGGGGAAAACATGCAAATTCTAAATATACAGGCATCAGGGTTGGGATCGAACCCATAACCTCCTGTATACCAGGCGAAGTAGTTAACATCTCGCCACTTTGGCAAACCATGGAAGAAGATTTGAAACGGCCACTTCTGACATACCTTCACCTGACCTTTTAGCCAAACAACCTCAACTGTCCTTACCAAGTTATGGATCAAGAACTCTCACGTGGAGTTTGGCATAAGTTACATGTTTTATATTATCCGTTTTATCCGGACGACCCTTCCCCACCCCCCATTACCTGCTGCTTTGAGCTAAACACAACATTTTTGTTTTAATTTCCCCATGCAGGAATTTCCCCGGCATCTTTGGCAATCAGCAGCAGCACTACATTGACGTGATCAAGCAGATGCTGGTCCAGTGCATCCAGGATCAGGAAAACCCCAAGGTGTGGAACACGTGGAGCGAACTCTCTATCGGTTATGGGCGCCACGATACGGCGGTACGACGCATTGTCGTATCGTATAAGTACGACAACAAATTCATTTATCCGTTCTGAAAAATATTATTTTATTATTGGGAATTAACTTTTTTATATATGTTATTTCTTGGTTTTTTTTTCTGTTTTCAAATGAGCAAAATAAAATTAACATTGTAAATTTAATAGCTATTATGGATGCTGCCATGGTTTAGGGATTAGCACACTTGACTTGCAATCCGCAGGTGCGCTCATTTGTTATCCCAGAGCAGCAGATGAAACTGTGGACGAGTTTGTATCGATGTGTACACGGCAGCTGATCGGCTCGTAGCATGTGGTGGGGTAAAGTGAGGATACTACCACATCTTCCAAGATGTCTGGCCTTCTGAGAAGAGTAGTAGCCCAATTCCCCTCGAGAGGGTCTCTAGAGCTTCCCCTGGTGAAGGCCATTACGGCAGTCGTGGTGTGAGCAAGCAATTGCAGTGCTGCATCTTTAGAATGTTTATATTATGGCATTGTATAACGTAGTATCATGGACTCTTATCTCACGACAACCATAGTAAACTCATCAGTTATTTATATCCAATAATAATCCAACCGCGTACACTTCCAATTGGAATACAGAGATCCTTCACAAAGAGCAATCTGCCAGCCACACTGAAATGTGCCACCAGTCTAAACTTATTTACGTCTTTAATTCAATCGCACGCAACATTTACAACTGCTACAGCTGGAGTACATTCTGCGTGCACTGGCGATGAGCACAATTTAATTATGTGTATTTATGTATAGATTGTACAAATACATACTTTATATTTTGTAGATATTTAAAAAAAAAAGTTTGTATACGTGTCATTACTTGTTTGCTATGTATGCGTCAATTGACAACCCTGGACACCCTTGCAAACGGGATGTTCCGTCTCAAGGGAGTGTACAGGTGGAATATTTTAGAAAGTGTCTTGGCCAACAATCGCACGCATTGATCCTAAAAAAAACGATTGCAGGCACAGCCAAAAATATGTTTGCAGCCCTTCTTCAGGCGTGCCTCATAAATAGCCGGCATTGCACTGGCGTGCGGTCGGCTGCATTGCGATTCACTCACTGCAGCGATTCGGAGTGAAGTGAGCCATTGCACTTGTTTGTGCCTTAACTTGCCCCGACTTTATGTAGACAAGTGCGGGGTTTGTTCGAACTGAAGTGTGCACCACAATGGCCCAAGGGGGTGAATGGCTAGTCATAAATATGACTTGCTTCATTGGCAAGCTCCAATGAAATACCAATCCTGTATCGATCAAGTAACAGTCCGGCTCTATAACTGGGTTAGCATTTACAACTGCAAGCTGCTACTGCTCACTGTGTAGCATACCAGTTTTATTTGCCAATTGATGCATAGCATTGTGACCTAAGTGTCTGCTTTGGCTGCATACTTCATTTCTGTTGTGTTGCTCATTTATGCGCAGTTGGTTGACATGCCGTTCATAATTAAATGTATTATTAACTTTTGTTGATTCTCCTGACTAGTTTTTGCAGGAGATTCATACGGTGACATATTTGGCAAATTCTTTTCAGCAGTTTATTTATTTATTTTGATAGATATAGCTTTCTCATGCGCCAACATTTTGCCTTCACAGTGCTACATTACAAGGTTATTTTATCATACATTGCATATCTGACTTACTGGGGACTGACATGAAATGGTCAGGTTTTTGAACGTCCGTAGCAAATAACAGTCACTCCATTCGCAACTATGCTACCTAGAAAATAAAGTGCATACTGCTTTAAACATGTGGATAATTCATTACTGTACTTTCGAAGTTAGCAAATGTACTTGAGATAAAAAAAATATATATCAATGTCGAATTTGTTAACGTCTGTTTTAATACTGCACTGGGCTTGGACGTTTAATTGGTTAGGGTGGGATATTGGGCTTTGTGATATGTGATGTTGTACTATAATGAGTACCACTTAGTGTGAAAGTCAACAGTGGTTGTCCTATGGGGAGACGTGCCCTTGCTGTAGGAATGTGGAATTGCCACCACTGGCTCTTCAGGGCTGTAACTAGGAGATGACCACCGATGCCTCAGAGCTCATTTGAGCAAGCAATAACTTTCACTTTTGAGTGTACTTGATGCTCAGATGTTAGTGTGCGATTGATATAAGTTTTGTTTGGACTGGGAATGCCCTGCAGGTTCGGATTCAAGCGGCCAAGGCGACTGCCTCCTTCGTGCTGTCTCAGGAGCATCTGCCGGTCCAGAAGCACTTTGCAGACCTCCTGCCCGGAATTTTGCAGGTACGTGGGCCCCTTCACAACAACGACCGCAATGACGACCTGCGTTTATAGTGCCTCTGAACGTAAAACAAACGTAAACAAATACAAATTAGGCAACGGAAGGGAATGAGAGGAAGCATGCAAGGGAAGGGGAGAAAATAAGCCATTCAGGGGGTCTGAAAGCATATGGTTTAAAATGATAGATGTTCGAAGAAATGTCTTCTCGTCTGTGGCATAAGTGAATATCAACTTAGAGATCTATATCCATGTTTGAAAGGGATGTGAAAGCTGCAGGGGTGAGGCTGAATGATGTGCTGCAGAAGTTCACAATGCCTTCCGTGGTTCCGTCAGGGTCCGTGCAGTTGCACTGCGGGACTTCCTATCATTTTCCACTTACGAAGGTGGTGACCAGATGTGGCACCGTGAGTCGTGTGGATTCGATTGAGAGTCGCGTGCTCCACTCTGTTCAGAGAAGGGCCGACACCAGGTGGTGGTTCAGTGGTCGCTTCCGATGTGCGACAATTTTCTTATCGTTTTGTCTAAAGCGTTTGCACTGGTTTAAAAGTCAATGTTACGTTCTTACGTTGTCAATGGGGACTGCGCCAAGACCATCAACTCTCTTCTCGCAAATGCAGTTCAATCAAAGAGGTGGCTGGAACCCGAGTTCGATCCCAGACCCTTGTCCGTGCTTGCCAACGTGACGTCTTCGACGCGGCGTTAGCGCCTCGAGCCGTCCGGCTGCCCCACGACATCGGTGCTTTCTTATCTTTTGGTGGCGTAGGCGGTGAAGGACTCCCTGCTCCTGCTCGACGACGACTCGGTGCTCAAGTCGCTCGTGGACCTCGCCGACACCTGCCCCAAGTACCTCAAGGGCCACCTGGAGGACACCCTGAAGCTCGCCCTGCAGGTCCGCGCTCCCATCACGGCACCGCCAAGCGGCGACGCGGCGGTCCGGTCGACGACAATGTGCGACGTCGCCGGCGAGCGGCTAAGTGTCGTGTTCAGTGTTGTTAGACACCAGTGAGTGGAGTCGGTTTAACCCTTTCTCGTTCTTATGACGGATTTGTACGTCATCAGTTTTTCTTCCAATTCCCTTCCGATGACGTAAGTGTACATCATTAAAACGTGACCGGAAGAAAAAAAAAATAACTTTATTGGTGCCGAGGCTCCCACAAGACCATGCGGGGAGGGCGTGTGGCACAATTGTGCGGCAGCTATCATAGAGTGCAATTGTGTCGCTACAGTTTCCTGCGGTGAGTAAAATTTAAAAAAAAAAAACGACGCTATGCCTTTCTAAATTAAATTAACACTGAGCCGCTTTCGCGTTCCGAGATTCAGAGGTGACTGGGAACCCCCCCACCCTACAACTTGCAGACATCTCGGAATGGGAAAGGGTTCATTGCATTTGTACATCCCGTAAATATGCGTCGTGTTCTTCATGGTAGACGTTGAAAGTTTCGTGGCATTGTTTAATAAGAAAACCAGGAAGCCATGTGTGCAGGCGTCACGGTCCGTCTTTTGCACATTTGACAAATCGCTCGTGCCATTTGGGCGCACCGATCGAGAGCATAAAAATCGACTGATCGATTTGTCGTCAATGGTTTTTTTTTTTATTCACGGTGACCGAGCAAAAAATCCATTTGCAGATCTGCGAGGATAGCAACATGGGCAACATGAGGAGGCACCTGGGCCTGGAGGTGATTGTGACACTGGCCGAGGCCGCCCCGGCCATGTTGCGAAAGCAGAAGGAGATCATCTCGTTGGCAGGTAAAATGAGCAGAAATTAGATTTTCTCCAGAGAAGGTGTGTGTGTGTAAGGGGTGGCTGTGGTGGCGAGATGTTAACTACCTCGCCTGGTATGCAGGAGGTTGTGTCTGGTTTGTTAATGATGTGGGTATTCGGATTGCGCCCGTTTGTGTGTGTGTATGCGATGTGCTAGGAAACAGGCGACCCTGGTTCGTTTCCTGCTCATAGTCAACACCTGTGACGATTATCTGTATCGGTCCTGGGTCTTCCCTAGGTTGACTCGACCTCAAATGAGTACCTGGTGCAGTGTGTAACATCGTCACCGGGGAGACAAAGGCGGCCAGGCGTGGTGTTGGCCACCCCTCACCCCCTTGTGTGTCGTGCCGGCCTTCATAGGTGATCGCTAACAGCACTTGCTCCTACAGTCTGTTAAGGCTATACGGGGGATCTTTGTCTTTCTTCTTGGACGTTGCTGCCCCCATGTGACAGTCATTCGGATGCTCGACCTCATGGTGGATCTGGAGGACAACGAGCTGTGGTCGACATGTGACGAGCTGGAGGACGAAGACTATGACAGGTTTGCAAGCACTTTCTCTCGACAAAGGCTGCCCCATGGTGGAGAACTATTAACTACCTTGGCCGGTATACAGGAGGTTGTGGGTTCGATTCCGACCCTCGACGCCTGTTGTTGTATATTTTGAATTTGCATGTCTCTCTCCCCGTGGCCGCGTGCATTTTTCTCCGGGTCCTCTGTTTTTTTCCCTCCACATCTAGAAACGTGCGTTGAGAGTGTTTGACTGCTATAAATGCACAGGTGATAAGTTACTTCGTTGAGCTATCATTTGTGGCCAAGGTCGCTTCTGAAAAAGATCTGCATAGCTCAGTGGGCCTTCCTTACCTGGTAAAATAAAGATAGTTTGGTTCGGTCACATGACGCCTACGATATTCTTGGTTCTTTCGGTAAAGTCACCACGTAGAAGGAAAACAATGAAATAATAAAAATATAAAACAATACAATTCTCACGACGTTTCGACTGCAACACAAGCAATCATCATCACCACAGCAAGAACATTTTTTTGCTTTGGTTTTCACACCTGATGATGATTGCTTGTGTTGCAGTCAAAACGTCGTGAGAATTGTATTGTTTTATATTTTTATTATTGTATTGTTTCCCTTCTACGTGACTTTACCGAAAGAACCAAGAATATGAATCCCTGCCGTCACGAAAGCTTTAAATCATGATGCCTACTGTTTTCATGAGTCTAAATCAGGGGATCAGCAACCGAAATAAAAAAGAAGAGCTGTTATTTTAGACTTTGGTAAAAAAAAATATTTTTTAAGAGCTGCAGTGCATTGTGTGGCGAATACGAGACGGTGATCCTTAATAAGTAACGTCACGAAGCGGCCCTTCAAGAGTCACAGGTTTACCGACCCCTGGCCTAAATGTTACATCAGTTTATCATTTGCACACGATTTGTGTAAACTGTAGATAATCGATTGTTGCACGTGCGATCCCGCGCACGTATCGCGATTGTAAGAACGGCGTTAATGGGTAGCACGCGTGATAGAGGTGCACATCTCGCACTGCAGAGGTTGCGTTACTCGGGGCAGCGGTAATTCCTCCCCCTCCTTCGCTTGTTGCCCGTGCTGCAGTAATGCGGTGGCGGGGGAGAGTGCGCTGGACCGGCTGGCGTGCGGTCTCGGAGGAAAGACGGTCCTGCCTTATGTCACCCCAAGGATCGGCAGCATGTTGCCCAGCCGTGAGTCTCGGTCGACGTGGTGTTTGTTTTTGACTTTCCCCAAGTTTCCCACGCTGCCTATTACCTCTCTCTCCCCCACTGTGAATACAGACTTCGGACCTTCCTGTCGTGCTCTGCATTGATCAGTCATGGCCCCTTGAAACCAATTTTTCCACCTCTGTTGCTTGCTTTACCTGCAGCATAATCATCACCCCCCCCCCCTCCTCCCATTTAGTCCTGGTTCCCGCTTCACGCGATGAAAGCACATTGTGGTGCAAATTTTTTATTAAAAAAAAATTACTTTGCCAATTAATTTCAGAAATGCGTAGCAACATCGCCCCCTACTGTGAAAACGTTGCAGGACTCTCCTGAAAGTGTCCAGACTTGACACTTTATATATATCTCCTTTATATTATCAAATTGTGCTCTCATCCTCATGCTGTAATGAAACAAATAATTGTTGTTTGAGATATCTTATCGCGAGCAGTATAATACCACTCTGTGTCACAGAACGGCCTCAGAAGATGATGTCCCCTGCATTTGAAGTTCCTTATTTAAGACCCAATACTTCTTCACAATTCTAGCTAATCACCTGATAAAGTTGGTTGTAATCACTACCGAAACATCATTCTCGAATTGTAAATGTTGTTGGTTTACACTCCAACACACCGGAGTGCTGAACTAGTAACAACTTGGCACGTTTTCTTTACGTGACAAATTTTACTCATCGACTGTGTCGGGTGGTGGAAGGTTTAACGACACATCTATATTTACGCGATCTAACCCAAAAAAAAAACCTTGATGGATAATACTGGTCGTGACAGCCCCCTTTTTGATCTTCGTAGCCACACTAGGGTGCACGCCTTTCTACGCCCTGCAGAGAATGTTCCTGCTTGCAAGTCCAGCTCTGCCCCGAAACTGGTTGGTGCTGTTATCGCTGCCCCTGTGAGTTATTGGTGCTCCCCCTGGGGCTCCTTTGTGAATGGTCCCGGGATCTTTATCCCCTGTGCTTGGCCTCAGCGGCCCTGGGGCCATGATGTGGTGTTGCTCGCTCTCTTTCTCTCCCACCCCTCTCCCGTGCGTCCCTGCCCCCACCGCCCCACACATTTCTCCCCATTCCCTCGTGTCGTTCGCTGGCATACGTGTGAAGCCTCTCAAGGTAACGGTTTGCCTCCGGACGAGACGTGACTTGAAACTGTTGTCGCTTGTCCATTGTGTAGAGGACTGGAAGCACCGGCATGCGGCCCTCATGGCTCTGTCGGCCATCGGCGAGGGCTGCCACCAGCAGATGGAATCAATGCTTCCCGAAATCCTCAACTACGTGTTGCCCTTCCTGAGTGACCCGGTGAGAGGCGGCGCTCCCACTATGTCTCCCTGTGCCGCCACTGTGGCCGTTAGCGCTGTCTAATTATAAGTAGGTGCCTGACAACTGTGTGGAGTGGAACCAGGTAGCGCTGTATATTCATGGATGTTTGAACGTCTTTCGCGCCGTGCGTAACCGACCGTGCTCGTTGGAGGTGCGATGAAATTTAGCACGCTACGCTTTGCAAGTGGCAACCTGACTTCGAATCCTGGACATGGCCAACATGACGAATGATATATATGAACCGGTTCAGATATTTTTTTCTTTCCACTGCTGCATGAGGGCCTCCCCCACGCTCTGTGGATCGTGGGGGTTATTTGTACTTCATGCTGATCAGTGTGGGGTGGTTGGTGGTGGGAGGACACGCACCTCCGATTAGCACGGTTGGCTACGTACGGTGCGAAAGAAGTTCAACATGCGTACACACGCACGCACATTGCACACAGCGGCTTTTGGCCACCGCAAGACGTGCCACCGATGCCAACGAGCGCTTTTATTCACCCGCGGACCCCCCCCCCCCCCCCCCCCCCCCAGCATCCCAGGGTGCGCTACGCCTCGTGCAACGCTCTGGGGCAGATGGCCACCGACTTCGCGCCCACCTTCCAAAAGAAGTTCCACGACAAGGTGAGTCGTCGCCGAAATTGGAAACCTGTCTCGCCACGCTGTCCCGCGCGTGCATTGACAATAGCCGGGGCCGCAAAGTAATTGGCACATGGCGTGTGATAACTCACTGTTGTGTAGACGTTACTGCCCAAGTTGGGTTCGTTCGCGTAAATGTAAATGTGTCGTTAACCCGCCACCACCCGATGGCACAGCCAATTAGTAATGTTTGTCACTTAAACAAAACGTGGCAATTAGATACTACTTCAGCACACCAGTGTGTTGGAGATTAAACCTACAACATTTACAATGTGACTCCCGAAGTTCTGAGCCATCTTACGAGAACCATACTATGCTATCTTGGGATTATTTCTGATTCATTGTTTTTGATAATTCACCAAGGCTCATAGAGCCAGCCAGACTGAGGTATTTTAAGAATTCCTCAGGTTCGTTATGAATTTCGAAGGCTCACAGAAATTGTTTTTTAAGAGTGACTAAACTTTGGGATTGGAGTGCTCATGCAGGAGTGAGCACTGCAGTACGAGCTACAAACCCAGCGAGATATATTCCCGGCTGTGGCGAACATCAGTGCTATATCAACTGGTCCTGGACCTCCCCTCCATGCCTGGCTTAGCATGGGCAAGCCTTCATCCAGCAGGGGATTGACAAATGATTGTACATAGATAGGCACGGGGAATGATCTAGTCATAAGCAAAGCGTGCAAACTGTTTGGCACCATCGAAGGAGCTCCGCTACGCCTCTCGTCCCAGGTCGTGTCCGGCCTGCTCATGGCGATAAAGGACAACGACAACCCACGGGTGCAGGCCCACGCGGCGGCTGCCCTCATCAACTTCACGGAGGACTGCCCCAAGACGTACCTGCTGCCCTACCTGGACAGCCTCCTCGACCACCTGGAAGCCATCCTCAACGTCAAATTGCAGGAGGTGCCTAAGGGCCAAATATGACTTTCAGTGCCTTTGCTGGGCTGGAGATTCATCCCTCGGGGAAAGAAAAAGTTCCCCACCCCATACCTTAGTGGTCTGCAGTGATGTGATCACCTTCTCTGCCCATTCTTCCGTCCTTTCCTTTCTGTCCGTCCCATCGTTTGTTTGAACCTCCCATTTTTCTGCCCGTCGCAGATGGTGATGAACGGGAAGAAGCTGGTGCTGGAGCAGGTGGTGACGGCCGTGGCGTCTGTTGCCGACACGGTGGAGGAGCGCTTCGTGCTGCACTACGACCGCTTCATGCCCAAGCTCAAGTACATCGTTGAGCGCGCCACCGAGAAGGAGATGAGACTGCTGCGTGGCAAGACCATCGAGTGCATCAGCCTCATCGGCCTGGCCGTCGGGCAGCAGAAGGTACGGGGACGTTCACAGGCGTCTCTCTCAGTCGGGGGTGGGGACGACCAAGTGAGACGTGGTCTGCTTTAAACGGCATCTGTAAGTTGCACGGCGCCCGCAGCCATCTGTGATAACACCAGCGAAAGATGAAATGCAGCGCTGCGTTGCTTGCACGCCATGAAAACACATTTTCCAGAAATTGCCGCCTCGGGTCATTTTCTAGCAAAATCTGAACTGGCTCGCAAAGCTTCACATCAAAATACGTGGCAGTTCGCACTGCCACACGAAATAATTATAAGGTGTTGGGAACCTTTTCCTATGGAAGGCTGAATAGAACTATCGAATACCTTTTGATGGGCAATAACATTAACACACACACCCCAGTCACTTCTGTCACTGCAAGGGGCTCTTGCAATATTACATTTAAAAAAATACATTTTCCCTCCAGTACTAAATTACTGCTTATAGGATGCATGAAGCGACAGATAAATATTTTATGTGAGGACCGTTTCAAAGTTGTGTCGGCCTCATGTGTGACCACGGGGCAAATTAAATAAATTCATCGGTCCTGCTCGGCATCGTCACATCCTCGGTAATGAGCGAAGTAATTTTCACGTTAGGTCCGTGTTGTCTCCGTTTCGCCATCGTGCAGTTTATGGCTGACGCGGCGGCCGTGATGCAGCTGCTGCTGAACACACAGACGGAGTCGACGCAGCTGGAGGACGACGACCCACAGGTACGACCAAAGCCCCAGTTCTTACGGAGAGGGTCCTCGCCTACAAACATCGGATAGGTCACCAGCATTGGTTAAGGCAAGCCTGACTGCTGATGAGACATCGAGTGTCGACAACAATTAGAGTTTGGCTTGTTTTGAACCAAATTCTGATGATAAGATGTATGTTTGTATGTTGAACTCCTTTTGCTGCCAAACGTTGCTCATTGAAGGTGCGGGGTGCACTCTTACAAGGCCATGCGGTTTGTTGTCCTTTCCCCACACCTCCCAATTAGCATGGCTGGCTATGTACCACTGGCGGAGCCAGTGGGGGGGGTGGGTTGGCACGTGCCCCCCCAATGATCCGATCGAAATCCCTAATTTCGATCGGATCATTGGGGTTTATTAGTAATAAATCGGCATTTTGCGACCCCCACTGCCACTGTGTAGCATATTATTATGTGCCAGGGACTCTATGAGATGATAGGACAATAGTCTGAGTCCATAATTGGCAATAAGTAGCGGCAAAGCAGTTATAAGTGACTCACAGAATTGTGCGCAGTTGCGTATACAGTACACGACCTTCAGCGAGCGCGATGTCGATCACACATCGCGGTTCGAATTCGACCCTCGATCGATGGCTGCGCCATCACCGCACACGCGTCGAGTAACAAGCAAGGGACAAGTCCTTACTTACTAACAACTCCTTACTTACTAACAACTCCTTACTTACTAACAACTCCTTACTAACAACTCCTTACTTACTAACAACTCCTTACTAACAACTCCTTACTTACTAACAACTCCTTACTTACTAACAACTCATTACTTACTAACAACTCCTTACTTACTAACAACTCCTTACTTACTAACAACTCCTTACTTACTAACAACTCCTTACTCACTAACAACTCCTTACTAACAACTCCTTACGTACTAACAACTCCTTACTTACTAACAACTCCTTACTCACTAACAACTCCTTACTAACAACTCCTTACTTACTAACAACTACTTACTAACAACTCCTCTATCATGTTTCATTGCTGGAGGGGTTGCCCCCCCCTACCTGAAAATCCTGGCTCCGCCATTGCTATGTACAATGCGAAAGAAGTTCGACATACAGAAGACTGATGATGATTCTTGCTCCAATTTGACATTGAAAACCACTGTTGACTTTCCCACAAGGTGGTGCGCATTTTTATCGACCCCGGAGATATGATTGCGAACCGCTTGCTCGATCTCTGAGCCACCCCACCCACACGTGCAAATCCTTGCTCTGATCCTGGGGCGGTGGTGTGTCTGTCGGCAGATCTCGTACATGATCTCGGCGTGGGCGAGAATGTGCAAGATCCTGGGCAAGGACTTTCAGCAGTACCTGCCCGTGGTCATGGGGCCACTTCTGAAAACCGCCTCGATGAAGCCGGAGGTGGCCCTGTTGGATGGTGAGTGTCGCCCGCCGAGACCTCGGCCTGCCTTGGTCGTGGCCCAGCTGTGAGGCGCGTTCAACCGCTCGTTGCGTAGGTTCGCGGTTCAAATGTGGCGAGCCACCCTGGTTAATACTGCTCCTGCTGCGTGTTTATGAACCATAAAGAAAACTTACGCGCTGCCTGCTTCACAGGGGAACGTTAAATATTCCGTGACGTCATTAGAAAAAAAGAGTAAACCGTGCCGGCCTTTATAGGCGCTCGATAACAGCACTTGCCCCAACAGTCTGTTAAAGGCTATATCATAAAAATAAACTATGCGCCACCTGCTTCACAGTGAAACATTAAACATTCCGTGACGTCATTCGAAGAAAAAAAACAGTATAAACCGTACGTGCCAGCGTCACGGGCCAAATTTGCCGAACTTATGAAAATTACCCAGAAGTTACTCAATACGGCGTGCATGCTATTGGCAGACTAGCTTCCTCTAAAACACAGCACATTTGTGATAACCCTGCACGGCAACTTGGGGAATAACGAATGTACTAAATTATTAATTTAACCATGAATTAAAATTAATTCTCATGCTCGTGGTAGTTCCTTAGAGTTGTGTGTGTGTGTGAGAATTGAATATTGACTTCGTGAAAATTGTTTTGTTTATTAAGTTTGTTGAATCAGTTGCCAGGATTGAGCAAAAACCTAGCCCCACTTTTCATCCAGGCAACTTGGAAAGCACAGACTAATTGTTGCGAACCTAACATTTAAACTAACAACGACATATTTAAGCATCACAATTAATAGGCCAAAAACATAGATTGTTAATCCACTTCATCCCCTATGGGACGTGAGGCCGCAACGAGTTTCCATCCACTTATTCCTGTCCTTGGCAACATGTTGAGCCTCGCCCCAAGAGAGGTCGATCGCTGCCACCAGCTCGTACTTGACGGTCTCAAAGGGTCTTTCGCTACTTACGAACATTCGACCTATGAACTTTCAGAGATACGAACAAACTTGGCCGTGTGCCCAGTTGCCTGTTCGGATTCGAGAGTCGTAAGTTCAATCACCGCGCAAGAGATGGCGGTGGTGGCATCTACATTTTCAGAACGTGAAGAACCAGTGGCATCTGCACAAGATTATACAACTTTAAAACCTTTCCCCGTGTTTAGTGTACATGCCGTACAACGTGTTTAGAATCGACAGGAGTACAGGTGTAAAGTTGGACGAACAAATCGACTTGGACAGCCTGAGTGAGGCGAACATTTTAAATCGACAACGCAAATGAGATTGCAAACAATATAAAAAAAAATCTTTAATTGAATCATAAAATCACGGCGATGAATCTTCAGGTTTCTAACTTCTCGGCGGTTTGCCCGAGGCGTCTGACGATGTTGACCACAGCGAAACCCCCTTGATTTTACTCAAATTCCTGGGTTAATGATGACGTCCGTTCACACGTGAGAGAAGAATCAGGAGGCCGGTGTGAGAACTGGTCATTTGCTTTTGTCTTTCAGCCCAGGACATGGAGGAGATGGAGGACGACAGCTGGGAGTTTGTGAGCCTCGGAGACCAGCAGAGTTTCGGGATAAAGACGGCCGGCCTCGAGGAGAAAGCCACCGCCTGCCAAATGCTGGTGCGCAAAGCTAAAATGTAAAACTGTTTGAAACATTTTATTTTACCAGGTAAGGCTCACCGAGCTATACAGCTCTCTTTCAGAAGCGTCCTTGGCCACAAATGATAGCTCAACTCAGTGGCTTATTACGTGGACATTTATAGCAGCCAAATACTCTTAAACGTATGTTTCTAAATGTGGAGGGGATAAACCAGAGGACCCGGAGCCAAATCCACGTGACCATGGGGAGAACCTGCAAACTCTAAATATACAGCAGGGATGTCAGGGTCGGGATCGAACCCACGACCTCCTGTATTTTATAGATACTCCTGTATAGATGTTTCCAGACCCCAGTTTCCAGCCGAGCATCTCTTTCAAGTAAAAACAATGAAGATTGTTAGGTCTTCTGTTACTGCCTCGGTTTTCGTGGTCGTGCAGTGTAGCTCTCCGATGTCTTTTCGGGTCATACCGCCACGTGTTTTCCGGTGTGATGTCCGACGTTTCGTTCCACATGTTCGGAGCTTCTTCAGTGACTCAATGGAGCAGGCCACGTAGATAGAAAAAATATTCAAAAAAATAACAATATCAATACGTTTCGATCGCAACACAAGCAATCGTCTTCAGGTGAAAGACGATTGCTTGTCTTGCAATCGAAATGTCGTGATATTGTTATTATTTTTATAATTTTTTCTATCTACGTGGCTTCACCGAAAGACCCAAAGAATATGAATTCCTGCAGTCACGAAAGCTTTTAGTCGAGATTCAATGGAGCAGCTCAAGTTCTCCCTCGGTTATATGTTATGATCTTTTTGTTTTTTTTATATTTAGTTACTTGCTTAGCTCTTTCTCTAATTTGCACTCCTATTGTGGTTTTTATGTTTGTTTTTTTCGCTGTTGTAACTTGCTGACCCGCCCATACTTGACCATCTGTGAAACTTCATAGCTCATGAGATTCTTCCTACAGTCTAAAAATAAAGATTCTGATGTAGTATTTGTCGGCTGCTGCTGACGTCTGATGGAGGCCGGCCTACACGTGGTACAACCCGGAAACACCTCGGAGAGGTCTTCTCTTCTTTAGTCCTTTGCCCAATGGCAGGTCTTTGACTCAAACTCTCCCCCCCCATTCTTCTGGCCATTGTTGAACTATCTGCTGATTTCACGGTACGACATCCCCCTTCATTCAATTCGTCAAGCAGCGTCTTTATTTTTCTGCCTCTGGGTCTCTTTCCAACATCATTCTTAGAACTTCATGGAACTTTCACATCTGAGATTGGAAACTCATTTTTTTTAGAACTGCTTCTTGCGTGTTAGTTTTGTTGTTCTCCCTCCCCCCTCCGCACCTACGATTATCACGGTTGGCTACATACGGTGCGAAAGAAGTTCAACATACACGTGCATACAATCCACGCGTTTATCTCTTTTGTCTGGATTGTCAAGTCTCGGCGATGAAATAGACCGATAGTCACCTTGTTGCGTTCTTTCTCTGTGCATCTCGTCGTGGGGGCTTGCCCGTTAGGTTTGCTACGCGCGCGAGCTGAAGGAGGGCTTTGCGGAATACACGGAGCAGGTGGTGAAGCTGATGGTCCCGCTACTCAAGTTCTACTTTCACGACGATATCCTCACAGCCGTGTTCGCGCAGCGCAGTCAATAGTTCTCGAGCAAGTGGTTCTTAACCTGGGGTGCACGCAAAACCCCCTGGAGGTGGAGGTACCCTTTTTTGAGGAGTGTGAGACATGCCAGATTTTTTTAGGAAGGTAAATCGTCGAAAGACAAATTGAGCACTCACACGTAAGTACAGCTACTTTGTTATGATCAAACTTATGTATTTAGTAACGTGATTTTTTTTTTTACGATTGAGAACCAAAGGGGTGCAAGGCTGCAAGGGAAGGTTAAGAACGGCTGGTCTAGAAGTCAACAGTGATATCCTTCTTAGATGAGCACTAAGGCAGTACTCATCTCCTGTTTAAAGCCCTCAGCCAGTGGTTGAGATTCCAAACGAATGAACAGTTTTTACGACTCCTTCAATAGCGCTGTTCGTTTCTGGCCACATTACAGTTTGGGCATTTGGTGGCTGTGCTCGGCAAAGCGCCATTGAAAAATACAAACTGGTTCACCGGACACTTTCCTTGACTCTTTCATTTATTTTGGGGATTTTTTTATATCTCCGCGCGTGGATTTCTTCTCTGCGGCACGCGTGCGCATGGCTGCGGCAGAGTCTCTGCCGCTGCTGCTGGAGTGTGCGCGTATCCGCGGCCCCGAGTACCTGGCTGAGATGTGGCACTTCATGTGCGGAGACTTCATCAAGGCCATCGGCACCGAGCCGGACTCCGACGTCATCTCGCAGATCATGGAGTCCTTCGCCAGGGTGCGACGAGCCACACTTACATCCAGCCCCGCCCTCCCCCTCCACCCGGTCACAATCCCATTAACCAATCTTGATTTAAATAGCGCGCTTCACGTGGTGACACAGTGCAGTGGTAGCGCGTTCGCTGCTTGTGCGTCACCGCGGATGTTGAAAGATTCCAGTGACGTCATTGAAAGAAGAGTAGGCCATTGCGTACTTGCATCATGGTCTACATTAGCCAAAATTAATTAAAATATGTATACCTGCTTGTGTGTTTGCTATGTATGTCAATTGACACTCTGGGACACCCTAGGAAAACTAAATGTTTCATCTCAAGGGATTATTATACAGGTGAAAATTTTTTCAATCAAAATATAAATCGTTTGTTAGGTGTAGGTGGCTTCGTGCGTTTGTTTTACACGTGTGGGACCATAATGGGATCGTGCTGTGCCTGCTCGCCCTTTGACAATTGCCCTGTGCCCCCAGTGTGTGGAGCTGATGGGCGAGGGATGTCTTGACAAAGAACACTTTGTGGAGCTTGGGAACATCCTGAAGGCAAAGTTGGAGGAGCACTTTAAAAACCAGGAGCTCAGACAAGGTGAGGCATCTTGTGGGTCGACATTAACTATTACATTGACTTCTGATTACTGAACGAATACATTATAAGGTCGCACTCATTACACATGATGTGCTTGCCACAAATGAACCACAGTACATTGGTGATTTCGTCAAGGAGCATAAACATACCAATATAGGACCACAGAGCATGGGCAATTATCGGCCACAGTTCTGGAGTTCTGGCTTTTCATTCTTGCTTGTCTGGCTTCCCGTGCCTCTTCGAAAAACCGCACGTTACAAATGCTGCAGGGTTTATAGATGCAATTTGCATGACTGAAGCTATAAAATAAAACAAACATGAATTATCATTTAATGATTTCGACATTTTTTTCATGCAGAAAAGAGGAAAGACGAAGATTACGACGAACAAGTGGAAGAGACATTACAAGACGAGGTAAATTCAGTTAATTATTATTGTGCCCGCACCTCCGATGAGCACAGTTAGCTACTTGCGGTGCAAAAGAAGTTCAGCATGCATACATATGGAATGACCGAGGCAGGCATACGGGCAGACGGACAGTCAGGAAGTAGGCCAAGGCCTCCTATTGGTGCAGAGAGGCCTCCAAATTGATTGGTCGGGAGGCAAGGTTCAAAAGGATTGGAGGAGAGATTCAAACTTGAAAGTCGGGAAGCGAGGGTTGACGAGAGAGGCGACGCTCGACAACCGTTGGTGGAGAACGAGGATTGGCCGAAAGGAGTGGGGCGAGCAATGGTTTGAGAGAGAGGGCTCGAAGGGTATTAAAGGGGAGAGCACAAAAGGGGAGGGGGACGTTCGGGGGAGAGTACGAGCTTCACGGATCAAGAGAAGCCCGGACCTAGTGTTGGTACTGTGTCCAATACAAGTGTAGTGACATGACGTCACAACTACGTCGGGTCTGTATACACATGATGTCACTACCATGTTCGGTCTGTATGTGTGACATCACTGCCTGTTCGGTACGGAGGCTGTTGATGGGTGCCACGGGGGTTGTGTCAGGCCATGGCACTCCGAGTGACCCCGGCTGGACACGTGACCGGATCCAAGAGGGGGCCGAGGGCCCTGGGGGTCTCGTGGTCATGCAGGGGAGTCTTCTCGAGGGTTCAAGAAGGGGGGCGTTGGCCGGCCACGCCGGAGAGGCTTTTTGGCGGGCTCAGCGCGCAGAGCTGGGCTGTTGGTGCCTGGGATGAAGCCGTCTCACGAAGACTCTGAAGAAGCCTCCAGCCGTCGTGGCCAAGCAGAAGCCCTCCTGGCTTGGCCACGCCAAGTAGTGTCTAAGTGTCAGCGAGTGTAGGACGGTGGTCACCACCCTAAGTGTATTTGTGTTGCAGTTGTGCTACAGTTGAGTTAAATAAATAGTGTTGCCTCCACACGAGTGTGTGCGCCTTAATCGGACCATTACACAAAGCTCTGAGTAACAACGTCTCGGCGTTTTTACACATTTTGCCACACTGGACTGTCCTTAGCCGTGATGGAATTATATGTGGGGAGGTACATTTACCTCCATAAGTGGGGAATTAATTTACGTCGGTTTTTGTTTTTCACGTCCTGGAATAGTTGTGTTCCTGAAACGAGTGGGTATTAAAATGTCACCGATTTGCATGTCGCCGTGCGCAGGATAACAGCGACGTGTACACGCTCAGCAAAGTGTCCGACATCCTGCACGCCATCTTCACTTGCTACAAGGAGACGGTGCTGCCCTGGTTCGACCTCTTTCTCCCGCTCATCGTCAGCCTCATCGTACGTATGCCACCTTGGACCCCTCAATGTCAAGTGCTTCGCCTCTGCCTCCTTACCCATTGTACGACTGAGCCGTACCGTGCTGTGCCAAGCCGGCGCGGGTGGCTCAATGTTTTTCCACTGAAAGCCGAGGCTCTGCCGACAACGTCGCACGTAACAAACGTGTCATTAGCCTCCACCCCTGGCCCTGCTTGGCCCCAAGCCAGTTTCAGTTGTCTTGTGAGACCAGCATAGCACAGTTTCGTTGTTTACAGCTTGGAACTGCTTAGAGCCAGTAGAAAACCAACCGAGCCTTCGAGGCTTCGAGGCCATGTGCTGGCTCGGTTCGGATATGCCGCAATCGGTCAACAGGGCTCGCATAGCAGTTCTGCCAGGGAGATTTTGGAAACCCTGTGAATAATTTAACCATGTTTCCATAGGATAAGTCTCGATAAGCAACACATCCATATTCTAAAGTTCTGTTCTTGTTGCCGCTGCCGCCGCTGCTGCTGTCACAACCAGGACCGAAACCGTCCATGGGCCGACCGCCAGTGGGGATTCTGCGTGTTCGACGACCTCATCGAGTGCTGCGGCCCGGCCTCGCTCAAGTACTCGGAGTACTTCCTGCGGCCCATGCTGGAAGGCGTATGCGAGTCGAGCGCCGAGGTGCGGCAGGCAGCCGCGTATGGTGTGGGCGTGATGGCGCAGCACGGAGGGCCCGGCTATGCCCCGGCTTGCACTGGTAACTAAAACTTTTAAAACTGTTTTAAATGTTTTTTTTTTGTATTTATCGGGTAAATTCTCACTGAGCCATATAGCTCTTTTTTTTTTTTTAGAAGCAACCTGGCTATCACAAATGATAGCTCCACGAAGTGGCTTATCACGTGGGAATTTATCACGGCCCAAATACTCTAAAACGCGTCATGTTTCGAAATACGGAGGAAAAAAAACCGGAGGGCATGGAGAAAAATCCACGTCACCACGGGAAGAACATGAAAACTCCGAATATTCAGGCGGCAGGGTTGGTATCCAACCCACGACCTGTGTACCAGGCGAGGGAGTTAACATCTCACCACCGTGGCGCCTTTATGACGTTGCCGACCTGCAGTCTCTACCGTCTGTCTTTAGCCTTTCACCTCCTGCACTCTGCTCACTGCCCCCTGTATAACATCTGCTTCCTGCCCTCGGCCATGTCCTCTGCTCTGTGTCCAGTACCTTATGTCTGCTTTCCATTCTCTACCGGTCTGCGCATTCCTAAATGGCCCATCTTTGCTGGGTGGCCCGAATGTGACGATTCAGGGTCACGATTCAACTTGTCCATTGTTTATTAGTATTCTGTTCATTCTGGCTTGCACGTAGGTTATGTGGAGGCTGCAGGGTTTCCATGAGCTAACACAAATCGGAAATGATTATGAATATTGGGCGTGAATGAAAATGAGGACTGGAGGGAGTTTACAACTCAACAGGCACAGAAAAGAATACATCCACAATTAATGTTAAATAAATTTATTTATAAAATAAAAATAAAAAAGCAAACTTGAGGAATATCAGTCCCTTTCTTCATTCATGTAATAAACAAAGTAAATAAAATAAACATGAAAGTATTAAACCACATTTTGGAAATGAACTTACCTTAAATTATGATGCTGCTGCACACCATCACATTCTCTGTCATCACTTTCTCCCTCATCACATTCTCTGCCATCACATTCTCTGCCATCACATTCTCTCCCATCACTTTCTTTCTCTCGATGCGGTCATGTAGAGTAGCAGATGCGCGATGCGCGGACAGCAAGTTCGTGAATAACGACGGAATACCGCAACATACTACCACAATTCTGCTTCCCACCATCATCAACCCACGCTGACCAGTGTAGCGAAATACTTAATTATTATTATCATTGCGTGTTGTCTACCTGGGAAAGCCTTCCTGAGCATCGTGAATTATTTTTTTTCCGGAGAGATTGCTATGCGCTTCCCAATTTAAGTAATTTGCAAGCATTTATTCAAACTGGACAAATTTGGACCGTGACGCCAGATTGTATGTATGTATGTTGAACTTTTTTCGCACCGTACTTTGCCAACTGTGCTATTACGCACAACTCACATGGCATAGGGAAGCCTTACTCCAGCAGTGGATTGACAAAGCGCCGTACATGCCTGCGTTTTATCGCAACAAATACCTCGCTTGTCATTGTACACCCACCACAACTAGACACGCTTGACACTCTCCAACAATCCTCCCCTCTGCTGTGCCCTTCCTTATCCATGCAGAGGCACTGGGGCTGCTAATGCAGGTGATCCAGGACTCGCAGTCTCGCGTCAAGGAGAACATCAACGCCACGGAAAACTGCATCTCGGCCGTGGGGAAGCTGCTTAAGTTCCGGCCGGACTGCGTCAACACGCAGGAGTTCCTTCCGCTTTGGCTGTCCTGGCTGCCGGTCACTGAAGACAAAGAGGAGGCCGTGTTCTGCTACAACTACCTCTGCGATCTCATCGAGAGGTGCTATATATATATGCATGTTGAACTTCTTTCGCACCACCGTAAGTAGCCAACCTTGCTGATCGGAGGTGCGGGGGAAGGACAACAAACTATAGGTTTCTGTGTCGGTCTGTCTGTGTGAGTGTACATAATTTAGAACATCTTTTGCACCATCGTACGTAGCCAACCGTGCTAATTGGAGGTGTGGGAGAAGGCCAACAAACTAAGCACAAAAAGCAGTTCTAAAGAAATGAGTTTTCAGTAGTAGTAATAGGTTTTTACCCTTTTATCTGGCACCAAACTGACACCTTTATACAAGGGATCATGTTTGCAATAACCACAATGCAAGCAGTCAAAATGCAAACAAAAAGAGACAACTCTGATAATAATATGCACTGTCCTTGAAATTGATTGGTCCACACCCGAGACGGCTTTTCTTAGAGCCTAGTCTCCACTGGTGTTGGACCAGATGACGCCAAAAGGCGTACAACTCAAAAACAGCGCACTATCAGAGTATTGAGAGCTTGGGGTAAGCACTTACATTATGAGGCCTCTTTTGCCAGTAGCAAGATAAAGTAATAGGTTTTTACCCTTTTATCTGGCACCAAACTGACAGTTTTGATTTAAATGTGCATAGCTCTAGTGGCTTCCTAATATCGGAAGGAAGAGCGTTCCAGACGGCCACAGAAGCGGGGGGGGGTTCAGGAACTGGGGCGGCGAGTAGGGCAGGCTTGGGGTTGGGGGGGAGGTACCTTTTGAGGAATTGACAAATTATTTGGTGATACTGCGTTGACAGTGGTGCGCCACCAGCGCAAATAATAATAAAAAAAAACAATTCGCAACATTTGTCAGTAACACTGCCTTAAAAATAATTATTTTACAGGAGACATTCCAGTCAGTGGCCCTCATAGCACAATGTTTTGAGGACGAGGTCTACCAGACTGTGACCGTTTTTTGTTGTCCATACTTTGTTCAAACACACCTGTTTGCCCGCATTGCCCGCACAGTAACAACCCGCTGGTGCTGGGCCTCAACAACGCGAACCTGCCGAGCATCCTCGCCATCATCGCCCAGGGGGTGGCCAACGAGGCGACGAGCGAGGACGCTGCCTGCACGGCGCGGCTCGTCAGCGTCGTGCGCCAAGTACAGGTGCGTGCGTGCGTGCGTGCGCGCCACACCCGTGATTGTCCAAGCCTCGAGCAATGCAATCCCATATCACTGTCGAGATCGCGCTCGCCATTTTCAAGATCCTCCACAGTGCAAACTTGCTCACGCATCACACCAGGTACTCGGTCAAGAATCGGTCGACCCGAAGGGAGAGGCCCCGGACTGGTTCGGATATCAATTGCTGCCGATGTTCGCCATGGCCAGGAATCAAAAGAGATGTCGCCGGATCCGTAGCACAGTGCGCTCGCCACTCTGCCGCCGCTCCCCCCGCTTCGCCCTTTATTTTCCCATTCGTAACCTTTCTGTGGCCCTGCTAATGTTCACTTGGGTTGTCTCGCGCAGGCGTCCGGAGAGCTGTGGGCCGCCTGCCTGTCGCAGCTCGACAAGGAGCAGCAGCAGTTCCTCGACAGCCTCCTCAGTGCAGCATGAGCAGATTGGGCACGCACGCTTACGCGCACGCACGACCACAGGCACCGCATGCACGCACACAGAGGGTGTACCTTAGGCTTGGGAGGGGGGCGGGGGGGGGTGAGGGGACGCTGAACGATACGCCGCTATCACCGAGCGCCCGCCGGCGAGGCCGTGCCCCTCCTAGCTTGCGGAGTGGCGCTCAGCCCCAGGAGGGGGCGCCCGTTGCCTCTGCCCTCCTGCGGCATATTTGCACGCGTGGCGGATTGACGGCCCGGGACGCTGCTCTTGCCCCGCGAGTTAGTTGGTTGCATTGGTTGAAGTAGCGTTCATGCGGCCCAACCTCCCCCCCCCCCCGCCCGCCCGCCCACTGCCATCCAACCCAGTTGGCTTTGAAGGTTCCCTTTCGTTCGAAGGCTCTTTCAGTTGTGGGTGTACTCAAGTGGTTTGTTCGCAGCAAGTCGGCAATCAAAAAATAAAGCAGCAGCAGCAGCAGCTCTTGGGGAAGAGAGGAAATTGTGAAAATGTTGTCCTGGCCAAAAATTGTATCTCACAGCTAAAGGGGAGGGGTGAGGGAGGTCAAGTGTTGTTCGGGCCAAAGTGGGGACTATCCCCAACACCCCTGCACTCCCAAGTGTAATGTTATTACGACTGCATCCATGACTCCCAATTAATATTTAAAGTGTGTCGTGACTGCTACCATTTATATTTTTCATTGTTGGGGAGTCAAAACCGCTATTGGAATCCTGACTTTGTCACTGCATTCCCCCCTGAGTCTCTTCTTCCCTCTGTCTAGAGCCCGCTGCTTATTCTGCTGCCGTGCGTGGTTCCAAGAGACACTTTTGTATAGTAATGTTTTGCCCTTGCTGCAATGTGAACAATGTGATTGAATCGGCCTTAGCTCGGATAACTTTACTGCGTAGTTTATTTCACTCGGTGTAATTTAGATTTTGATTTCCCGTTGCAATGTTTGTTAACTAATAAAAAAAAAATGTTTAACTAAATGGGCATTGCATTTCAACGGTTGAGTGGAGAGTGCATCACGGTTGTCCTTTCGCACCTTTCCTCAAGACCACCACCGTCTTGAAGTGAATAACCTGACCAACACTTCCATGCTGGGAGATAACATTTATTTTTACAAATTGCACCGAAAATGGCAGAACGTCGAAGCACGGGCGAATTTGATTTGTAATTACACAGCAGCATCCTTGGTTAAAATGTTACTTTCATCGGCAAGGCAGTTTTACACACGTTCCTCTTGAATCGTCCATCGGTCCACACTCAATTCAGAAGTGGAACGCACACAAAGGATGTTGTTCACTATTATTATTATGACTCCACACGTGCATGTTGTGGAGGTATGATTTGTAGCACGGAAATCGTGTAGAAGTATGTTCTGATTAAACATTTCTTTTTCGTTAAATGTGGACTGTCTGCCCAAAACAAATTTTTGTCCGGGTGTGTATTACATGGCCACAAGCACTCAAAGCACACGTGAACGTCTTCAAATTGGCTTAAATATATATTTTAAACCCAGTGCGACTCAACGTGGAATCTTGTGTAGTTTACTTTGTTTCCAAATCTCTGGTTATCAATATGGCACGGTGGTCCTGACTTCGATTCTCCACCCTTCAGTTGTCCTCCCATCTGGCAAGGCACAAGTGGTGCTGGGGGAAATTTATTTGCAAAGATGTCTTGACCCCTGAGTTTTTCACCCCCGCAGCCCGCACAACTTAATTCAACTTTTGTGGTGGTTTTCGAGAGTTTTTCACCTGCTTAAGATAAGGTATTTCTTGTGACCGTGTAAGGCATTATATTTAAGATTTGGCAGTTTATTTTGAGCAGCAAATGTACGCCTTTGCTTACAAAGGTGCACTTTGGTCATCCAAATACAGCCCTTAAATTATCCGGACTGTCGTTTAAACATCTGTGGAGCGATCCCATTTTAAAAGGAAGAACTTTATTTTTAATCACAGTACAAATAATTATAGCCTGGCCACGGCTTGTGGCAAGTACGCAAGAAAACATTTATTTTTGTTTATTCCTCTTGAGGGGAAGAGTAACGTTAAGATGGGTAGCGATGTTAAAATAGAAGGGGAGGGGGGGGAAGAAATGGAATTTGAAATGGTGATCGCATTCTGAAAGTGCTAGTTGTTGTGGGTCTCTCTGCTAGATAGACGGCATGCACGGTGCCAGGAAGTGTGCAGCCAGGGGTGATTTTGTTTTGTTCTATCCTTGTTAAGGGTTTTTGGATTAAAACCCCCTCTTAGTATCTTGGGCCTCAACTTTGTGTGTATCCAGCGTCCAGTTTGTTGTTTATCCGTCTTAAACATTGACCGAGGTGTGAACTGATCAATTTTTTTTGGAGCCGGATGGTACGGCGATTGAAGGTAGCAAATAACAATGTGTATTTGTGGATGTCACAAAAAAAAACGATACAATGTGTATTTGTGAATGTCAGAAAAAATATATCGGACAAACTTTCCACTGTTTGGGAGTTTTCCCGTCTTTGTGACTCGTAGTGACGGATGGGTTGGTGAATCCTAAAAGTGTTCTGTTTAAAGTCTTAGAGGGGCGTCTAAGCCAAATGCTTTTTAATCCGTATATATGCTACAACCAGAGGTGAAACATTAATTCCGCTGACAAAACGCTGGCCAGCGATGTGCATAGTCAATTCAGCCCTCCGGGAGGCTTTACTCCCAGACTCGGTGGCGAGAGGTTTTGAATGAATGTAATCCGGTGACTTAAAACATACACCTGCCTAATTAAAATGTTGAACGGTATACAGTCTGCTGGAAACTGTTGGGAAAATGCACGCCCTGTTGCGTTTTTGTGTTTGTGTTCAAACGGCTCATTTGTATGATGTACATGTTAACGCGAAGCGAAATATACACACGTTTGACAGTGTAATTTAATGGACGTTACGATTCAGTAAGATGCATGTTTTTTTTCTGAATCTTGATCCTTCAACGTGACTCCTGCATCTCCTCAAGTCCGACGAATTTGTAAGTCATCCCAATGTTTTTGGTTTAATGGCTCTCATGACCCAATTCTGACAACTTGTGTTTTGTTTATTCTTCATATAAACCTTTTTGCTAGTCCCCGTCCCGATCATTATGTTCTTGGAAATTGCATAACAGGTTGACCAGTTTTAAAAAATATATATTTTATTAAATCCGTTAAATTCCTCGGGTTATTGCTTAAAAAACTAAATCAATGCTGGCTTTCCAATCTGCGTTGAGGAGGTGGTTCATTTTAATCCATGAGTCCAGATGAGATTACAGTTGTATGTGCTACTAGAAGTGGCATAACTTTCGGCGCTTACAATTTCTTTGCACGGCCCTCTCTGTAACAGCGAATGATTGTGATAACCGTTTGGAACGAGTGGGTCATTACATAATTTACTCTTAATTATCCATAATATTCACTGAAGTTTTATTCGCCTAAGTTGGGTACCGGTTTACACGCTTGGCCTGTGGGCTGTGCGTGTCGGAACGACCAAGAGCTGCAAAAAGATGGATTAATTTAATATAAACATTTCTTTCCAAACAGTCGCTTAGCAAAAATGCGTATAACGTTCATCCATCCATCATCCCTCGTATGGATGGGGCGCTGAGAATCTTGAAAAACAAAGGCCAGCGAGGTTCACCGATTTCAAGTTCACGAGGCACACGCACGCACGCACATGGTCCTATTCGGCTGCGTGCAAGGCCGTTAAATCCATAACGGGAACCGGTTACAATCTTGTATCGCTTCCCTGCCCTCCTTCAGCTGACGGCATGTGTTGACAATAAATCACGTGTGCATGCTGCACTCTTCGTTGACAATAAACCACGTGTGTATGCTGCACTCTTCGTTGACAATAAACCACGTGTGTATGCTGCACTCTTCGTTGACTATAAACCACGTGTGCATGCTGCACTCTTCGTTGACAATAAACCACGTGTGTATGCTGCACTCTTCGTTGACAATAAACCACGTGTGTATGCTGCACTCTTCGTTGACATTAAACCACGTGTGCATGCTGCACTCTTCGTTGACAATAAACCACGTGTGTATGCTGCACTCTTCGTTGACAATAAACCACGTGTGTATGCTGCACTCTTCGTTGACAATAAACCACGTGTGTATGCTGCACTCTTCGTTGACATTAAACCACGTGTGTATGCTGCACTCTTCGTTGACTATAAACCACGTGTGTATGCTGCACTCTTCGTTGACTATAAACCACGTGTGTATGCTGCACTCTTCGTTGACATTAAACCACGTGTGTATGCTGCACTCTTCGTTGACAATAAACCACGTGTGTATGCTGCACTCTTCGTTGACAATAAACCACGTGTGTATGCTGCACTCTTCGTTGACATTAAACCACGTGTGCATGCTGCACTCTTCGTTGACAATAAACCACGTGTGTATGCTGCACTCTTCGTTGACATTAAACCACGTGTGTATGCTGCACTCTTCGTTGACAATAAACCACGTGTGTATGCTGCACTCTTCGTTGACAATAAACCACGTGTGATATGCTGCACTCTTCGTTGACATAAACCACGTGTGTATGCTGCACTCTTCGTTGACTATAAACCACGTGTGCATGCTGCACTCTTCGTTGACATTAAACCACGTGTGTATGCTGCACTCTTCGTTGACTATAAACCACGTGTGTATGCTGCACTCTTCGTTGACAATAAACCACGTGTGTATGCTGCACTCTTCGTTGACAATAAACCACGTGTGTATGCTGCACTCTTCGTTGACTATAAACCACGTGTGTATGCTGCACTCTTCGTTGACTATAAACCACGTGTGTATGCTGCACTCTTCGTTGACATTAAACCACGTGTGTATGCTGCACTCTTCGTTGACTATAAACCACGTGTGTATGCTGCACTCTTCGTTGACAATAAACCACGTGTGTATGCTGCACTCTTCGTTGACAATAAACCACGTGTGTATGCTGCACTCTTCGTTGACAATAAACCACGTGTGTATGCTGCCACTCGTCAGTTGACTATAAACCACGGTGTGCATGCTGCACTCTTCGTTGACTATAAACCACGTGTGTATGCTGCACTCTTCGTTGACATTAAACCACGTGTGTATGCTGCACTCTGCGTTGACAATAAACCACGTGTGTATGCTGCACTCTTCGTTGACTATAAACCACGTGTGTATGCTGCACTCTTCGTTGACTATAAACCACGTGTGTATGCTGCACTCTTAGTTGACAATAAACCACGTGTGTATGCTGCACTCTTCGTTCACAATAAACCACGTGTGTATGCTGCACTCTTCGTTGACAATAAACCACGTGTGCATGCTGCACTCTTCGTTGACAATAAACCACGTGTGTATGCTGCACTCTTCGTTGACATTATACCACGTGTGTATGCTGCACTCTTCGTTGACAAGCTACGTGTGTATGCTGCACTCTTCGTTGACAATAAACCACGTGTGTATGCTGTACTTTTCGTTGACAAGCTACGTGTGTATGCTGCACTCTTAGTTGACAATAAACCACGTGTGTATGCTGCACTTTTCGAGCTGCGGATCTGTGTCAAGTTGGTGGTTCTTTTTTTACGATTGATTTTGTGTTTTAATCCTTTCTGGAATTTATTTTTCTCCCCCCACGTGCTGCGTTCACGGGAAAGGTGACGCATGAACAGACACTAATCCTCGTGCTATGTTTGGTTTATGAGTTAAAAGTAGAATTATGCCCCCTCCCTACCCTGCCTTACTACTGTTGTGCAACTTTGCTGTTGGCACGTACCGTATTCCACGGATTACATGACGCTGTGGAAAGTTAAAACGTGCCCCAAACTTGAGCCCGCTGCCAATAAGGCTTTATATTTACATCGTACACAACCCTTGCCGGATAATGAGACCGGGTTGCAATGCAGACCAAACAAAAATGCGTCTTATAATCCGGAGAATAGGGAAAGTAAAAATCTAATATTGTTTTCCTCCTTTAAGTGATACAGTACGGTAAATAGCACGCATTGACCGGGCAAAGACAATTTTTTTGCCGCTCTGGATCGCGTTAGGGCTCTAAAAAAATAAATATTAGTTTTGGAAGTGATGCATTGCTATAATATTTTATTTGTATGTATTGCTCGTCCATATGGAAAGACATGCATTCAATAAATAAAGAAATCGATAGTATTTCGGTGTATATCACTTGTATCGGGATACGTTATGGGCAGCAGAGGTCAGAGCAGAAGAATACATTTTCGTGTAATAACCACGGAAATAAAACTTCCTACTTCGTGATATTTCTTTATTAGTGTTAGCATCCACTCACAAAATAATAAAAGAACCGGCTTACTACCTAAGTGAGAGTAGGTGTGTGCGTGTGAACGCTAAACCCAATGTACATTTATAAAACACATCTAATTACAAAGAAACAGCTTGCTAAGTGACACCGCTGGTCACTCGCCTCCATCCAAATCCAAACCCCTCCACATCCTGGTAGCGCCCCCCCCCGTTCTCTACCCCCCCCATTCTCTACCCCCCCCCATTCTCTACCCCCCCCCCATTCTCTACCCCCCCCGTTCTCTACCCCCCCCCCATTCTCTACCCCCCCCATTCTCTACCCCCCCCATTCTCTACCCCCCCATTCTCTACCCCCCCCCATTCTCTACCCCCCCCATTCTCTACCCCCCCATTCTCTACCCCCCCCCATTCTCTACCCCCCCGTTCTCTACCCCCCCATTCTCTACCCCCCCGTTCTCTACCCCCCCCCCGTTCTCTACCCCCCCCGTTCTCTACCCCCCCCCCCCATTCTCTACCCCCCCCCGTTCTCTACCCCCCCATTCTCTACCCCCCCATTCTCTACCCCCCCGTTCTCTACCCCCCCCGTTCTCTACCCCCCCCCTGTTCACTACCCCCCCCCCATTCTCTACCCCCCCATTCTCTACCCCCCCCCGTTCTCTACCCCCCCCTTCTCTACTCCCCCCGTTCTCTACCCCCCCCCCCCCCATTCTCTACCCCCCCCCCCCGTTCTCTACCCCCCCATTCTCTACCCCCCCCCCGTTCTCTACCCCCCCATTCTCTACCCCCCCCGTTCTCTACCCCCCCATTCTCTACCCCCCCCCCCCATTCTCTACCCCCCCCCATTCTTTACCCCCCCCCCATTCTCTACCCCCCCCCATTCTCTACCCCCCCCCATTCTCTACCCCCCCCCCATTCTCTACCCCCCCCGTTCTCTACCCCCCCCCGTTCTCTACCCCCCCCCATTCTCTACCCCCCCCCGTTCTCTATCCCCCCCATTCTCTACCCCCCCCATTCTCTACCCCCCCCCCCCGTTCTCTTTCCACAGACGCCCCAGTGTGGGCGGTCCAGCCTAGCTACAACAGCGAGCAATACAGAAGAAAAAGAGCCGTAGCAATGTAAAATAGAGGGGGGGTGGGGTGGGGGTGGGAGCAAGTCACTAAGTAGGAGTCGATCATACATCAATCAAGTGGCACGCCGGGAGATGGAATATGAACCGGCGTCCTCTAGGCTTGCAAGCCGAGCGTCCCGACTGTGAACCACGGTAGAAAGTGTACCTCGCATGCAACGTGAAACACCGATCGCACATTTGGTGGCGCTTCCTGTTCACGTCTCGTTCATTAAAGGGTGCTCACCTCCCCGCGAGAAAAGCCGACGTCCCGTGTTCTGCACGGTACGTCGTCTGGCGCCAGTGCGTGTGCGTGCCGCCGTATCAAAATATCAAAGCCCCCTACAATGTACGCGCGACGCGGGGCATTCGCTGGATCAAGCATTACGCATGGAAATTAAAAGAAAAGCACATCATAGGAAGAGCCATCAAACGCCCGTCCACCCTGCGCGTGCGGTTATAACCCTTTACCGGCAGGACATTAAAGGGCCGATTGATGTCTTTGTAGGCCAGGTAGAGATGCCTCTGCGCTTCGCGCCACGTTTTGAAAGGGAACGCCACCAGATGAAGCTACGCGATGTAAATAAATGACGCCGCCTTTCCTTAGGGGGGGGGCCCTCCATAAATGACGTCGCGCGATTTTGGACGATTTTTGACCCCCCCCCCCTCATCACACAAACAGTCAGACTCCCCCCCCCCCCCACCCTCAAATATGACGTCACAAAGCTTTGCCATCCCCCCCCCCAAAATAAAACATGCTTCAAATCGCTTTAAGCTATTGTCATTGTAGTGCGTATTTAATGTGGCGCTGCACTCTGATGTTGTAGGAGAAAACATTTATTAAAAAGTCTATTTAATTAAGTAGAAACGTGTTGTCTATGTTTATTTAAAGTTGCGCGTTTTGATGTGACGTCACATTTCTCAAACACCCCCCCACTCCCTCGTCACGCATCGTCACAAATGTCTGACCCCCCCCCCTCCCCCTAGGTGCGTGACGTCCAAAAAAAAATCTTCCAAAATCGCGTGACGTCATTTATGGACGGCCCCTTTGCCCCCTCGCACACTTGGGTTCACATACCGGGGCGTCCCGGACTCCTCCAACTTGTAAAGACTCATTCTCTTTGATTTAAAGCTTTCGTGACTGCAGTGATTCATATTCTTGGTTCTTTCGGTAAAGTCACGTTGAAGGGAAACAATAAAATAATGAAATATATATAAAACAATAAAATTCTCACGACGTTTCGACTCATAATAAAGGTTTTTGGGTTAGATCGCGTTTATTTATAAATGTGTCGTAACCCTCCACCACCCGACACGGCCAATCAGCAAAAAAAGTGTCACGTTGACAAAAGACAAATAATTCACTACTTTAGCCCACCGGTGTGTTGAAGAGTGAATCCACATTTACAGTTTGAGTACGACGTTTCGCTGGTAAATACATCCAGCATCATCGGGCATCAGAATATAAATAGAACTACAGAGCTCGGGCAATTTGTTGGCGCCGGTTCACCACGCGGCCGTAGCTCCTCGTGCCGCTCGAATCGTTCTCTCTCTCTCTCTCTCCGAGAGCGAGCGAGCGAATGCTGTGCGGTGTGCTGCAAGTTGAAATTATTGTAGCTGTGTCTCCATATGCGACACAAAACAAACCGGTCAAACATCTTTTTTTTACACGATAACCCATCGATTGGCCTCTTATCCTCCGGGCAGTTGTATCTCCGATTAGCACCTCCGACGGAGCGCGGCTGGCAAACGTACGGTGTGAAAGAAGTCCAACATACGTAGGTAGATAAACAAATAATAAATCACGACGTTTCGATCGCAACACAAGCGATCGTCATCAGGTTGCAAAGATACAGCAGTAGAACTGCTGAACAAGAAAGGGCTGTTGCAACGTGACTTTACCGAAAGAACCAAAGAGTATGGATTCCTGCAGTCACGAAAACTTCAAATCAAGGTTGACTTGTGTGCCCATTCCTGCTGTGGGGTGGAGGGGGGTGGAACTCTATCTCGGTATCGACCCTCAGTG